ATTACACAGAATTTTTTTTTTTTTGACTATGAAGTATGTCTTATGATGAATCTCTTAACAAATTTTCAGGTACGAGTATTTCTGTTAAGTCTAACAATTTTATCTACAGAGTACAGTACCAAATAAAAATTACGTAAAAAACTATTGAAATTTAAAAGTCTACAAATAGCTCAAATATTTCGAAAATTTTACCACGTTTAGAAAAATCGAACATTAGTTTTCCGTCAAAAATTCAAGTCCCTACGAATATTTTAAACTGAATTACAATCAAACAACCAAATTTGAAAATAATGAAAGTCCGTAAAATAAATAAATAATTACATTTCCCGTTCTTTCTATGTTTTGCCTGGTTTTGCTCAAGTATTCAAAAAACTACACGAAAAATCAAAAAAACCACTTCCTTACTCACCAACTAGGTTAAAAATGAAACAACAATGATCTATTATCGTTTTTTATTGGAGCAATATTTCTGGTAGAATAAAGCGTAGGTAATTTAAAATAATGAAATGCCGCCGTAAATTTGTCTTTTTTTTTACTAGCATTTAATACTCTCCAAGAATTTTTGGCACCATCACGATCTCCCTCTATTTTTCTCGATCCTAAACTAGTTCTCTCTAAACTTGTACTCCTATCCTGTTAAGGTCCTCTTTCACAACATATAGCCGTCTTTTCCTGGTTCGTCCTCAAGGTCTCTTTCTCATTGGTTTCCACTCTAGAACTGCTCTGCTTACATTATACACTCCTCTTCGTATCACATGGTCCAACCACTTTTTTACCACGCTTTCATCCTTTTATGAAGTTGATAACGAAAGTCATCCTCATTTTACCCTGCAGTTGTTTGTTAAATTTATCAGTTTTCATTTGTCACTTTTTCAGGGGTTTTCTCAATAATTGTTATAAACTATAATTACTATTATTACTACTTGGAATATCAAAATTAGACCTCCCTGAAGTAGGTACTAAATAGATAAACTTTTCTTTCAGAAAAGGTACTATACTTGGTAGGTTTCTGGTAGAAATTGTATACAAAGTATAAAAAAATTAACCACATTCTAAAACCAATAGGTACATTCCTCGCTACGCTCCAAATCTGAAAGTCATAATATATTTTTATAGATATAAAAAATTATATATGAAATATGTAGTTGCTTATTATAAATGTCGTGTAAAGAGGGTTATAGTGACATTAATTATAAAGCGTTGGGTATAGACTATAATGTGTCTTTATCATATCATTACAATTTTAGCATCCCCAAAGTTGGTTGTCTAGTTGCACTTATTTAATAGGTTCAGCGAAGAAGTTCATAATGCCATCTATAACATTCAATGGGCAATGGTGGATTCAGAGTTGATTTTTGGAGGGCCTCCTAAAAAATAATTACTATTGATAAGAAAAAAAAAGTGGTACTTGGGATGGGTGCAGCCACTGTTGTAAGTGGAAGTTGAAAAGATAGAATACATAAAGTTATTTAATTTATATCTGTAAATACCGATAAACCATTGCTTATTTTTTAATTGGACTAAGATTTCTGATGGACTATTTCTTCAGACAGAAAAAATAAAATAAAAAGACTGACATGTTTTACATGACAGGCGCAGCCACTGTTATTGGTGGGAAGTACAGAAGGGAATTTAATGTATATCTATAATCAAACCATTGCTTACGAAAAAACGATTCTAAGCGGAGTTCAGTCGATAGTGATGCTTAGTCAACAAAATATGTGTCAAAATTTCCTTTCAAAAAATAGTCTATATCTTATACATCGGAGTAAGCTTTATGGTAGAAAAAATGTTCACATAAAAAATAATAATAAACGTCTTTGTAAAACCAATATATTTTTCACTACACTCAGAATTTAAAATAAAATACATCATAATACAATCAATACGTTTATGACTCCTCTTCAGTTTTCTTCTTTGAAGATCTTGTATTATATATGCATTAAATAATTAATTATTTGTGGAAGTAAAAACTTTTTTATAGTCTGTAGTTTATAGAAGCGAGGCCATAGACCCGCCACTGATGACATCTACCAAAAAGCAGATTTAAAGCCATACCTAGTACCTACATAATCTTAACTACGTAAATATATAAGTTATGTTATAATAGGTTGGTATTTTTCTTTATACCACCTCTAATAAGTTGTCTGTATTATTGAAACATTTTAGGACTTGATATTTAAATAAAATATGCACCTAATAAATTTATAAAAACCGTATATGGATAGGACACTGTTTTAGGTGGCATGTTGGCAGGTATCTAAATTAAAAAAACACATCATAATAAAATAAATTCATTCCTCACTATTCTCAGTATATAAAAAATATTATATATTTAAAAGTAGTATGGGTATTGAATTTGTTGGCCTCTCTTAGGAATAAATTATTCAAAAAGTTAAATGAAGTTTGAACTGTTTAACAGTTAAGAACCAAGAGCCACTATAAGATAGGTACCTATAAAATGTCAAAATAATTCTTAGAAGTTTAACTCCATAATGGAGAAATAGTTGAATGATCTTTATAATGTTATGAATTATGATTTTTCTTGTGTTAAAGCTAGTTATTTAAAAAATATAAATAGGTAATGACTTATCAATATTATTAGAAGGTAAATAGGTAGTAGGTACCTAACTATACTAGGTATTATATTTTCTTAATTAGGTAGGTATAACTGTTATTTAACAGCTATAAATTAGATAAGTATAGACATAATAAATAGATATAATAAATAACTATCAGCTTTAATTATTTTAGATAAGTAGTAAATTATTATCTGCTACTTCATTAATTTTGCCATGCCCACTTGAAAATTTAAATTCATTGCGTCTAACTTTTATTATCTATATTTTTAATCAAGCATTTATGTTTAACCAATTATTTTTATCCACACAAACCAAATAAAAACTAAAAATTAAAATGCCAGAAATAACTTAAAAATCGTCAGAATTTTTTGAAAATTTTACTACATCTTTCAATCCCATAATATAAGACGTATTTTCTGAAAATTTTAGATCTTTACAATTATCGTTATTTTCGTAAACTTTCTTTTTTTTCAAACGTTTTTTCCCAGTTAAATCTACAAAAAATAGCCATCTTAAGCATCATGAAAATAATACACTCGAATTTTTATACAAGATTTCTGATAGAAAAATAAAATCAATATATTCTAATATTTAGATTAATTCAATTTTTTTCTATAGATTCAAATCCACAATTAAATAAACATTGATGTAATTAATTGTAATTCATAACAGTCTTAAGCATAACCATATGTTAGTATGTATATAGTTATTATATACCTAGGTATTTTATAATGGATGTTGGATACCTACATCTATAAGATAATATTAATTCATAACCTATTTGCCTATTATTGCTTTTATATTGGTCTTTGGATTCTATTTATCATTGTAGTCCTGAAATAATTATTGTTCAATATTAGAACACATTCAATAAACAAAATATTTTAGAAGTCCAACAAGGTAGTAAAAGAAATCTAGGTAGTGAGTAAGTAGGCCAAAAGAAAAGTGGATAGAGGTTAGTTACAGCAAACGAGTTTTACCTACCTATATATAGAGATGAGTGGCCTAAATAAAAAGATTGCAGTGAATTAATTATAATCTGTATAAGACTTAAATTAATCATCAGAAAATAAAATGGTGTTATTTACTGGACAATGAAAAGAAATTAAAACATTAAATTATAATCGAATCAATAATATTTTTAATTATTAAATATATACAATAGGTAAAGAGTACCTACTATACAAGTGATAAGATAGAAGACAAAATATGGATGAGTGTATATCACCTATATATGACTATGACTATTACATATACAAGGTGTTCTGTTACACTTACCTACAACAGATATTGAGGAGGAGGGTTTTGTAGATTCGGTAGAACCCCCTTGAGGCTTTTGTCACCATAACATATTATTACCTACAACTTAGTACTTAGGAAATTGTACCTTATTACTTCTGTGGATTTGAAATTTGCGTCCCCTCCCCTCAAGAACCAGAATATATCTGCTACTGTTAACCTATATGTTAATTGTAAAAATTATAATTAAAATAAATATTATACAAACTGTGAACTATTAATACAATTTTTAATTTTAGTTGTTGAAAATATATCAAAAAATGTCAATGAAGATCTATATATAATGACCTAACCTATATAGAATATCAGAAATATAAAGAATACCTATATTCCAGCTTTCTTCATCTAGTTCTGATGTATGGATGTGAAACTAGGTCAATAATTAAGGGAGCGAGGAAAAGACAAACATATTTGAAAGAAGAGTACTACACCGAATCTATGGACTTATAATCTACCTATAATTGATAATGGATAATATAAAAAAACAAATTAACCAGGAAGTATACCAACTATTCCATAAAGTCATCATCAATGAATTTCTGAAAAGCAAAAGAATAGAATGAGCTAGTCATATTTGGATATCTGAAGGTATAGCAAATAACATTTTTACACCACTGGGCAAAGATGGATAGATAGGATAATTTCAGATCTTGTTAAAATTCATAAGGCACAAGATTAATTAGAAAGCAGTAAGGATAGAATTAGATTTAAACGGTAAAAGGTATTAAATGGACTGTAAAAACTAGGGGGTAGAAATATCAAATTTTAATTGATACCTGGAGCGGATTGATGATTTTTTTTTAGCTTGAGAAATATAAATCAAACAGACCCACTAATCTGCTCAAATAGAATACAATTTTTGAGTTATTAAAACTCCAAAACATTTAACATTATTGTAAACCACGAGAGACTTCTATTTCATAACCATATCACAAAATAAACACTTTTTTTAATACAGAAAAAAAATTTTACAAATTTCGAAAATTTTGCTTTTTAACACAAATAAATGCTCTATATGACAATTTGATCATAAAATCAAAATACACAATCCATAGTAGATGATTTAAAAATAAACAAGTAATTTGTGTATTTAATATCTACTGAATTTATTTGAATATTTCATACAATAGGTTTATTTCAAATGAAAAAAATGAATGTTTAAAGTATTAAATACCCAAACCTATAGTTGATAACATAAGTTCCCTAAGTATTATTTACAGTATCGCTTATTTTTCAATTAATCGTCTCTGTAAGCATAGGTACCTAATACTATTGTAAAATACTAAAACCATAAGTATTAACGACATTCAAAAGAATACAATTAAAAAACCATTTATATTATTTTATAAATTACATAATAATATAGCGGCCTCCACACAAAGACTGGCCCATCAGGAAATTTCTCGGTGGTCTTTGGTTGATACCCAGCAGTAAAATGCCATAAATTATGTAACTATTTCCTTGCCTATATTGTTATATATTTCTAAATAACTATAAACAATTTATATAAAAAAAATCCATTTTAGAAAAGATATGAATTAAAAATAAGCAAATAACTAAAAATTAAAAATATTTGGAAAGTCAAATTTGTTTACAGATATTTTAAATTAGGAATAATGGTACTTCAAATTAAGTAGGTGTATAAATAAATTAAAAACAATGAAATGTAATTTATATTACGTAAATAATTAATAATGTATGACTTATCAATATTTGTATTTACTAAATATCAATATTCTGTAATCAAATACACTATAACTATACCATGTAACTAACGCATGCACTACGGGAAACTAGAAATCAATCAATTTTTTTTTTTTATGTCCAAAAGTGAATATAGAGGTTTGCTAATGCTGAAATTCCAATAGTAATAGTTATTAGTTTGCATATAGTGTTGTAAGTGTCAATATTCAAATACTATTATAAATACTTTCCAATCAAATATTCTAATATATTATATATTCTGAATATATTTTAATCAGGATTTTTTTTTTACATTTTTGAACTTTATTTTTGTCTGTTAATAGGAAAAATGAGAACATTTACAAAACACTAATTTTTAAATAATTTAATTTTAATAAAATAATTTTATTTTTTTTCAATTTTCGATTTCAAAGATTTTTATTTTCATCTTCTTCAATTGGTATATCAGCAACACTTTTACAGTGTTTTTTCACTCCTAAGAAAAATATAATTTTAATGTTAATCTATATTTTTAATATAATTGTTTTAACTATCAATATTTCAACCTTGTAAACTCTGTAAATACTATCACCAAAAGCAAAAATACCATAAGATCAAAAAAATTGAAAAATCAGTTGAATTCACATAAAAAAAAAAAAAAAAAAACATTCAGACCTTTCAGATCAATATGCAATGTATCTAAAATATTGTCTTACAAAGAAACTGTTAGTAATTTATAAAAAATACTATATAATAACTATGTGCTAATGATGCTACTGTATCTTCATCAATATATAAAATAAAAATAATAATTTGAGACACCTATACTGAGTACAAATTATGGTTTTGTTTTTAACAATATGATATGTGTAAAATACATGTATAACCAATAAATTATCAAAATATAATAGTAATAATAGAAATTATAAATATATTTATAATACAAGAAGTTGGATAAGTATTTCAAAACTTATTATTGATATTTAATTTTATTCCATTGAATTTATCAAGTACAATTATATTTTAAAATCTGTAACATACTTTAAGAAGTAAATTTTATGGGATGTTATGAATTTTAAAAAATGCAAATATAAAAGCACGTTTCTCACAAAAATATTCTGTAGTGCAGTGGTTCCCAACTTTATTTATTCTACGCCTCTTTTTAAAATTAAATCTCACACCCCTACCTCTTAACAGCATTCTGAGCAAAAAAAAAAAATTCAATAACAAAGATTCCAATAATATAATATTCACATAAATTGTATCTTTATACAAATTAACCACCCGGGCATTTGCTGCCAATGATACCTGATAACCAATAGTTATTTACTTTTAATCTTTTCCCTACATTGTAAAATAAAAATAATTTAATAAATACAAATTTTGTCTGCTTCTACTGCCTCCTTAGTAAATAATGTGTTCAGCCCGCCCTTTTGGTAAACAATGCCCTAGTAGCTCACGGCATTTTTGCTTATGAAGACAGAATTTATATAACATATTATAATATAGTTGTTCAAATTTACCTCCTAATGACTGGTATTGGTCAGAAGTACGTTTACGCATTTCATCAAGATTTTCACCTGCCTGTGCCCATTCTAATACCAATCGTCTACCGTATAAATGAGTACTCTGACACAAGGACTCCATAGCTGCTTTAGCATCAGTTTTAGAATTGTACTCAACAAATGCGAACCCTCGATGAGTACCAGTCCCAACCATTTTTTTAGGCATCCTCAGTCCTTTTAACTCTCCAAAAGTTCTAAAAATAAATAACAGAACATTTCATTTTCATTCTATGACAATTTATACAAAACAACTTACTTAAACAATTCAACGACTTCTTTATAGCTAGCTTGGAATGGTATATTCCTTACAAGCAGTTTTGTACTTTCTTCATATGATTTACTCTGTTTTCGATCTACAACTGTAGTACTTCTATACACAATAAATTAATATGAAAATAATACAAATAATTTAAATTCCACATTTTACTAACTGTAGTGTTCTGTTTGATCTTTTAAGTTCAATTGAATGATCATCTAACATTGAAAATTGCTTGGATTTTAATGCATCATTAAGTGATTTCTGGCGATAAAACTGAATGAAACCATAGCCCATTGATAAAAGTTGTCCTGGTTGATTAGGGTCTTTTCTTCGAGCAATTGTAACATTGGCAATTTTTCCACATGATTCAAAATGCTAAAATTAAAATCTAATAATGAAATAGCCAACTTTATATTTAATTTTATAAATTACTTTTGTAATATTTTCTTCTGTAGTACTGAAATTAATGTTTTTAATAAATAATGTAGTATCTAATTCAGGTTCATCAATATCATTTTCAAGTTTTGTTTTGCTTAGATTTAAGTCATTTTCAACTGAAGAAAAAAAAAATAAATATTAAGAATTTAAACCTTAAAAAAAAAAACTATTTAAAACATTTCACCATTTTTATTTTCTGGAACATGTGAGAAAACTTTATCTGGTGCCCATTCTAAATAAAGTGGTAGATGTTTGAATTTAGAATATGCAAGTTGACGAAATGCGGTTTTCGCTTCAGAATTCTGTACAAATTCTATTAAACCTATAAAATCATAGCACTTTTAAAGTTGATATATATTAATAAAATAAATTTAGTGATAAATTACCTGTAACTCCACTTGGTGGTAACACAACTCTATTCACTAAGCCATACTTTGAAAAAATATCTTTTATTTCCAGTTCAGTTGTGTTTGCTGGTAAATTTTTAACCAATATCACATTTTTACTTCGATTTAGAACTGTCTAAAAAATTTAAAAAAATAATAAATTGTACATATAATAAACACAATTAAAGTTATGTAAAATTTACTTGATTAAAGATATCTAATTTAACACCATGATTTTCGAGGTAAGTTTTTGTATCAGAAACTATTTGTGATTCACCAAGAGCTAATCTCACAGCAGCACTATCACCAGTAAGTACCTACCAATATAAATAAAATAAGTTACTTAAAATAAAAATAATACATTTTATGTAGTTTACATTTTCTTTAGTAGTATTATAAGTCTTAGCGATAATGTCAGCAACTGCATTTTGGCCTAAAAATAGACTATTCCAGTTATGAGATAGTCCAGCTTCAGATTTCAGTTTTGCCATTTTTTTCTTTTTGAATGAACTGCCTTCATTGATTGTTTCTAAAAATATAGTTAGAAATATTATTTAATATAATGTATTAATTTAAACCTAAACACAATTTATTATTAATTGAAATAATAGACTATTACCATCTTCAACATTAACTTTAGCCTTTCCAGGTAATAAATGCATCATTCGCCCGTGAAATATTGTACCATCTAATTCAGTATATGCTTTAACAGCATGTTCAGGCATAAGATATGTAATTAAACCGTATCCTTTGACTTGACGGGAAATTTTATCAACAGGAATTATAACTTCAGTAACAGGGCCTGAATAAAATATAAGTAAGCATGTGTTTGAAATTGTTTGATATTTATTTTGTTGACTTTAAGTTTGTAGGATAAAATTACCATATTTTTCAAACAATATTTGTAATTCTTCTTCTGTAGTTATAAAAGGTAAATTTCGAACAAAAATACGACCAGATTCTGCAATACTTTCTTCGTGAATCAAACTATCAGTTTGTTTTTCCCAATCAGGATTCCTTTCATTATGGTGATTATTTTCTAGTGTTATATCATTTTCATTTTTCATAGAATATAATAGTATTCGTTTTCCATCTGAAATTAACAAATCACAATTATATCCTACTTACAATAGTTCATGAACTATTTTCATATACTTAAGAAACTTTTGTTTTTAAGAAGACATTGTTCAGCATCACTTTTTTTTTTAAAACCAATATAAGCTACGCCTTTAAACTGACGAGGTATACGTATAGAATCTAGTTTCAGTGGTTTAAAATAATCTTTTAACATGGCTTTTTTCACTTTGCATGGTAAACCACGAATTACAATTGTATTATATTCTGTTTTAACTCTTGGCTTTATTGACACTTCAGTTACAGATTTTTTCCCACTTTTTATTTTTAAATACTAAAAAATATTATTTCATACATTATACATACAATATGTTCATAATTATTCTAGCCAATGTAATTATTTTACTAGTTACGATTTTAAATTTTTTTTAATAATAAGAGTATTCTAATTTTAATTTTTTTTTTCCTGTAATTATTAAATCATTGACATTTTTTTAAAAAAAACTGAAATAAAATAATTTTTTGTCATACATTTGAAAAAAAAAAACATTTTTTTTTGAAAATCAATGTTGTACATAAATATCTTACACTAGGAGTTTATAAACTTAAATAATTTTAAATTTCTGATTAATGGAATAAAAGATAATTTTTATTTGTATACAGTTATAAATTATTAGTATTCAATCTCTAACAAGTCACACCTTTAAAAATTTAGAGATTTTACTATTATGAAAACAAGGTTGATGGTAAAAATATAATTATTCTTAAGTGCACTGTATTAATTATAAATATAACAAGCAAAAAGTTATTATTATGAAATCTAGAAGTTTTATAGTCTTCGTTATTATTGTCATAGGAATAAACCAAAAAACCATGTTATAACATTAATAAAAAATGACATACTTCAAAGTCAGATATATCAGCATTAGCAATATTGTTTGTGGGTTCTTCATCTGCTTTTTCTTGAGAGGCTGACTTTTCAGCTTCAATTTCATCTTCATCTTTAATATCATTAAGAATTTTTTCTTGTCCGTGAACTTCCAAAAATTCAGTAAACATAGGATCATTTAAGTGCTAAACAATTTTGTATTTATTTAGTATTGTTATTAACAGTAAGTAATATTGATAAAAACTAAATTGTATATAATACTTAAAACAATGTGTACCTTTTTTAGTTGTTCTTCTACTTCAGGTTTTAGTTTACTTTTTTTTTTTTTCTTAAGTTCATCTTTAATAACTTCTTCAGATTTAAGAGTATTATGTTGTTTTTTATAAGCATTACTGTCAGGTGCATACTTACTCCATGATTTTGGCTTATTTTTATCTCCTAAAAATATACATATATATAAATATATATATACATATAAAACAAATTAAAAGGATTTTTATGAAATAAAGAAAATCAAAAATTTGTATTAATACTCATATGAATCTATATAATCAAATATCATATTATCCATTATCCATATTTATAAAAATAATTGTTTAGTATTTACCTAATTGATTACATTGTTCTACTTGTATACGTGAAGAATTGAGAAAAGTATTATTGAAATATTCTTGAGCTGCTTTAGCTTCTTCTTCATTTTGAAAGCCAATAAAAGCGAAATTCCGAAATTTTCCGTCTTTTGTGTATTTTAGCTGGACATCTGTAATAACTCCTTTATGGCTAAACGTTTCTTTTAATTTATCCTCGGTTATCTACAAATAATATTACAGCTATTAAACAACGTTATTATTAATTCATCATAAACCAGCGTGACTTACAGCTTTAGGTAAATTTTTTATTATTAAACGAGTCATTTTCGAAAAACAACTATAAAAATATCTTAAAGTATGTGGCTTATATCAGTGGTTTATCATAAACATAATTACGATTTAAATGTTTTGATAATCCCACGTGTCCTAAAATTTTGATAACAATTGTGAATATAACCTAAAATAAAAACATCCAAGATTTGCTAACCGGGCTTAACATAGACAAGTTCAAGACCATTGACTAATTACATGTTTGACGTTCAGATTAATAATTTGCTTTGAATGTTTTGATCTTTAGATGTAGCCGTTATTATAGGTCTCGGACTATCAGTTATATAGTATATAATTATGATTTACTAGAAGTATTTTAATATAATAATAATATCTATGATTTTGAATCAAATTGGTATTTAATTTAATGAATTATTATCGTGTATCATAATACAGTATTATATTAATAAGGATTTACAAACAAACTTCAAATACTATCTCTAGTATTTGCTTCTATGCTTAGAAATATACGTAGGAGTCATAGAACAGTAGCCGATAAGGTACTACTAACTAGTAACCAGTAACTGCAGACATCTGACTTATAAATGTAGACAATGAACCTAACTATAGTAACTATTAACGTCTAATAATTTAGATAAATATTTATTAATTTTGTAATCCCGCTTAATATCGTGTTATTAGTTAATTATTATCAAAAATAATTGCAATATTTACGTAATCTTGATTTTTTTTAATAACTAAATTTAAATTTTGTTTAGTGATTTTATATTATTAATGTAAATTATATTTGTGCTACCTATTGGCTATTCCAATAATCATTAATTAAATTTAATACTGAATTAAGGGTAAGACAATTACCAAATTAAATAGTATTATTTTGGTTAATATGACTGATAAAATAATGGGTTATGTAACCAATTTTTTATAATCAATTTTTGTAAATATATTTGTGTTAAGTGAAATAATTTTAAATTTTAATGTTATCCATAGTTAGAGAATATGGCTGACCCATCTATTCAAACATTTTGTTGCCGTAGAGCTCTTGATTATCTTCCAGCTTATAAACTTATGAATGAATTTAATACTGACCGTTTTAATATGGTGTGTTTATTGTCTTCATTAATCGGATTATCTGGTGCAACATATCAGGTAATAGTAGATTTTTGATTTTTTGATTTGTTAATTTCATTTCATTTAGCTATTTTTCCAGATACTGCCAAAAATGGAGCCAAAAGTTCCAAATAGATTTTATTCTAATATTATGCGACGAGGAAAAAATATTATTATGTGGTTAGCAATAGCAGATTTTTGTGCATCATTGGGTACCTATATATAAATATTTGGTTTAATATTATGATATTAATATTTTTTATTTGCAAACAAACGATATCGTAATTTCAATAACATACAAATAGTACTTTACTCACCTATAAGCAAAAGCTTATGATGGAGGAGTGAGGTTCTTAAATTAGTTGATATATAAATATATACAAAATACCAACAATAACAATAAAATAATTAAGTGAATATCTTTTTACAGAATTAGAGATATAACAATAAAGATTAATTTTTATTTAAATATGAATATCAATAACATGACACATTAAAATTTATTTATATTACAACTATTAATTACAGTCGAGTCGCGATAACTCAAAGTTGAAGGGGGATAAAAATTCAATTTGATATATGTATTATTCAAGATACCTTACTTAAATTTATCAAAATTAAATTAAAACTTCGAGTTATGTAATGAAATATAATTTTAAAAGTGTACGATAAAATATGTGTAATACAATATAAATGTATATATATAATATAACAATATATATATAAATGTAATACAATAACTAAAATAGATAAGATGGTATTATAAGAAGGTCATTTTTGATTTTTCCAAAAGTTGTTTTATTAAATGCAAAAACTTAAAGAAAAAGTAAAAACAGGAAAATGTACGAAATATATTTGTATAATAAGTGATATACTTCGACTAAGCTATTTATCACAATTTTATATTTGAGTTAACAAGACTTATAATACATTAATTGTTAAGAGAATTTCTTGGGGAATTAAAAAAAAATCGAGTTTTTCGAGTTATCGAGACTTAACTGTATTTGAATTTTAAAAATTAAAAATTTTTTTTTTTAGTTTGTTCTTTTATACAAATAAAAATAATTTATTTTAATTATATACACTACTTATAATATAAATTATAGACATTTTTATTTCCATTTAATTTATATTGAGACACTTACTTTTTTTTTTCTAATATAGATATCATTCAAATAGTATTTTATACATAAGTTATTTTGGTTTTAGGTATTCTTTTAAGATCTTGCTTAAAACTAATGCATCATTTTCAGTGGTATGACGCACAACCGTACACTGTAACTTGTATTTTTTTGGCGGTAAATTTAAAACAACTTAATTACCTATTATATATATACATATGTATCTGTGTAAAATTTAATATTGATATCTTTTCTATGAACAGGTTTGGATTCAGTATTTTTATATGGTTACTTGGTTGTGGACTTTGTCATACGCTATAGATATGTGGAGAGCGTATCAAGATAAACACTCATGTAGAAAACTATATCATTTAATTGTTTGGATATTTCCTGCAATATTTACATTTATTGGATTATCTACTCTTTATACACCAGACGCCAAGTAAATACAACTAAGATTTTCTTCAATTATTACATTTATGATCTTTATTTGATTATATTGTCTTTTAATAATTTTAGCTGCCACAATTTAAGCCCTAAAGAAAATGTTGTTATGAAATTCTTTCCAAACTATTTTTTTACATTTCTACCTGTCATCATTGTTATGGTAATCAATCCCGTGCTATATTCTATATCTACGGGATACATATATCATATAATAACTTCATATATGGCACAGTATTCAACAAATGAACGAAAAATGTTAGATTTATTTAAACAGAGATTTGCACTTATTAATTTTGGATTTTATTTGTGTTGGACACCCAATTTAATTAATGCAATACTAGTTTGGACATCATGGGATAATTTGCCTAGTGGAGTAATGCTAACACTTTGGTATATGATGGTATGTGTCTACATTTTCATTGGCTAAAAATGATTGTATTTTTTAATACCTAGGTTTTTTAGATATCTAAATTCTATTAAAAACAATTGCCATAATAATTATAAATTATAAATGTTATGTTTTTTTTTTTTCTAAAGATAAATCTGATTTTGAAATATTTTTTTTTTTATAAACCACACATTAATTATTGTGTTTGTTAAAAAAAATTAAAAATCAAAGATTTTATTGTTCAGATTGATAATTCACTTTCACCAAAATTTATTACATTAAATATTTGTAATAATTTTTTTTATTTTTGATTTTAGGCTATTTTAAATCCCATGCAAGCATTTTTTAATAGTTTTCTTTATAATTTACTTGAACATACAGAACAAATCTGTTGTCACTGTTTTGGCACACAAAGTCGAGTACAGGAAATGACAGAACGTAGACCATTATTAATAGCTAATGTGAAAGGTTCGTCAAATTCAAATGGATATGAAATGATTGAATAATTCTTGAAGTTTAGTAATAACAATTGATAACTATAGTATGTAAACAAATTTTGTTAATTTTTCTAATTTTTATGTATTTATGAAGAATTTTAATAAAACTTTAATTATATTTTTTTGAATTTAATTTCTATGAAATTATTATTTTATATTATAGTATTGTTATTTAAATTATATTTTTGTATTTTACTATAATATGTTTATCTATTAATGTTGTTAAGAATAAAATAATTTTTTTTGTATTTTTTGTAGTATACTTTTTATAATCATTTGTAATGCTTTTAATTTACGCTATTATATATATTTAATATATTTTAAACTTCTCAGACTAATCATAAAATAGATAAGTATATTATTTTTATAGACGTACAAAATAATAGTATTTTGAGAAAAATATTTTTAAAACTATTTTAAATAAAGATTATTTTTATTATTATATTATTTGAAAAAATTGAATGTATGTTAAATGCAAAATGTATTTCTCATAGTTTTTATGTATTTGTTAATCTTTTGATTATGGTACAAAATATTATTTAATTTAAGCCTTTTTTAAAAAAATAATATCAATAATAGTTTAAATAAATTAAACTAGCTAATTATATTTTGTTAGTATCTTCATGAGTAAGACTTACAAGTTATAGGAACTAAAAAAGGCAAAATATGCATAACAAAATGTAATAAATATGCAAGAAATTATTCAAAAACATATGTTACTATTAACATGCAAAACTGAGATAAAGATTAAATATGAAACGCACCATTGTCATTAAATTAATAATAGATTGAGACAGCAAGAAATAATAACAAATAATTATGGTAAATAATATTGTGTTTTAAATTTAATATTATTCAAAATAAATTGGTTAAGAATAAAAAAAAAATGAATTTTTTTAGAAATAATTAAATATTAAAAAATCATTGACAATTGGTGAAATATGCACTTTTTCTCTAAAATTAACAAAATATGCATTTCAAATGTTCAATTTTTAAAATCTACATAGAGTAGAAAGTATTTCTAAATTGGTCTGCTATAAATTCAGTACATACAAAAAAATATGCAACTCCTATAACTTCTGAACCCTACTCATGAGTATAATAATTGCAATACATAATATTTTCTATTAGGTACGTTTATTTTTGTTTAATGTTTTTTAAATACCCTTGTTGTCCATTCAATATCAATGAATGATTGTTCTGAAAAATTTTAATTATTTCACAAGTTTCATGTCATTTCATTCTCGTTAAATTCATCTCATCTCATGCAGTTTAACCATTCTTACCAGAACAATCCAATATATCTGTAAGTAGTTTAAGGAAAGAAAAATAATCAAATTTTGATACCAGTAATTATCTATTTTTTTTTCACTGTGTCTACATAAGCAAACGTCCATGCTTAAAACTTACGCTCATGGTTAGTTGTGTTTTTAATGGAAATAAACGTGCAATTTTTATTTTATATCTTTACTAACAACTACTGTTTGCCAAATTTATCTTTCTATTTCTTTGATCAACAAATTAATTTTATCAAGTTTTCAAAGTTCATAGATTTTAGATATAAGTTTTAAATATGTCAATCCGCAATTTTATAAATTATTTCACGGAAAATGACGAAAAAACAATCAACCATCTGAGATCATACAACTTATAAATAAGCATTACTATTACGTGCCTAGACAGTAATGATTTAACCACCCTATAACAGCAACTACGTCAGGTGGGGTCAGTTAGACAGTTTCTCATTTGGAAAATATTAGCCGATTGCCGACCACTGGTGAGTTAATTCTTGTCGACCACCCCGACTCTTGCCGAATCGCCAATTGCCGCGAAGACCGCCCAAAATTTACACACCCTAACGCTGTTGACGGATATCAGCAGGTGCCCTAGCCACGTTGATTTGAACTCAAAATCGTCACCAGAGTGTTTACTTGACGTCGGTACGGACCAACCGAAAATCAGGTAATTCAAAGAATAGTCCTTATGAACCCATCCATGGCAGTGATTTGCATATAGTTATGAATCTATTATTTTGGATGAGAACAACTTTTCGGGGTGCCTATATACACGACACGACTATGTCGACTTTATGAGTGGATATAAAATCGTACGTGAATTTTGAGCTCTCAGTCAGCAAAACGTAATGCGATTTAAATGAGGATAGTTTTATTAGTTTATTATGAAGTATTTACATTCAACTGCAGGATTGTCTGTTATTTACCGGTTTAAAGACGTTCAAATTGAGCGAAAAGATATACGTCACAAACGGTTTTGCGTTACTACGCTATCTGCCGGTAGTTGGTTTTGTGAATACGTTCAAAAACATATCTGAATACGTTCAGTTTTTGATCAGATAGCATTTTCTCTACGAATATTGTGTAGGCAAATGGTAATGGTTAAAATAAGAAACAATTGCTAAAAAAAAAATTAGATATGTTTTCCACGAAACTAAATGTACTTAGATACGTTTAATATATCAAACGTTGGAACATCTGTCAACATTTACAAATAATATAGATAATAGATTTTTAAATTGTAATTAATCATTAAGTTACTCTATGGTGAGTAGTAAATCAAGTAGGGTATATAATTAAAGTGTCTTGATAGGGTGTGCCTATCAAGACACTCTAGGACACATAAGTTATTTAATTTATATCAGTAAGACAGTAACCAACAATAAATCATTGCTAACGAAACACGATTCGGAGAGATGTTTGGTCATACATGTTTTGAAAGGCCGTAATTTAAAAATTCCAAGTCTACAAACATTTTTAACAGAATTCTATTACAAAAAATTTAAAAAATTATTTTCGTACATTTTCTCGTTCTTTTTACGTATTTTTCGGTTACTTACTAGATTAAACTAGATTAATGTTGGAATTAACTATTATTGCGTGATATAAAATATTAATATTGATTCCTTTCCAACATTTACTAAATTATGAAAAGTTTAAAATAACTCATATATGTAGGTATTGAATAATAGGTGTTTGATTAATGATATTGTACGGACTATTATTGTTACTTTTGGACGCGTTATTATTACTGTTATAATTTACTTATTTGTCATTTTTTTTTTAGGAATCACACAACCTAAAACAAGTTTTCCCAGAGAATGGGTCAGAAAATATTTTGTTAAAAGAAATATTTATCTTATGTATTTGTATATTTCTGAAATAAATTAAAGTTATTATTATTGTGGTAAACAAATATTTTTTTGGCTTCTGAATCTAATAGGTATACCATCAAATAAAATAAATAAGTAAGAACTGAAAACTTCTTAAGTACCTATAGTACTTAAGTTGGCTGGTTTTAAATGCAAACAAATCAAAATGATTATGAAAATTGAATAATTTAATATTTGCTAGTTTAGTTGTTTTATTTAATTTTTTAGTCACTAGTTTTCGACCATCTTTTTGTTTACTGATTGGGGTATCGTCTTATTCTTTTTTTTTTTAAATTTTTATTTACCATGATTAGGAAATTTAAAAACGTTAAATTTAAAAAATAATAATAATAACTACATACATTTGTCAAATCGAAAACGCTAAACTAGTTGCCACCACGACTACTACGTACTATAACTAGTACTATCTATCAAATATCAGACACGTAACTAGGATTTTCCAATTTGTCTTTGACATACAATGGAATGCCTTATATTGTCCGTTTAGTTAAGGTGACCACTGACCATATTAAAAAATTAAAAAACTGAACAAAATAATTTCAGAAATTCATTCAAAGGTAATATTTAGTAATTATTATAGTTTTTTTTTTTTTCGTTAATTTTTCATAATTATTATTAAATTATTAACTATTTTAAATACACCCGTATATCTTAGATATACTGGTACTCGTATTATCACCAGTATCGATTCTTATGGTTATTATTTTTCATGAATACAATCTCAACATTGTCATACCTAATCTATAACGAATATTTTAAAACTAATTTGAGTATTAAAACCATAAAACATATAATTTTTATGCACAGTATACAAAAAACATAAAGAAACAAAAAAAAAAATATCTTAGTAAAATCAATACATTCTTTGCTCCACTTAAAATCAAAAAAAAATACATAACGGTTAGATGAGTAGTTTTTTTTTTTTTTATCGACAGAAACAACTAAATAGTTAATACCTATAAAAGCAATATAGTAGAAAAGATGCATTTTGCTATTATATAATATTTTCATTGATATCAATGATATCATCAATGGTTAATAATGTTATTAATACATAGTAATATTGCCAGTATTGGTGGAATACAGGAAATCGCTCGCATTCTAGTATTCTATATTTTATCTCGATGCATGCAAGTTATTTATAGTAACTCGTGGTGTTTATGATACATTGACTTAGTATCATTTTATCAATAATTCTCGAAATGCTCAGTCATGACTTTTTCTCGAATTCATACTCCCTTCCAATTTAAATACCATATAAATTACTTGCTAATAACATCTTCCGGAGCCTCTGCTTGTGGTCTTGGTTTCACTTTAACACCTACTCTCTGTCCTCTCAAGCATATTGCAGTCGCCTGCTGCAAAGCCCTCAAATTCCTAGGGTTTATTAACCAAACATCTCAACAATTTCATCTTCTCTCCTCACTCAAAACCTTTTTCTGCTCCCTCGTTCGCCCTATCCTTGATTACGGCTCTGTTCTCTAGGACCCTTCTACATCTCTTGTGGCATATTTGCTATCGAGCGTGTTCAACGCAAATTCCTCCATTTAGTTGCCTTCCATTTCAACATTCCCCACCTACCTTATGATTAATCCTCCGTTCTCCATGATTTACAATTAACTAGCCTTGCTGATCGCAGGCACTAGTATAACATTCTCATTCTCTCTAATCTCATCTCCGGCAAAATTGATTCTCTTTTTCTCTTATTTTAACTCACTTTTAAAATTCCCCCTCATCTTACCCAATCTTCTCTGCCTTTGATAATTCCATTCTCTTCTTCTAATTATTCTCTCAACTCGCCCATTTCTCGCTTTATGCGCGCTACCTACTCCGACTCCTCATTCATGTTTACATTATGACTTCAGCAGTCAATGATTTAAGTTAATGATTTGTAATATAAAAAGAAAAATTACCTCAATAACCTATGCAAACAAATTTTTTTACCACTTACTAAATACGTAATAATAAGTTTAAAAAATTAAGAAAAAAAAATTGCATGAAAACTAAATATCGAACAAAGAATACCATTAAAAAACAATTTTATTACTCTTTCCTATGCCTCCGGCTTAAACTTTAAACTCATAAACGGTAAATTTGATATTAGTGTTATGTATATCAAAATTTCTAGAAAAATATTCTCAATTCAAATCTGTGTTCAAAGGAAGGGAAGTTCCTATTTGTATGTACTTCTCTAAGGTATATAGAGTAGAGGTAAAAAGTTAAAAATGGTTTTAAAATAAAGCTTAAACGATTCTATAATGATTAGAAAAAACAGAAATCAAATTCAATTAAAAAACTCCAAGATAATTGCTGGTTCGTGGTCAAAAAATCACTCTGTATATTATGGATAGGTATGCTATGTACAATATTATATTTGTATAGCTAAAAAATAACCTACCACAATAATAATATAATAGTATGCAAATAAATATAGACAATATAAATGTTTTATTTGAATATTTTAAAACCGTATACCACTCATCTCATAAGACGAATTGTAAATAATATATACATTATATAAGTAGGACATAATATACACATAATATATTATTTTCACAATGTAGTATTTTTGGCTTCAAATGCATCAACAACAAATGCAGGCAAGGCAAAAGCAGCTTTGTGTATATCATTAGTGTAGTAACGCAGTTTCATGTCTTTTCGTTGTTGGTTGGTCAATTGATACACGGGATTTGCAAAGTTTGTTGTCTGTAAAATATAAGAAACAAAACACTACACAAACAGCATTAGGTTGGATTAAGCATAATTTTAGTTTAACATTTTTGAATTATTTTCAAAATATTTAAAATATTTCGAAATTAATATTTTATTATAGCAAATTGTTGTAGAATAAATGTAAACTTTAAAAAATAATAAAATATACTTAAAGGCTACTAAACCTAGATCCTAATTTACCTCATCAAGACTACCGAGTGCGAATCCAATCTGGCCCGCGGGATATGTGGACACATAAGAAGTCGCATACGCTGCCTTGGAAAACACTTCTTTACAGTGGCCATACATCGACGTTGCGTTTTCTAAATGTCCCCAAAAAGTATCAGCTTGTGAACACACAATACCGCCTGGCCGCAACGCTCGCTTCATCAATTCAAAGTATGATTTTTGAAATAATGAAATGGCGGGACCTAATTGAAATGAAAAAAAAACCAAACACTTTATTATGAGGCTATAGTTACAATTTTGTTCTTAACTACATAACATTGTTCTTTAATTTTTGAAAAACATTTATTATAAATATTACAATGTATAATCCTACACACAAATTTTCAATGGTAATATAGATACTTATGAGTACATGGGTAAACCAATATGAGCATTATAATTGCTGCATATGTATAGGCAGGTACTCGTACAACAAATAGTATAAGGTATATGCTGAATAACTTATTGAGTAATTGTCTATCAAATAAAAATTATTAGCATCCGATGATATAGTAGATCAAATCATTTAAATTATTTATTATTTAAAAATTCTAAGCTCATAATCATAATCATGCCACGATTATTCCATAGTATAGAAAAATCATGAGTGTAATTTACAAATGGTATTAGCTAATATAGTTTTATACATGTCAAGTAGATATTATAGACATATTATAGTTGTGCCAATTTTTAAAAACAATAAACTTGTTCAAGAAGATTAATTTGTGAGTTAAAAAATTGAGAATGATTTTTTATACATGTGCTTAGCACTAATTTATTAGTCAAGAAAATTAATATTTTCTTCTCTTTTCAGACCCATACATGGTCGTGCTCACGGGGTGGGGATCACAATCTGCTTGGCTTTTTTTTTTTTAATAACTCATTAATGCTTTATGAATTTCCTATGATTATTGTCTTTTTGTTATGACATAATATTATGTAATATTATTATTAACTGATGTATTTTTTGAAGGAGTAGGTACCAAGTATCGTATCAATTACTACCTAAATTATGTTTTATGTGACTATTTTTCTGGTTTTCCGTAATGCCTCCTGAAATTTGATATTTTTTTTTTGAAGCTATATAATGATTTAAAACAATAACTTATAAGTATACCTATATGACTATATGCATTAGAATTTTGTAATTTGTTTAAAACTTAGATTTAGTGTAAAATGAGAAGTTACAATATTTAGTAAAATTATTTTCCTCGGAATACACTTATGTTAGCAAAAATACTTCAAATTGTTCATACCACACATTAAAATAAAGTTTTTTCCTATGGTATTTTGTTTGAAATATTTGTATAGATTTCTAATAGATTATCAAAACAAATATTGATACTGGTTTTCTTTTGTTGATTTTTGGGTTAAATTGACCTCATAAAAAAAAACTTAATGTTACTAGATTACCAAACTCAAAATAATATGTTGGTAATAATAAATTATCATTGTTTTTGGTATAAAAATGACATTACTTTATTTCTATTCCTTTGAAACTTTCTACCTACAACAGTAGGATATTCATAGTACCTATGTTAAGTATGTTTTAGATTCTGAGTGTAGCAAAAAATGTATTAGTTTTAAAAAGATATATTTTTTGTTTTTAGATTCTGAGTGGAACGAGGAATGTATTGTAATGTGTTTTACAATGTTTATTATTATTTTTTTATGTGAACACTTTTTTCTATCAGAAAGAATACTCCAACTATCAAGTATAGCACCTTTTCTAAAAGGAAATGTTCTCTGGGTGGTATTTTAGAAAGGTCATTTTTTGCAATTCTCATTAAAATTCGAGATAATGAAAAAAGCCTAGGTCTTTAGGTTAAAAAAGATTGAAAGATTAAAAATAAGGTTGTCATTAGCAACCCGTTTTTATTTATTTATTGTTATTATTAATTTTTTATTATTTTAATCTTTTTTAAACAATCATTGTTATCATGGAAACGCACATTGTTGTAATCGATTTACCATAATATGACATATACCATATATTGTATTGTTGACAAAGCAACACTGAACTCCGCTCAGAATCGTTTTTTCGTTAACAATGGTTAATTGTTGCGTACAGATATACATTAAATTTCCCCTCTACCTTCCAATCTTCAAACCTACAACAGGCTTAACCACGTGCGAAGTATGCTCATCTTTTTCATACATAATTATTTACCATTAATCTTCATCTAAGGAAATAAAATGTGTTAGAGATCAATTTTAGATTCTGCTTATTGTAAGTAATGAATAATCTAGTTTTAGATTCCGAGAGGTAGAAGGATTGGTTTTACAATGTAGATGTTATTTTTTAATTTTTGTATTTTTATACTGTGTAGAAAATATTTACTTGTAGTTTCTGAGTGTAGCGAAGAATGTATTGGTTTTACTAAGATGTTTAATTTTTTTTTATACTGTGTACAAAAATTTGCCCATAAATATTGCTCAGATATGTACACACGGTACCATTTATGAAAAAGAATGTTGTCCAGATGGTACTTTTGGGAGGTCATTTCTTGATTTTCCAGGCGGTTTTCATAATATCTAGGAAAAACCATGATAAAACGTAAGAAAAACGGGAAATTTACGAAAATAATGCTTTTATTATTTTTTGTAATTCAGTTGAAAATATTCGTAGAAACTAGAAATTTGGACAGACAGCTTATATTTGCCTTTTCTAGACGTGGTAAAATTTAAAAAAAAATTAAACCATTTTTGAGGTATTTATAGACATTTTAATTTTAAGAGTTTTGTACGCAATATTTATTTAGTAGGTACTTTGTGGTGAAATTGTTAAGACTTGAGTCTTCATTGAGTTTACATTAAGTTAAATGTACTATTTTTTTATAAGAAAATTTTAATATCAAATTTTTACGAAAAAATTATGTGGAACAAATCTAATTTTTTACTTTTTATTTTGAACACATTTGAACACCGATTTATGAATAATGGTGAAGTTAGAATAATCCATTAAATTCTGTGTTTCGAAATTATAGCTTTTTGAAGTTCTAATGTTTTGCGGATACTATATGTAATATGTGTTATGTTAAATAACTTAATATTGTGTATTTTATAGTATATTTGTCGTTGTCTAGTAATGGTACGTACCTGATGTCATTCCAGAGATCGCAAGTTCAAACTTGAGTTCCGAAAAATGTATTTTGCTAAACCACGTTGGGTAGGTAACATGGAAAAAACAAATGCAATATGAGTGCATTACTAGACCCAATATGTTCATTATATACAATCAAATATTTTTACGTTTTTATTGTTTTTGTTGGCTTATAAGTAGGTTTGTATAGGTATGTACAATCTGTTAAATTTTTATTTTCATTTAGATTTGGAAATAGACAACGTGTGTTACACAATAATTATTGCATTGCTATACCATTACACAATTTTTTTTTTTTTTAAGTTCACTAATCTGCCAAATTTAGCACCCCCTCACCACTACCGATATTATCAAGGTTAAAAAGTGTCCAATGACCACCGAGTGTTCTTGTGGCTACATATTATGCATTTACAACTTTCCAGTTTTGGTCATGTACAATGTGCATTGACATTGGCTATAGTGAAGCTGGTTACTAAATAGTACGTACTCTTTCGTCGTCCATCTACCCAATCCATCAAACTCAATAACCTAAATACCTAACCGAAGAGCACGCGTTCCATTGACGATGATAATATTCGAGAGGTACGATATATGGTTGGATATCTTATAAATCTAAATCAGAATTAAAACTGTTACAAGTCTTGTAGAATACCTTTTTTTTATCCATATTGATTTTTAAAAATCCTTGTGTAGGTATTTACGCATTACAACTGCGACGTTTAAGTAATAAAATAATGTTATTATATCGAGCTTACCAATGGGATCTGAAGAGTCGGTTATGATAACGTCATAGTACTGAGTGTGTTCTTCCATAAACTTGAAACCGTCGGCTATGTGCAAGTTGAGTTTAGGGCTGTTGAACCCTTCGGCCATGAATGGTAAATATATCTTGGACAGTTCTACTACGCGGTCGTCGATTTCCACTTGGTCGATAGTTTCCACCAGGGGGTGTTTGGCCACCTCCCTAGCAACTCCCCCGTCGCCGCCGCCCACAATGAGAACCTGCGAAAGTACGAAGGCAGTCATATATTAAAGTCCATACGGTTTACGTTAAACGGTAAATAATTAATAACAAACCCTCTGTGGTTTTGGGTGACTGAACAGGGGCAAGAAAGAAATCATTTCCTGGTAGGCATACTCGTCAAACTCCGTGCACTGGATCATCCCGTCAAGCACCAATACGACGCCATGTGATTTCCTTTTAGCAAACACAGTTATATTAATGGGAGAACACATTGTTATTATTGTACAAACACAGAAATTATACTAGAGATAATATTATTGAGATGGCCAGATGATGACTAAAAAAAAATGATGACGAAAAAAAATCGTAAATTGTATTTATTATATTCCGTAAATTTTCTTGTGTTTTTTTTTTTGGCTTTTTGCATTTGATGAGAAAATTCTTGCTAAAGTACCTCCCCACGCTAATTTCCTTTTATAAAAGGTGCTTCATGTAGAAGTCCGAGCAAGTCTTCTGGTAGAAAAGTTGTGCACAGATAGAAACGCTGACAAAATTCGTCACTACTACAAGAACAGTGTTTCTGATAAACAATTTTTATAATAGTTTTAATAATAATATTTATTAAAATGAATGTATCAGAATGGTTACCTATCCTCTCCAATATAACACCCCCAGAATTAATGAGATTAGTTCATACAACAAAGATTCTGCATAAATCAGTCAACTTAACCTACCACTACATTCGGACATCCTTGATTGAACATCCACCGCTACGCCTGAAGTCTAGGGCCATTATATGGCATGCAGAATCTCAGACGAAAATCATAGAATTTCTGAGGAAGAGAATTAGAAAAGGAGGGAATAAACAAAAACTCGTAACCGAGACCTAATTAAAGACCCACCCATAATAGTCACCGGCTGAGATTTCAAAAAGGGCCCGATGAGCAAAGTTAAATCGTATCAAGACAGACCAAGGAAGGTGCAACTATCTCGTTCATAAATTTTCGGCTCTCCACTTTGTGAATGTGGTCAGGAATGAAATCCAGTCAGTCACGCATATAATAGAATCGTGCTCAAATACAAAGTTCGAAGAAGGGTTGGAAAAACTACACAAAAGTGGCTCAGCCACAATGAAATTACTCGCAGATCTTGTCATGCGTCTGCAATATTATTATTTTAGTGATAAGTTACATCCATATTTGGTTGCTTACGTTTAATTATATATTAATGTTAATATATCTCTACTTATTTTTTTTTTCATAATTACTAAACTCCGAACGTCGTATGCATAAATAAATAAATAATTAAAATGGAATAAAATGATATAATTACAATGATCTTATTAACAATGAAGTACACGTTGGTTTAACAAAAACCTTGTATGCTATATGCTTACAAAATAATTGTCAAACTAACATATATACGTTATTTCATTATGATGATTTGTTTTCGGGGTACGATTATTTTTAACATAGTCACAACAAAAAACAAAATCAAAAATAACAAACCATTATTGTAGAAATTATCTCATTTTTCCTGAATTTTTTCGCAATTATTCAGAAAGCTACAAGAAAAATCAAAAAATTTCCAACTGCACCCATTAAACAAAATTTTCCACCGGAAAACACCCCTAAAGTTGATTATCGGAAGTTTTCCGGTATTAAAGTTGTGTACAGAAAAAATAAAAATCATTATTATAACAATAGGTATTTTAATAATGAATTTCATCGTTATTTGCATCTGTACGGCTACACCATACTTACATAATATTTGAATTGTACCAAAAACAAGTAAACGAAGTTATATAAATACTGCGTAAGAATTATTAGGAAAGATCTATACACGAATAAAATTATTAGGTGCCTGCTCTTTTTTAGCTTAAAAATACGCTTTTTCAGAAAAAAACTCATACTTCGTAATGTAAACCACCAATTTCAATATTTTTCTTGTTGTTGGAAAAAAGATGACTTCAGGACACATTAGACCTGGATTTTGGAAATTATCTTCTTAATCGGCATAATTGTAGTTTGAATAACGAATTTTTTAGTATTTTTTTAAATTAATTTGTGATTACATAATCGAAAATCAAAATCTCAATGCACTCCAGTGGAGCCTAAACTATATTGATATGGTGTAGGAGAATTTGAAATTTAAAACCACCACCCCAAATACTTTTGTACCTAAATGTTACTACCAAAAACTAAAAAAGACGGACATATTTTACATGATGTTACCCATCATGTTGTAGGTGAGAAGTTGGGTAAAGGGGAAATATAACTGTATAAGTATAAATGTACGCAACGATTAACCATTGCAAACGAAAAACGATTCTGAGCCGAGTTCGGATAATATAGTTGCTTGTGACCTTAATATTAAAATGTTTATAAACAAAAATTCTACATTACAATCAATGTAATGTAATCTTTTTTTTTTTTTACCACAAAATACGACCTGCGTACCTCCTATTAAATTGTCTATAGTTTCTGTTTGGTCTAATAATTTTATCCACAGAGTACCTACTGAAAAAAAATTACGTAAAAAAACCATGTAAAATTAAAATGTCTATAAATAGCTCAAAAATGACTAAAATATTTTAAAAATTTTAGGTTGGACGCCACTGAATTTTCCTCTTTCCAACCAAAAAAAAAGTTCTAAATCAGATCACTCTATGAGGCATTTTTCCGGTAAGTACCTAAAGTATATTTTGAACGATAAAAAAAGTTCGTGCGCAGATCTCCCTTAATACACAAATTAAAACTGATTGAATTATTTATTTAGAATTTTTAAGACTTATTAATTGTAAATGTTGAAAACTCGTTATTAACTATTGCTAACAATATTTGAAAAACACCACGAGTAGGATACCCATAATGTAAAAATATTTTAAAAGATCAGGGGTTAATGAACGCAATAAAAAATGTATAATCAAATCGTTTCTAACTCCGGCAGTATCGATAAAACATTTTTATGAGAGTTAAATTAAGAAAATTATAATCGTAATACGAATTTATTAATATACAGTGCTATGATATGATAATAAACATATCATTCGTAATTTGTAAAAAACGAATATAGGTACGTAAATTTCACACAATATGGTACGCAAATCAAATGTTTGTAATAGGTATCTAGGTACCTATTTAAACCAAAAACGTTAAGTATATTTTAATTGATTGATGTAGATATATTGTTTAATTAGCTCGACAGTTAATGTATTACCTAATTACTAGATTATTTAAAAATGCGGTAAAATGTCGTGCAGAATCGTTTTTTTTGTTAGCGATGATTTTTCGTTGCGTACAGATATAAATTAAATTACTTCAGTGTCACGCCCATCACCAGTATAGGCTTTAATTTTTTTTTTTTTTTTATTACGCACTATCAATCACACTAATAATTTCTATAGTTATGATTTTTATTTTTTTTTAATAGCCGAGATGCTTAATATAATATACCAAAGATAAATGCTTATATTATAAGAAAAAAAAAACACAACAACTGTAGTTATTACTATTTCTATATCTATTTGATAAATAGCACAATGTTATAGCATTCGTTTTGTATACCGTTTAATACTTGTAAAATGAGAATATGAGATAATATTTTCCCTACAATATTATCACCGGTCTAGTTAAAAATAATGAACTATGTACGGCTTTTAATATGCATAAAATTATACCACGATCGAAGATACCCTATAATATACAGTTTCATAATTCGTGGTCTTGTGGTAAATTAGTATTATATAATTATTAATTACTAATCGTTGCGTATAATCTGAGTTATGTATGTGTGTGTGTGTGTGTGTGTGTGTTACGCGTATGTAAATTAGATAATATAATAAATGATTCGGTTTCTTCGATTATTTTGTGTAACCGTGCAATATAATGGGCCATAATAATGACGTCGGACGATATCGATTCCTAATTAAATTTGAAAATTGAAAACTCGTTCGTTTATTTTGTAATAACAGTTGAACACGATAATAATATTCTACCAGAAAAAAATGTATAAGTAAACTATAAGTATTTTAATAGACTATATTTTCATATTGAATTATTATCATCCTAGATATTATTTTCATCACCTATCTATACTATATTGTATTATTATCTCTTATTTATAAGACACAATGTAATCTTTTCAACATTATAGATATCTATAAGCTACGCATAATCAATCCACGGAAAACAAATTCGGTTCACGTTTAGTATTTATTTGACTTTTGCAATTTTAGCTTTCGTAATATTGACATATGTATATATGATACCAAGAACTCTTGGAAAAAATCGTGGTTTTTTCATTTAAAACGTTTAATTTTAATAATATTTAATTAAGTTAGGTTAGCCACAAGGGTGGATCCAGAACAAGATAACGGAATATCAAAATCAGAAAGGTAAGAAAGTAACATACCATATAAAAAAGTGATTTGATTTACCTATTTGCAAGTAAATAAATCATTGCAAAAAACTATTCTGGGCGAAAATCAGTTAACTTTGTTTTGATAAATGTATATTAAAATTAAAAAAATAAATATAAAACTGTCAGTGTATTTTCGTCTCAAATTTTTGTATTTTTTATGGAGCTAAAGAAGTTTTGCATTAATTGGAAAATATTACTAGAAATGCCGTTATTTTTACGATTTTCATAAAATATTTGAACTTTAAATGCATGAAAAAAAAAGAAATACTTCGCATTATTGGGCCACTGTTGTAGGTGAGTATTTGGCAGGTGAAGAGGAAATTTAAGGTATATCTGTACGCAAAGATTAATCATTTCTAAAGAAAAACGATTCTTAGCGGAGTTCGGTTCGACATGTTTTGAATGGTTATAATATTTACGATTTTTTCCTATTTTTTCACATTTATTAGTAAAATCAAAAAATCATTTCTCTAAAGTACCACCCCAGTTAGATTTTCTTTCAGAAAAAGTGCTACACTTGAAGTTTGGATCAACATTTCTGGTAAAAATTTGTTAACAGAAAAAAAAAAAAAACATCATTGTAAAACCAACCTCACTTCGCTCAGAATCTAAAAAAAAAGTTATTATTTAATTTGGTTATTATGGACAAAGAAGTACCATTTTTCAAAAATAAATTACCGAACAACAATTATTTACCGTGATAAAGGTATAAAAGAAAAATGTGAGCTTATAGGAAATACCGGGTAATTCTGCGCTTGTTTAATTCTCAGAACTGTCCGGGAGGGTCTTAGATGGTCCCGTCTTAGATAGTCTGTAGGATTCCAAAGGTCTGATGAATCGGACAGTCCTCACGACCGTTTGCCAGGACTCACCAAGAAAACTTTTTGAAATAATCTCAAACCATAAATACGTCCATTTAAACCACCCGAAAATATTAAAAATGAAAACAAAAATAAATGAAGAAGTATTTTGAGAACGGAAACTTTAAACTCCAATAGCGACCAAACAGTCGGCTCCCGACACTAGCGGTTCCAGAGGGAGGGACGATCCATCTATCGCCCCTCCTTGGCCTGTGCCCATGTTTGTATAGCATATACGTAGTCATCCTAATAATTAGTTTAATTTTATTCGTCCAATGGTGGATTAGTATCATATTATCACTTTTTAAGCAACATCTTATTATGGAGGTGCTCTCAAAATACATATACTCACTTATAAGGATTATAACTTTATAATGAAATAAAGGGGGAGAGATGAGTTGGTCACTCAATTGTTTTCAGTATGTTTTACTATCAAAAATATTATAAAAGATAATCAATTATAAATTGTATATGATAAAGATATATACTAAACGTGTGCTAATTATACCCTATCACATTCGATTAATTATCTTGTCTTTGAACATGTGGAGTGGAAAAGTGAGATGTATATGTATTATATGCAAAATATGTTCGTCTTCGTCCTTGGAGCTTGTCAAGAACCACCTCTGGTTCTCTGGGTGGTCAAAACGGTAGACTCAAATAAGCGGGAATCAGTTGGGATTTAAACAGTCGGTTTCCGAGACTGTCTGTCCTATTAAGAGTACAAGAAAATGACTTCCACAATGCATCAACAAGACAAAATTTACTACCAGAAACCATCCTTGTGTTTAAAAGCACGTTATACCCGCATATACTGTCCCAGTCCAACTACCGGGTAACATTCAAAAACAATGTCTACGAAAAATAAGTAAAACTAGCTTAATATTGATTTTAAAGTAAAAGTACTTATTATAAAATTTATAAAGAACAATATTTTGTAGGGAATGTTGTAGAGTTTTTGTATTATTCAAAACATAAAGCTCGATATAAAAGATACAAAAACATTTTTTCTTTGTTTTTTAAATAACTGAAACTTTTTTAAAAGTTTATAATTTAAAAAAACACTTATAACATTTCCTCCAAAATATCGTTATCTATTGATTTCATTATAGGTACTTTTACTGTAAAATCAAAATTAAACCAGTTTTACTTATTCTGTGTAAGCATTGGTTGTGCATGTTACTCGGTAGTTGGACTGAGACAGTAGATACGGGTATAACGTCCTCTTAATAATCTTAGCAAAATGAGGAACTTAATTTAGCTATTAAAAATGTACTTTCGATTTATGTTAATTCACAATTCTCAAACGTTCCTGAAATTTCTTCCTTTAAGCCAAACTGAAATACAAATAGGTATAGGTGCGTAATATACATTACCTAACATTTAAGTTGTTTAATTTGTAGTTTTAACCTGCAGTGTTTACTTTTGTTGTTAAATAATTAATGCCTATTCATACGTTAAGTGTTATAAAGAGATAATACAATATTTTAAAACGTATACGTATAGTCTAATAATTTATAACCCACGTAGGTATCATGTATTAAGTACCTATATTTTTAGAAGTTTGACTTTAAAATATATGTCTGCATAGAGTTCTACAAAGTGCCCCTCCCTTATATATTGTTTCGTGAAAATCATTATAAATACAAACACCCTACCTTTCGAAAAAATATCCTGTGTGCACTAAAATACTGGGTATAATTTAAAATATAATCGTAATCCATCGATTATCCGACATTATTATTTATCTTATGGACGTATAAGGTATTCGAACCACAGCACACGATAAAATTAATAATTGTGTTTCAACATAATTTTACAAACTTACGTTTTTAAAACAAGTATCTCCTGGTACTTAGATTGTTCTTTATGGAGAACCTGTTCCACTTCCATAGAAAAACTCCTACCCGACAACAGGTCGGTGAGTTCGCTGAACCATCCGCTTTTCAGCTGATCCATACTGATGGAAGTGAATTTATCTCGGGCACGTGTGTTCACTAGTAGCGACTCACGAGCGCCGGTCGACTAAAGGTAAAATACCGAACCACTGCCGGCGGACCACGCAAAACTAACCTCCTCCTTATCACCGGCGACCTTCGAAGCACGCATATATTCGTCCAATCCCACGTCATAACGATATGCAGTTGTACGCACACACCGGTTCGTGTACAGTGTACACAGTAATTACTATTATTATTATTATTATTATTATTATAATGGGTACCAGGGATTCTCAACATTTCTTGGGCCGTGAACCTTTGTAAGACAATTTATTTCTTATAAAATATATAAGCCACGGACCCTAAATTAAAAATGTATTTTCTTTATCGATTTTTACGTTGATATAAAACTGTATTTTTATTCCGTGTATTCCTCATTAGACTTGGCGAACAAACAGTCAGATAAGAAATAATCAATGTACCTATTTTGATATTCCTCGAAAATTATAAACATCCAATGAAAAAACAGTTAATGGACAAAAAAACCGACATGGCTGGGGCGCGAGCACTGAATTAAATACCTAGTCAGTGGCGATGGATTGATAAGGTTTATTGTCAATTAATCAATTAATTAATCCGGCGTCCCATCGGATTGAAAACTAGATGAGCACACGGAGTTCTTCGGAGCCACTTCATGGACCTCCGGGCGCCAATTACGGGGTAAGGGGGGGGGGATTGGCTATAAAAAACCGAAAGTATTTATAATACATAATCATCCAAAATCATCTGAACAAAATATAAATAATAGTATTTCAACCAAAAATAAAACAGCCGACACTATTTTAGGCTAACATAATATTATTACAACCTACCTATTTTAGTTAAAACCATAGATAATAAAGAAGTCTTTATTTTTATGAAGAATCTTTATTGTTTATGGTTAAAACAGTAAAACCTAAGATCATATACGTATCTTATACTCTACTGGTTATCAAATTGTAATTTCATATCATTGATTTGGGAGATTTTAATTTTTAAACTGGCAATATTGAATTTGAAAACTAATGCCATTTTCCACCTGACTGCACCGACTGCACTATAAAAATAGTGTACATTTTTATGCGCCATCCTCAATGAATATTTGGGGCACATTTAGTGCAGGTTTTTATGTTTCACATGCACGCACTCTACCAGTTTCTTGCCCCAAGTGCAGTGATAATCGCAGTTCGTGCGCCTCATCTTTTATTAATAAAGATGACTATCTCCTTGCTTGAATAATAATAATAATATAATTTTAACTGAAAATACATAGCTAAACTAGTAAACTTTTTTTTTTTCGGACAAAATTAATATTATAATATTAATACTTGATAACTGTAAAAATTATGTTCTACATGATTCTCGATTCGACTGCACTGGACAGTTTTTCGGGCAATATAATCTATCTGCTCTAGGTGCAACGGTGCAGTCAGGTGGAAAACGCTATTAGATCTTGAACAACATTTTGAAAGAACGAGCATTTAAAACCTGACACTTGACGACCACAACAGATTTACGGCTGTCACCGTATTATCTGTGCTCTGTTTAATACGGATCTATTATTGTAACTACTAACCAGTCATTATCACATATTACTATGACGACTTTCTTCGGTCCCCTGTAATATCTTCGGATAAAATACTCTCGTCTTAAACACTGCTTGGCAAATAATAATTGTCTTCCAATTTATATTTCAGCTTTTTTACACACTTTCCCAGTAGCCTAACCTTGAGGTCCGCGCAGGACGACCGATTAAGAACCCCTGACTTGGATTATACCGTTAGTCGTTACTACTATATATCTACTTACATTTCAATATTGCTTACAATTTATATTTTTCACTAAGATAAGATACATTTATAAAACGGATTGTTATTCTTATTACATTAATATACCTACAATATACTATAACTAAATATATCATGCACTTACTTATTTATGTGTATCTATTGATACCTAGGCATCTTTACTATTTAATGTCATAATACGTATTGTACTTAGCGGTATAAATCTTGTTTACGGCACAAGCTCATTTTTCAAAATGTGTGGTTTTGCGTGTACATTAAGAATGGCGCCCGGAGGGGGGAGACAAGCTGGGCCATTTGACCCCCCCCCTGGCTTTCCGGTCATTTTTTTTTAAATTTGAATGTTCTAAGATAAATTACTATAACTGGTTAATATATTTATGTACAACAAATTTAAAGTTGTTACATGATTATATGAATGATGGGTCACCATCTCACCGTTATAAAAACATGAGATTAGATTATTTGCAGTCGATTAATCAATTTATTTTTAGATCAGGCCTTTCTATAGTTTCCTACATAATATTCTCTATCGTATAATATCTATCTATCTAATTCCATCTATTATTGTTAATATTATTATAGTTTAATTCTTCGAAAAGATAATGGGCCCCGCTGAACAGGTTCGTGTTAAGCGATTACTGATTAGTGTTTACCTGTATAATATTGTATCATACTGATCTCAAGTCAGTCGTTACTCGTTAATTGGTGTGTAATCCTACTGTGTCAACTGTGTGTTGTGGGACTCTATCGATGTATCGTAAGTATGAAGTAATAACAATTTTTCAAAAAGCAGACTTCAGTAATTACGAAAAATTATTCAACTGTTATTCGAATTTGATAGAAAATGGATTTGAGAAGATACTTTAAAAAACCCGAACATACAGAAGTAAACGAAAATAATGAAACGATAATTGTTCGATATCTTGGTTCATTAATATTATCCCTTAAAGAACGATTTTCTAGATAAAATGAAGTATCTTATTCTATTTTTCAATTAATACCAGAATATATGAGCAAGCTCAATAAACATCGACATAGATCACTTACTGAAAAAATTTCAAAAAGTATAGCTCTTTTCTAGACATTTTTGCGGCTGAATCAATGATTTGTACCTCAATCGCTTAGAAATTCAGAAATCAAAAGATATATTGGATATACTGAAAGAAAAGGAAACATTTTACCCATCAATATTTTTAGCAATTTGTACTGGCCTTGGCATCCTGGCAACTACTTGTATTGCTGAGTGGTCCTTCAGCACTTCGCGGAGGGTTAAAGCCTGGTTACACTCTACCATGACTGACAAAAGATTCCATGCTTTATACATGATGAATGTACATAAATTTATGGTGAATGATCTAATTAGAAATGACAATTTTATGGTGAAATAGTTGATCGTTTCGGAAGAGATGCGATACGACTACAATTTGTTTTTAAAAATCAATAAAGTTAACTTTACCTTTACCTTTATACCTATAATTGTAAGTTGTAAGTTAATAAAATATATATGTGAGCATAATAAAAAAGGTTGTCGTTTAAAATAGCAAAAATATAATATTTCTTCTCAAATCCTAAAATTGCCTCCCCCCCTAGAAAAATGTCTGCGGGTGCCTATGAATTTAACTTTTTAAATTTTTTTTTCTTCAAAATGTGTGTTTTTAAACGCTTAATCCTTTGGTATCATCAAAAATTAACTACCATACCTACTTTTATATTTTTTTTTACATAAACTTTGAAAATTAGCATTTTTGGAACTAATCCCCATTGTGGTCAAAAATAGATATTTTAATTTGTTATTATTATATTATTTTCAGTTATTGATAATTTGATAACAAAGTTTTTTTTTATTGAAGCCAGAATATTCTATCTGGTGTAGTTTTAGATTTACAGATGTCCGATTAAAATTGGATTAGTGAGAGCAGCGAGCGAGTGACACCTTAGATCTCTATCTCTTCTAAGTTTTGATTTAGCAATGGATTTAAAAAACATACATTTTGGAAAAAATGAATTTAAAATGTTAAACTCTAACTAAGGAATATGCGAAAAAGAAAACCCGAATTTGATGAAATTTTTTCTCATAACTTATAAACGAAGTTCTTCCGACTTTTTAGATTCTTAATGTACTAGTACACGTAAAAACATATTTTGAAAAATGAGCTTGGGCCTTAAACGAACATAGGTATTTCGCACGATAGGTGGGCCACTTTTTTAGCTGAGAAGTTGATAAGGTAGGATATACAGAGAAATGTGATCCATTTAAGTGGGTCCCTCATTATCCCGAAAAGTATTACTTTATCCGTAATTTGTTTTCTAGAACATTTAAGGAACAAGCTGCTCTACAATTCTATAATTATGTTATTTATTTTCTAATGGCAACCCATATTAAAAATTCTATAAATAGATGGGAGTAAAATAAATTTTAGTATTGACATTTTTGATTTCCGTCAATCTGTTGACGAGATATTCCAGTTTTAACTTTAGGTTGGAAGAGAGTATATAGTGGTACATTATTAACACATACATGATACTTCACTATTTTCCTCCAACCACAGGCGCGTCCCTGAAGAGGGGGGGGGTGCGAACGCCCCTCCCCCCCCTTAGGGCGTGTGATGTTCTTTTGTTATACAGAATATCAATAGATCTTAAGTACAAATGCAACTGGTTCTAAATGCCATAAAGATGATTCCGGATCTTGGAAATACTTTGATTAAAAAGAGAATAAAACACTTCTCATTTATAAATTTCTATAAATATTCTCTCAAAGGTGAGATAGAATTATATGAAAAACTAAGTTGGAACAATCGTGTAGCGAATAATGTACTTATTCAATTTACAATGATTTTTTTTTTATACTGGGACAAAAATTTTTACCAGAAATCTTGATTCAATGTATAAGTGTAGTATCTTTTTTGAAAAAAAAATATTATCACATTAACTAGATGGTACTTTTAGGAATGTCATTTTTTGATTTTCCAAGTAATTTTCAAAATATCAGAAAAACCCGGAATAAAACGTACGAAAAATTGGAAAATTTACGATAATAATGTTTTTATTATTTTCAATTTTGTTTTTTATCTTAATTCAGTTAAAAATATGCATGGACTTGAAGTTTGAACAAAAAACTTTTATTTGTCTTTTCTTGACATGGTCAAATTTTTGAGCAATTTATAGACATTTTAATTTTTTGAGTTTTGTACGAAATTTTTATTCGGTAGATACTCTGTGGATAAAATTGAAATTGTTAGACCAAACAGAAATGCTTGATAATTTAATATAAGGTACATTAAAAGTCGTACTTTGTGATAAAAAAAATTGAGTAGACGCTAACTAGCTTATCACTTTCAAATATTCATCGAAATGAAAACATTAATATAGAAAATATTGTTAATCAATCCGCATGCAAAACGCTGCTTAAAATAAAAGTATTTTGGACTTGGTCAACTAACTTTTATTAATTATTATTATTATTATTTATTTTATATGAAAAAAATTAATTTTACTTTTAAATTATACTGTTTTACTGCATTTGTACAATATATCTGCAGTCTTCTAAGCTAATATAAGTTAATATGACATCAGACATAAAATGTTTAGGTTTTTGTTGACCAAAGCGGAAGTATTCAAGAGTAAAAATTGTTCGCACCCCAGATTTCAAATTATGATTTATAGGTAGTTTGATGTCTAAACGCCACGCCTGACACTAAAATTTATTTTATCTAATACTCAATCTATTAATGGAATTTTTAACACAGGTTGCCATTTGAAAATCAAAAGTACTTAGTGGTTTTACCCCAAAAAATTAGAGACGAAAAATAACATAAATATAAAATTGTAGAACTGCTTGTTCCTTAAATGTTCTGGAAATCAAATTCCGAAAAAAAATTAATACTTTCCGTAGTAATAGGTGTACCCACTTAAATAGATCACCTGATACATGTACTTACGTACATTTTCTCGTTTTTTCCAATTATTATGAAAATAACCTCAAGTACCATCTGAAAGAAATATTCTTTCAGAAATGGTACTACACTTGAAAATCGGATCAGGATTTCAGGTAAAAACTATTGTTCATAGAAATAAAAATGAACATCATTACAAAACCAATATATTTATGAATAGTGATTCATCAATTCACCGAATCTAAGTTTCAAAGTGATCCTTCAAAGTTTATGTGCCAAACGTTGTGTATCAATTATTAAACTATTTACAAAAAATTGGTTAGAGGACATATTCTTTTTGTTTAGATAGACAAATTAAATTGATCAGAAGTTTAAAACATTTATTTATAAACAGTACAAGTTCTGAAAAAAAAAATAACTTATTAACAAACATAGACTTGGCTATAAATTAAGTATCTTAGTTTGTGGTTTCTATCATCCTAATAATTGCAAAGTTCTGATAGTATCTAATAAAGAAATAATTTGCGGTTTGATAAAAAATTATAGATCATGGTGGCATTACAATTATCAATAGATAGTAAAAACAAATAATCAACAATGAAGTGTGCCCATGCCTACAATCTGATAAGTAATAGAACAAAAGTATCTTAGTAAACTGAATATAATTATGGGAAGAACAAGGGATCATGAGAAAAAAAAAATATACAATATATAGAAATGTACATCAGACCTTTTCCAATGCACATTGGACATTTATAACATAGATTTGTATGTCTTCTTCCTCGTTTATATTCCAACTAATTAGAGATGGTCATCCTCACTCAAAACTTCCACTTGACCCAATCTTCCACCTGGCACATAAAGACTGTTATATCATTCTCAATTAAATCCAACCACCTTTTTTTTATTTTCCTTACTCCTTCTTTCCTCCTATGTTTATTTTCATTAAAATTAATTACTACTTCAGATTCTTCTATTATATACTCATTCTTCATCTTTTTCTTATCACTCCACTCATCCGCCAAGGCTTGGTTCTTTTTATTTGTCTTTAATTGTCTGCTTAAAACTACAAATCATACAAAATAGTCTCTCACCACTTTTTGTAGAACTTGCCTTAAAGTCTCATTCTCTTATCACATAAAACACCTGATGTTTTGATGTTTCTCTCTAATAGTTATCCAATTGCAATTAATTCTGTTTCGAATCCTCGTCAAAGAATGTATTTTTATAAAACATTTATTAAAAAAAAATTAATTTATAACTAATAATTACAGCAAAATATAATTAGTATCACAGATTTAAAAACAAGTAAAAAAAAAAAAAAATAAACAATTATTATAACCATAAAATTGAATAACTAGAACTGGAACTTGAAATAAATTATTGCCAGTAACATCCTTTTTCGTGAAGTTCTGGATCATCAAATATGAACGTCTGTTTTGGTAACTTTGTGGTGTCATTTTTTGTCTTAAACATTAATTATTAAGGACAATATTTTTGTTTTACAAAGTACATTCATTAAAAAATAATTTGATAAGTAGTTATAGATAGTTAAGATACAATGCATTTATATATTTTTTTTAATGAATGATTGTTAATTAATTTCAATTTTTTAATTGTATTAAAAGGATATTTATAAATCAATTTGAAAAATCCTGTACCCAAATTTATTGGAATACCCATTATAATACTCTCAGATACTCCATTTATTGTATCAGTTTGTCCATAATATGCAGCATCAAATAAATGATCAGAGGTTTTTTCAAACTAAAAATATAGAAGTATAATAATTAGAACATCATTGAATAACACCTAGATATCTATTATTTATTAATGGTATTGTAATAAAAAATGTTTTTACCGAGGCAAGATTTAGTACAGACTCTTTCATTTTAGAAAGACCAAACCGTGTTATCCCTAACAATTCACCTCTACTAGTCATCAAATCAGCAATAAGCATAGGATGTCTAGGATCTATTGATATTCCATGATTACTCATTACACTATCTATTTCTGATATTATTGTTGACCTGAAAATTATAAAGCAAGTATAATATCAAATTAAATAAAATATTATTTGGTTAAACAATCAATAATAATAATAGGACATGACATAAGTTTGTTATAATTAAGGACCAAAAATATATGCACTTAAAATACACAAAAAATGTCAAAAAGCCAGGGAAAAAACCAAAAAATAGTAGATGGATTTAAAGTCCCTCCCTTAACTTTGATATTTTTAAGATATTTATGCATTTTAAAAGCATATAAATCTGATGTTTAGTGTTCACTTGTGGTTTATAGAAATGATTTCTGTTCCATTAATAGTGATAATAAAGAGAATGACTAATATAATTTAATGGGTACAATGGAATAAGTAAATTAAAATTATTTGTATTGGTTCTCTAATTGAAATGATCATTTGTTTTATTTTAAAAGTTATTCATACATCTGTAACTATTTTCTATTTTTTTTTTTTTATTTTTTAAATATTTGTTTTATTGCAATTAAATCCACATATTTTATTGCTTATTTAGGGCATTAAGTTCAAAACTTGATGATGAATATATTTTATTTTGAAATTCATAACACTATTAAATATTACCTAGCTGCTTCTATGCCAAGTGCATTCCACACTTGAAACGTATTATTGCTAGTACACAGTTTCCCTATTATTCCAGGTGTTGCCATTACTTCTCTTAAGTTATCACCTTCAACAAGCAATTTGTACTTTATTTCACCATTATCATCTTCTTCATGAATTACAGCACGAGAAACATTACTTATACCCTTTAAAATTAAATAACAACCAATAATTATTTTATAATTACATGAACTATAAAAAAATATTTTAACAAATAGTTAACATCACTATATTCACCTTAATTACAACTTTTTGTAAATTTTGCATGTATAAATTAATATAATTATTTAATATTTGGGGTCCTTTTGATGGTAAGGTAATACTAACACATGATTCATTGTCTATATTTAATTGATGAGCTTTAATTCCAATACGTGGAGTTGTAATAATACTAAAAAAATCCATGAAAAAACGATTAAATATATCTTAAAATAACTAAATTTCAACATTGGTATGGTTTGATTACCTATCCCTTATTGATTCAATTGTAACTTCTAATTGTAAGAGTTTAATTCGATTCATGTCTACATGTATTAATAAATAGCATTCAGTGTTCTCAAGAACTACATCAATAAAACTGCAAACCTGTAATAATTTAAGTATAGAAAATATTATAAATAAATTAAAACAAAATTGTATTTTACTTCAGTTAAAGTTGTTTGTTCTATACGAGCTTTAACAATTCTTGCAAATTCTTTGTCTTTGTCATTTTCTAAGAATGCTGTAATAATAGGAGTACTTATATTTTTACTAGAGTTAATTATTTCTTTGATTCTAAAATAAAAATAAATAAAATTAATTTTGTGTAATTTTATCCACATTACTGTGAATATAAAAAAAAAATGAAAATAATGTATTTGGAATACATAAAAGGATCTTGAATCCTTCATAAAAACAGCTAATAATAGTACATAAATTAAAATTAGAATTATGCAAAAGAAATTATAAACTAATTAAATTGAAATAAAATACCTAGGAACACCCTGTGTAATATTCATTGAAGCAACACCAGCAAAGTGAAATGTTTTTAATGTCATTTGTGTACCAGGTTCTCCGATACTTTGAGCAGCTATGGCTCCAACAGGTGTTCCTATGAAAATAATAATGTTTTACATTTGTAAAATACTAAACCCCTTTTTGATTTTACGTATAATTATACCTGGTTCAATCACAGCAGCCATATACTTGGCTAGACAAGTCATATAAAATTTTATTAGTTGCGTAGAAGTAATTCGATATAGTTTTGAAACTTCTAAATTTAACCATTTCTTTCTCAGTTCTGCCATTTGGTTTGATAAATTTTTTCCAAATTTTCTAATTAAATAAAAATAAAAATTTAATATACTCTTAACATTACTATTGTATTTTGTGGATAGTTTAAATTATATGAATTTATACTATAATTTGATTAAATATAAAAAATGTTAATAAGTATATAATTTTTAGTATACCTCAACTCTTCTGTAAATACAAAATTTACATTTTTAAAATCATCTGACGACAATACATCTTCAGTAATTTGAGTTATTTCATCAGAACCTAAGGTACATTCTTCACGACATGGATAGTTAGCAGTCACATTGAAATAAACACGTTTGAAGTCAACTGGAATACCATCACCTAAATATTTAATTATATTAAATATATGTGTAAGGTAATTGTTTTAAAAAATTATATAGTAATTATAAATACATTTAATGGATTAAAAGTAAATCTAATTTGTACCTTACCTTCAGTGTAAGTAGGATCTAAACTATCACCACCAAATTCAAACTGTATGACATCTCCAAAAGCATTACGCACAGTATTGTCATAATGAACACATAAATCTTCTAAAGACTAAAAAAAAAAAATAGTTTATTATTTTCATTAGAAACAATTAATTTTACCTTGACAAGTCGCCGTTGCATGTATCCAGTTTCTGCAGTTTTTACTGCTGTATCAACAAGACCTTCACGACCTCCCATAGTGTGAAAGAAGAACTCTGTTGGAGTTAAACCCGAGTAAAAGCTGTTTTCTACAAATCCTTTAGCTTCTGGAGTTTTTGCTGAAATAATACAAAATTTAATAACTTGCAATAAAGTGTAAAAATCAATTAATAAAATGCATCTGAGAAACTTACAAAACCGTTTAAAATGTGGTAGTGACCTAGATTCAAATCCATCTGGCACACGATGTCCACTTAAGGCTTGTTGACCCACACAAGCTATCATTTGTGATATGTTAATATTAGATCCTAAAACAATAATGCAACAGTAATTTAAATCTATTTTGATTTAAGTACACTTCATTCTTACCTTTGGATCCCGAGAGAGCCATAATTAATGGACCATTAGTTGAATGAAGTTCTTGTAAACAAGCTTTACCAACAGAATCTCGAATTCCAGACAGTTGTTTTAAAATATTTGCTTCTAAAGTTTCATCCATGTTACAACCAGGTTGACATTTCAATTCTTTTGCATTTCTTAAACGAATATTTTCTTCACATAAGGCGTTACTGTTAAACAAAATACATTTAATCAATTAGAGTAAATAAATTGATTAACAAACTATAAATACATAACTCAATATATTATAACTTCTTACCCATTAATAACTAATTCATTTTTAGAACGCAGCAAATCACTACTTGGTGTAACATCACCAATACCAATTGAAAATCCCCGTAACATTAAAAAGTATGATGTAAGACGTGTTAAACGCCACATTACTTTGCAACAAACATCAGAACCCCAATCAGCAAGCAATATATAAAATATGTTTGATTTACTACCCGAACCTAATGTTGCCTTATCCATAGTACCAGCCAATAACTCTGAATTTCTTATGTAAACATCTAAATAAATAATTATCTTACTTTTAAAAATATAATTTTAATAAATTTACATATAGCTTACAGGAATCTCTGAAGCAAAATTCTTCATCACGAGTATATGATTTTCCTTTACACCTAAGATTAGCTTTCACTGAACACTTTTTACTGGGCCGCATAATTATACTTAATATTTGCTTTCCAGTCCAAAGTTTATGGGGCTAAAATGAGTAAAAGTATTTTTTAAATAATGGACTTAAGTTATTTATTAATATTAAGTAGTATACCTTAAGAATAGCTGGACGAGGTAAAGTTAAATCAACATTAATATCATCACCAGCCATTAGCCAACCAATCAATCTACTAGAATCTCTTTGATTAAGAAATGTATTTTTATGTGTTAATAAATATGCTCCAGTAATAAAATCTTGAGTAGCGGCAATAAGAATGTCTCCATTTCTTGGAGTGACTAAATTTGACTTATTCTAAAATAAAATTTAAAGGATTTAATGAGAACGATAATAGACCAAACTAATTATAACATACAATCATTAACAGACTCGCTTCAGCTCTAGCCTCTTCAGTTTGTGGCAAATGTAAATTCATCTCATCACCATCAAAATCAGCATTATAAGGAGTACATACACACTCATTAAACCTAAAAATTCTCATTAATAAATAAACCAGTTTAAAACTAAATAAGTTACACATACCTTAATGTATTATGTTCTAAAACCTTTGCACGGTGACACATAATACTTAATCTATGAAGACTAGGCTGTCGATTGAATAATACGATATCACCATCTGATAAATGTCTCTCAACAATATCTCCAAGCTAAATGACAAATATAAATAATAATGAATATATCAAAACTTTTAGAATTAACTTTATTTAAATATAAAATGGGGATGATAACTTAATTTTTGTTAAAAATTAAAAAAGAAGACTATACTTTACACAGTAGATGGGTTATTATTGTAGGTGAAAAGTTGGAAAGTAAAGGGGAAATTTAGTATATATCTGTACACAACAATTAATCATTACTAATGAAAAACTATTCTGAGCGGAGTTCAGTTGTACATATTTTAAAAGGCCATAATATTTACAGTTTCAATTTTCCTTACAATTTTATTTATTTATTATGAAAATCCCTGGAAAAATTATACAATAACCGTCTTAAAGTACCACCCTGTCAAATGTCCTTTCACAAAAGGTGCTACACTTGAAAATTGGAGCAAAATTTCCGGTAGAAAAGTTATTTACAGAAAATAACAAAAATAATATAAACGCCATTGTAAAACCCATATATTCCTCACTCCACTCAGAATCTAAAAAATAATAACAGTTATCATAGAAGAGTAAAATTATATATTAAGATAATACATCATATAAAGTTTGTTAAATACTGACTTTCAAATCTTTGGCTATAGCCGGTCTATTTCCAAATCTTAAGTATTTTTTTAGCTTAGATCCTTGAAGTTCAACAAAATTAGCTCCAGGATGAATGTCAGGTCCATTCATAACCAGCTTACGCATTAAATTAATATTAGATTGGCATACTTTTTGAGGAAATGTCAAAATTTTAGCCATGCGAACAGGAACACCGACCTATACATTCAGTAAATAAATACAAATCGCATTGTAAAATTGATGTTCATTACTTCTTCTATTTGAAGATTTGGATCTGGTGAAATTACAGACCGTGCAGTAAAGTCTACTCTTTTACCAGACAAATTACCACGGAATCGCCCATGTTTTCCTTTTAAACGCTGAACACAACCCCTAGCAATTTTTTTTGGCTAAATGCAAAGTTAAAATCAGATTTGTTAAAAACTTTTAAGAGTAGTTAATATTTTTATTCACCATCATTGTACGTGAAACACCAGATAAATCACTATTGATGTATAAGGCACAATGTAACTGCAAGTATTCCCAGTCTTCATGTAATAACTGGGGTTTTGCTCCAGAATGTTTATGTTTCACTATTACATCATTTATAAATAGAACTTCTGATAATTTTAATGTCAAGTCATCTTCATTTCTAAACATCACATAAAATCAATATTAATTTTTAACATACAAATATGTAAATCATCCTTACGTTCCAGATCGTATATCAGAGACTGCAGATGGACGAATGCAATTTGGAGGAACTAACATTCTTGTCATTAACAACCATCCAGGATTAGATACTTCGGGATTCATACCCAACAATATTATATCTTCGAAAGGTATAGATAACAATAAACGGAGTACTTCTTGAGGATTAAGGTTCTCATTGAATATATAATTTCTCATTGATTCAACTTCTTTGTTATACTTTACAACATCATTTAAAGCACCTAATTAAAAATGCACAATATTAATATTTATTGAGGAAAAAAAATGCATAGACATTAGGCAATAATAATTACAAAATTTAGCTTCTGCTTCATTGCCAGGTTTTTTATATCGATAACGATCATATGAGATTTTTAAAATACCATTTTTTTTCACTTGTCCTACAATCTCATTACAAAAAGGACATATCTGTACTTTTTTCGCCTTTGCATGAACTTCTTTAAATACTTTTTTCCGCATTGTGTATGTTAAGTTCTTATTTCTTAGTTTTGTATAAAAAAACATTCGGTCTTCATTAGTTAACAGCACTTTAGCACAAAATGGATTCTAAAATTAAATTGTATTATTTTCTGTAAGTATATCAAGAAAAAAAATGGTTACATAATACAATTTTTATTACTTTACAGATTGTTTGTAATATTGTTATAACAGAACTAAAAAAGCCAACATGAAAAACTGGAAGTTGTAAATCTATGAAACCAGTATGTCCGGGACAATCATTAAGTCCTTTATTACAAGTCATACATATTGCATCCTTTTGATTGACTCCCTGTCACACGTATATAGAATAAATTAACATTTGAATGTCAAATTGAAGATCGAAGATTAAATGTTCTTATTAATTTAATTTAAACTCACCAATTTATGATCGAGCACACCGTATGGATGAGGTGTACGTGCAGCATTGTTATTGTTTATAGAATATAGATTTCTAGTATTTATGCATAAATGCGATTTCCTTTGAATGTCTTGAGGATTGTCGACACCAAAGCTGATCTTAGATCTATTATTTTGATAGTAAATATTAACAAAATAATGTTATTTAATGTAATGTTCTGTTAACTATAATATTACTCACATGATACGTGAACCGTCTGTGTCCCTGTACTGTTCTTTAACCATGTTTTACACAATTTTAATTTTAAAAGGATGTATGGATCGACAAAACAATTAATAAAAACTATTTATGCAATTTCCCAATGCGGCACGTGCTCAACGGATAATACGGTGTTTTGGTTCGTTTGACAACAAGTTATATCAGTTATGATAACGGTAATCATAGTGTGTTACAAAATGAAAAATGATAATTGTTGAGCAGATTATATGAAACCTAACGTAACCTAACCTAACCTCCATATAATTTATATTGTTACCACGGTAACACGAAAAAATCTACTCGACCTTAAGTCATGTAATATGAATAGAGTTACTGCATGATAAACGCGTTGAAGACATTATTATTAACGATTGTTAAAGTGAATGATGTTTATTGTGCATGCGTATCAGTACTCGTCACATATTCATCGTATTATCATCAAAATACCACCAGGCAGTGATGGTACATCCAAGGCCGTATTACCGCTTATGCTGTTTAGGTCATAGCCTAGGACGACAATTTTTTTTATTGTGTAACGCAAAATTTACGTTGAGATATTATTTTTAAATTTAAAATATAAAAAACATGCTGTTTGAACACAATACCGGTACCTATTAAGCATTCAAAATAAACCGCAAATATAGTATATATATATATTATTTATTTGAGTACTAATATTATACGTAGAAATCGTGATGGAAGGAAGCATTAAAACAATTTATTATCTATGATTAAAACCCGTATCGGTCGATTATATTATTATAGTAGATAATGTGGAATATGGGAAAATGTCCGCGATAAACAATGACACCCAAAATATTATTTCTAATTTATAAGATACATGCTCGTACCTACCATTTTTATTATTTTGTTACACACCAAGCCGTAACGTTTTTCACCGTTATAAAGCAGAAATTGTCTTAAGTTGTGTATCAATTAAATAATTTATTTTAACAATTAGGTAGTGTAACAAATTTAAAACGAAATGCCTTAATATATATATATATATATATATATATTAGTGGCGGTTTGTGCTATGGTGCACAGGAACACGTAAACTATCCAAAATGTGTGTAAAAAAAAAAAAGGGGGTTTGTTTATAAATTGTTATTTAGTTGTTATATTGTATATTCACGTTAATAAGTTAGGGCGGCCATACTAATATTGTTTACACGCATTGACACGTTAGCCGATAGCACACTGTACATTGAATCACAATCAATTTGTGTACTAAACCTATATTAATTGTATTTCAAAATGTCGTTTATATAAATTTATAGAAAATGTAAAAAATTAATTTTATTGACACACATCATAATACTATCATTACTATTCTATTATTATTTATTATTATTTATTCATCTTCCTATTTTAATATTGAATGATATACTATTATAAATCACCTTAACTATAAATATGAAATGTGCTAATCTAAGTGGAGATAAATACAGAAAATTGGCCGAAGAAAAATCAGAAAAATAAAGATTGGCTTTTAAAAATGACCAGAAAATTAATACATTATTTATTAAGGAAGTAATTACGTGAGGAAGTCCAAAAATATTTTCTAGTGTCATAGACTCCGGAGATATTGAAACAGTACAGAATATAAATGGAAAAAAAAATACTTATTCTAATGACAGCACAGAGATAGAGTTACAAAACAAAATTAAAACAAGTGTTTTTAGTAAAGATCTTTCTCAGTGGATACGGACAGCCGACATTATTCACTTTGTGGCATCGCACGGTGTTGATTGAAATATGAATGTAGATTTTTCTAATTCCAAACGGATATATTTTGACCAAAGTTGGTATTTAACTAATTGTTAATATTCTATAGGATATTGCCAAACAATGAAAAGATTCTTAGAGCGTGGTTAGTTTATTCAGAAATTAAAGGGACTATATTTTGTGTGCCTTGCTGGTTATTTTGTGATTATGATTTGGACACTGCAGGTTTTAATGAATGGAAAAACGGTACATTTTCAATAGTAATAAATAATAATACGCACGTATATCTTAAAATTTAGGTGGGTGTGTAATGACTAATGAGTAGGTATTTTACCGACATGACTGGGATTTCACTTCAATAAACTTAAATAGCCAGTTGCCGGCTTAAACCTATTATCAGCCTATAAAAATCCGGTATTTCAATCCAATCAAGAGTTTCGACAAGAGATCGATATAAATGTATCATCTTCGGGATAATTAAAAATATTAATGGATTTGTTGAACGCATTTTCAGCCATATGTTTGTGGACGGCCAAGAGGAATCGTTTGGGAATTGACATGGTCAGAGCCGAATTGTATGTAAGAAATAACTTGACATATGCATGTACAGAGTTCTGTGAAAAAATGAAAAATATATATTAAATGCTGCAAAAAATACCTCTAAAAATATCTTAATATAACTTTAATAAAAAGGTTTCATTTGTTTTATTATTTTAAAATTGACAACATGAATACCTACTTCTTTAATGTAGCTAATAATGTAAATATTGAAATAAAATTTTATAAAAAAATTTTTTTTAGCCAGGAAGCCAGTATTTTGCAAAAGAAAAGTTGGCAACCCTAGGTATACCTAGGTGCCCTAAAGGAGCAGGAAACTACTGGCGACAGTCGACAGATATATATTTTGCTAAATGGAATCTTATAAAAAGCTATGGATAACAAAAATGACACAAAATATGCTAGGTACAGGTTGCGACCAATTTCAACTTTATTTTTATACTATATTTTTGTGTTAAAACTTCAGGGAGGTAAATGATGTTAAGGGTTTAGCGAACTCGGGGCTATAAGCTCCTACTAGTGGAAAGCCTAGGTGGGTGATTCTAGTAGGCATATACATATACGGTGTTATTTCTTTAGTGTGAAGGAGTTCACCTTATAAATAGTTTACAATACCTGATGATCATTATCCTTTGTAGGGAATCAGAATAATATCACAGAACTTCTACCTGTCATAAGAGGTAAAAAATAGTGTTATGTCAGGTTAACAGCCGGTGTAAAATTCTGTCAAACAATATGAGGAGTTCTAAGCAAGACTTGGGAGGATTATCCCATCTTGAATGTGGTTTATTATGAAGATAAGAAATCTAATGTGTATAGAGACAATGTACACCAAATTGCAAAATGATAATCCTGTAGAAAATATTCCTTATAATCATCTGATACACCTTTACAGTAGTAAAACATATTATCATAAATATATACAGTGAATGAAGGATTCAGTATCTTTTACTGGTATCATAAATCCTGTTGAAATATATTGAAATATCACTGAAGATACAATAAAGCTCTTTTAAGGTTATCCAAATTTTACTTTAATTAAAGGTAATCACATCTTTTAAAATATTAAGCTAGTGAATGAATGCAGTTTAGCGCATTCAATTAAGTTTTTGATTTCTGTCCATCCATTGATGACATATTCTACTTTAAGTTTGGGTAGGGCTCCTAGAGCATAATTTTGTTTTGTTCATTTTTTTTTTTAAATAAATGTACCTTTGATTGTCATAACAAAATCTTATTACATAATGGTATTTTATTATATAAAATATAAATATTATAAATTTTTAACTAGTATTTACATAATAAAATTATTTAAAAAAATAATATGATTAAATCACATATATTATTACTCGTATATAAATATAATTGTACTAAATACAATATTATCTTGTTAATGTGATCTAGCAATTTCTGAAAAATATTGTAATAGATCTTCAATAGAAAATTCTAATGAAATCATGGAACCAGGATAGCATCGTTGAATTAAGTCTTCAATATACTTATATTGTTGTATAAATTCTTCTTGCATTGCTCTCCAAACTACCTGTTAAGTATATGTCTTTGTTATTAGAAAATAAATGTTTTTATTTTTTTGGATTATCAACATATAAGTTAATATTCAATTGAGAAATACATAAATATAGTACACAAATAGAAATAAAACCATGATTACTTGTAGTAAATTTTCTTCTTCACTGAGATGTTTTTCCACTTTTTTGTATAAATGATCTAAGCCCTTTTTTACTTCTCTTCCATGATACTCTTTAGTGACTTTTCTTAACTCTTGTTTACTGAAAGCCATTTGATATCCAACTTCTGATTCTTTAATACCTTGTGCTACCTTAGCTTCAACTCCTTCGAAAAATAACTTAACACAAAATAAATATTATTAATAATTTATTTCTAATAATAAACCACTGTTGTACTTACGTTTAGTTTTTCAAGAGGTCTACCAAAATAGCGTGTTACATAAGCACTTAATGCCTCATTATACTTTTGTTTTGCATCCTTTCTGTATTGATCTAATATAGAGATTTTCAAATGAGACAGCAATGCATACAAATGATGAAAGTTCTCTAAACCAAAAGAATGACTATTCAACTTTATATAGTTTAAATTTAAGCATTTTCATGACCTACCCATTCGTATAACTTCAGCAGGGGTTTTAGGATGCTCATTAGCAATTGTATGAATTGTTTCAAACATAACAGTTATGAGTTTGACATACCATTTATCTAAATCAGTTCGGCGTTCAGTTTCTTTAAATATTTGTTCAGCTGTTTTAGCAAAATACTATAATAATTCAAAGCAAATAATAAAATATGTATATTTATAAAATATTAAAATGTTTTAAAATTATTCTTAATATACTATAGTTAAAATGATATATCTATTAAATATTATTTACCTCAAAGTTAGCTACAAAAGGAAGTATACCACATTTAGATTTTTTAGCAACTCTTACATCTTGAATCGATTTTAAATGTGCGTGCATGAGTTTATCGTAATTTCTTTTAACATGTACTAACGCAGATCCATAGGTCATGCTTAAAAAAGAACCAGTATCATTAGCAGACATAACATGACGACCTAATCTTACTAAAACTGCCATTGAATAACTAAAGAAACACAAAACAGTTAATAGTTTATATTAAACAAAATCTAAATAACTTATTGGAATACTAAAGGGTTGATAATAAATTACGTGCTATCCATTCTTTCATGATATTGTATAAATGCAATCAATTCTGGTTCAATACATGCAAAGATTTCACCCATCATTTTTCTAACTTCTTCATTAATTTTTTTCTCAATTTTTGTCTTGGGTAATGATGGTAATATGTCTGGGGTTGATTTTACATCTGTTCCATCCAAAGTTGTTTGGGTATTCTAAAAATGTTTAAAAATAATAAGTATGCCATGCCATTATGAATACAATATCATTATAATTAAGTAACTTTTATAATTATTGTAATTTATAATATACAAATTATGAAAACTATTACTTTGGTGGTAGGGCTGAGTATATCTAATTGAAAAAATGATACACAAAAGTTTTGTTCTGACAAACAAATTGGTTCAAGTTCAGAAAGAACTGCTTCCAATACTTGGTCAAATCTTTGTCGTTCTTGAGCATCACTTTCTTGTGCCCAAAATTCTCTATCTACACCTAATAACCAATCAGATGGTGGACCTGTTGATCTTCTAATATCTTCTTTTGAATTTGATAAATGACCTAAATAATATAAATATTATAAATTTATAATTTATATTTAAAAGCAAACAAAAATAGTTATTTAAATTTATTTTAAAAAAAGGTTACTCCATTTACAAATATTATAATAATTGAAAATAACCTATAATATGTACATTTTTTTAAAACAGAACTTGGATTTTCAGTTATAAGAATATTTATAAACATCTCTAAATTACCAGCATTTATACGCAATTTTGCATCATCCAAAAACAACTTAATATCTCTTTCGTAGAGTTTAGATAAAGATGATGTATAAACTTTAGTAAGTGCCATAAATGCTTTTCGATCCATTGCTTTACACCAGTGCATCAGGTCTGTATAAGCAGCAAGCTCACGATGTAGTGTTGTGTGTTTCATAATAGTCAATTCACTATTAGAGTTCACTTTTGATTCTCCAACATCATTTCCCTAATTATTAAAAAAATATTATTTTTATCATACAAAGTTGAATTGAGTTTTTGTTTTAAATATACCATATAAATAAATAGATTATTTAGATGTCTAGACAAAATTTGTGAAAATTTTGCTTTCCATTTTTCAAATCGTCTTTTTTGTTCTTGTATAGCTTTTAATCGTACTAGAGCTGGGTGAATTTGTGCATTCATCACAGCTTGTAATTCTTTTGCTGCTGCGATAGCATCCTGTAATCCAGCTGGTGTAGTCAAATCAGCATCAGTTAATGCCAACTGATGTTTCGGAGAGAGTTCTAATTGATGCTTTCAATAAAGGAAATCTTTAATTTCTAAAATATTGTATGTTTTTGACAATTATTTAGTACTCACAATTACTTTGTGAAGTTCATTTAGTAATTTTTCATTGTTACAATTAGCTGTTTGAATATTAGCATTTTTTTGATCCATCTTATCAATAGTATCTCGCACGTGTCTTAAGGTTTCATCATACAAATCTAATGCTGATTCTACTTTTTCAATTGCATGTATTGCTGTTTCTAATTGATCCATTAATTTAGTAACTTGAGGTTCTGAAGCAAGTACACTTTGTACATTCTCCTATATTATGAAATAAATAAATTGTTAAGTCATATTATTTGTGTGATTTTATTACAATAATAATCAACACCTTTTTAAATTTAAACCTGTTAGATTTTTTTTTTTTTTAATATATATGTATATATACTAGCTGTCCTATTTAGCTGCCGATTTGTATTATTATTATTTTACAAATATTAAATTTTGGTTTTGGCCGTGTCAGAATTGAACGAAAACAAATAGGTGGAAAGTGGGTAATCTACCTTTGATGGACTAAATGTGTTCTATTGTGAAATTTTAATAGTGCAAATAATAGTAATTATAATAGTTTTCTTTTGCATAACACCAAGATAACCCTTGAATAAACAAAAATAAATAAATAAGCATTAGATATTCATACCAAATATACATAAAACCCCTATTTAACCCCCATAGGGATTGAATTTTTAAAAATCCTTTCTGATTACACTGTGAAAGTATTAGAGGAACCACTATTCCAAATGTCAAAAGCGTACGTTGAGTAGTTTTTGAGATACAGCGATCAGTGTGTCAGTGGTATTTAGATTTTATATATACATAGATATATAAATATATGGTAAGAACTAAGAATAATTATTTAAGGTTTTATCTGACCTTAAAATACTATTCAGATTACTCACATAAAAATATATATACACACATAATACATATATTTTAGCAACTACTTACTCCATCAAGAGCCATTAATTGAGTTGATAGCATATCGGTAAATGCTTTAGCATCGTTTGCAGCAAATCCACATTCTTTCATTAATAGTTCTAAGTCTTGTTCTTCTTTTTCAGATAAAGGCTGAAAGTCTTCGGCACTAATAATAGGTGATACAGCTAAACAATAATGTTAAATTAAAAGCTAACAATGCGTTCATGCTCCATTGAAAATAATTGCTTCAAAGAAATTTTACATTTGTAAGTATGTGGTATAATTTAAAAAGTAGGCAAAGCTAAACTGTTATAGTAAATGTTGCTGAAATATTCCAAATGTGTTTACAATAACATAATAATAGTAGAGGTCTTAATTAATAATGTGAATGTGTAAACCTGCGCATGAATTTACTAATTGTAAACATGTATTTTAAGAGGGTTTTTCGAGTAAAATTTTAAAACACCGGCTTATGTAAACAAGTATAGTGTATACAATAGAGACCAATGAGTCTAACCCCCTCTGTCAGAACTCAAACTTTTTTCCAGTAAAAACAAATTAATACTTGAATACTAAAAGTTTAGGTTAGCATTTTTATAGTAATACAAATTTTACATGAATAAATGCTAAGGGAACTCTAGAGACTAAATAACATTAATATCTTTTTTACTACCAGAAGATAACTGTGATCTATTACTGGGTAACAGGTAGTTCTATTACTTTATATCATAGGGTAGACACAGTAATTGTAGCTTGTTATCATTGTATAATATATTTAAGGTAACTTAATTTATAAATAAAAAGTTTACCTTTGAAAATGCAGGGTCCGTGATTTATATTATTACAGATTAATTAATACACAGTATACAGTATATGGAGTACATACTCGGGTTATACATTTATTATCAGGGCTGAATTTTTAAAGACTAGCTAATTAAAAAAAAAAAAAGTACTTGTGTAGCTGTAGTACACAAAGTAACACTAGTAAACACACCAAGGATTTAAAATTAAATACCTTATGTAAATGTCAAGTTATCTTTTTATTATAATAATTATTAAAAATTAAATTAATTAAAAAGAGTAAAAATAAATAAATACCTAAAGAAAGTTTAGATTTTCTATCTGCTGGTAGGACAACTAAATCACCAGATGTCCAGTCCAGGGGTAAATTTTTAAATTCTGGCTTTTTGTCAAATATATAGCTTGCACATTGCTAAAATTAAACAACTTAATTAACCCATTATTATACACTACCAAAAATATATTATAATATTTTTAAATTATTATAGTTTTTAATATTACCTTCCATAAAGATATCAAAAATATTTTACGCTCCTGATTATTAGTGGCTATCCATTTATATGGTTTATCCAATGTCAACTCTATTTCTAAACAATCCTTAAATACAAATAAATAACAACAAATATTTTTCATAAACTTATATTAAAAATTATAGGTATTTATGAACAACCTGAGAAGAAGTTTTTCCATCGACAGAGCTTAATTCATTTAATGACCAAATTCTTTTTTTTTTCACAACTTTATTGTCAAATTTAATCTGAAAGCAGTTATTAAATAAAAAGTGTGAAGAACTAGTTGCCTATTATATATACACAATAATATGGTGTTATTTGGTAAAATAAGTAGATGCTAATTTTTTACTAATTATTCTTTAACCAAAATATAAATTCATATAATAGTATTCATTATTGGTCATAAAATTATACCTGGTGAATATAAATATTAGAAGGCGGTTCTTTAGTGTCAGATAAACACAAATATCCAAATTTCTTTTTTTTTGAATCATTACTGACACCAACAAACGCTAAAAGTTTTTGATCGCATTGGTCGAATATTTCTTGCTGTAAAATTTGTCTAGCAGTTGCCATTTCAATATTATTTAACTAAAAGTGTAAAACTTTGATTTAGTGTTAATTTTTTAATTTATAGATTGAATAAAATATGAAATATTGTTCATGTCATCTTATCTTCTGTTATCTGTATTAACAATTAATAAATGATAACAACTAAATGTTGAAATCATATGGTTTTGCTATAACAATTGACAAAATGATAATTAGACTAACAAGAGAAAAATAAACCCACAGTTCTCAGTATTTCAAACAATAAATTAGAATTTTGTTTTATAGTTACTTATATTAGTAAGTGTGAATAGAACACATAAAAACTAATAAAATATTCACAGTCCTATTTTAACATAAACTAGGTAGGTACTTGACATTTTAAGAATACCTATATAAAATTACCTATAATAAAACCATTTTAAGTAGATGCATAGGTAGGAGGTAACTATAAGCAGTGTTCAAAGTGGAAAAATAAAAGAAGAAGGAAAATAAGACCAAAAATAAGTCATCCTAACACATGGGGGGCTTCGTCCCTGATTCCCCTCCATATCAATTTTTAAACATAATTTAGTACCTAGATAAATAGGTAATTAATAATTACCAAAAAAAACACTACTGCAAGATAAGTTTTTGTTTAAATATTATTACAAATATTACTTATATGTTTTTTTTTCTGTCTGTAAATAGACAATCTTAAATCTATAAACTTCAGGGTACATGGTTTCTGGTTGAAAAATTAAAAGGGGTTCCAGGGAGGGCCATAGCCCCTTGAGACACTATTACACTAGACTCCCAGGGCCTCAGTTTTTACCAAATTTTGTTCTTTATATATGCATTTATCCATTAACTTGTACTTTAATGTTTTGATATTTTTTTGTTACCTGATGACTTATTCGTATTACTTATTATATAAGTAGTAGGTACTAACTACTAGTGACTGTTAAAAATTATGTATTTATTTTTTAAATAATATTTGTGACTTTTGAATTGAGATGTATATGCCGTCTATACTATTTATTATTTTTCTTTAAGGTATTGATAAGTAAACATTTAAAAAAAACCGCATGATTGTTAATCTTTCAATAAGAGTGTCGTTGGAAAATTTGGCTCTGGGGCCTCTAAATGTCTTAATCCAGGTCTGGGTAGAAAATATTTTCGTCAACCAAACCAAAGCACTTACATAATAACGGTTTCTGTTGTATTTGATTTCGTATTTTGTTTTAATTAGGTGAAAAATAATCGTAGACTGGGAATCTCTCCGAATATTTACAAATACTTTCTAATAAAATAGCATTTTCCAGACATGCTACAACCATACAAGTTTCAAAACATTTTGTTTATTTTTCATTTATTTAGAGCTATTAAAAATTATTTAGTTTTTAAAATTAAAAGAAAAAATATTTCCAACAAGACAATCAAGAAACAACCAAATAGAAGCTGTCCTAGGATAATGGGGACGGGTGCAGCCACTGTTATAGGTAATTTAATGTATACCTGTTAGCAACGATAAACCATTGCTAATGAAAAAACGATTTTGAGCGGAATTCAGTTGATAGTGATGCTTTATCAACAATATATATGTCAAATTATGGCAAAATTATTAAATAGGCATTATTTGTTTATTTTATTAATATTTGTTAAATGTTGTACCGATTTTCCCGTTATTTCTACGTTTTTCCCGTTTTCCTCCGTTTTGTTCTGGTTTTTCACAATTGTTGAGAAAATCGATTGACCTCCCGAAAATACCTTCTCAGTCAGATTTCCTTTCAGAAAGAGTGCTATTACTGTAAATCGGAACAAAATTACTGGTAGAAAAGTTGTCCACAGGAAAAAAGAAAAAAAAACCATCTTTTTAAAAAATATACATGATAGGAAAGATAGGAAAACAAAAACACCAATAGATTTAAAGTATGTCATTATCTGGGAAATATGGTGTGGGTCTCACATTTAAACACTAATGATTCAATGAGATTCAGGCGTTTGAAAATCTGCGTGCGACGTCATAGAGCCGAAATCTGAACGAAGGCATACGTTTTACGTGCTAAAGTGTCTAGATTAACACAACGATTTCAATCGTTAAATATAATATTTATTTTTTTTTTTTATGTAACCCTAAGTGTTTTTTTAATAGTAGACAAAACTATTATTGTCAATTTCGTAAAATTTGGTTTGTGCCACTGCGATGTGCCGCGCGGCAATACGACGCGAGTCGCGAACTCAATAATTTTACTAAATTATAATTTATAATATGTATGCAACAACAAGATATGTTCAATTTTAAATCACACCATCGTCTTAAGCGTATACAAATATTTAGGATTACGAAAATAAAAATCCGGAAATACTATTTTAAGTTATTAAAATCATTGTGTGAATCGAACTACTTTTACACGCAAAACATAGGCGGGCCGCCCAGTCGTCGGCTCTACGACGTCACGCGGGGCTATGCATCAACTCTCACCGTCTCGTTGAATAATACTTTTTTTGACTTCGGATTTTTACCATAACGTTTTTCATTATGTCGACTACAATAATACGCCAACGGACTTGAAAATGTTAATGGACAAAAAAAAAAAAAAATTAGCGTTGTGATGTCCTTGTAACTCGAAAATCTAAAAATCTAGCTGTTGCTGCTGTTGACATGCCTAATACCATTCCCGTGTTCTTAGAGTAGGTTAACCTGTCTACTGATAATATAATATTACCGTAAACGGATCATAAATAATTAATTACGCCATCACGCGTATAAATATAATACAAATAATATGGGTACAATATCTATAAATACATATTTAATAGTAGGGAATTTAATAATAAACAAACAAGTGATATGTTTGTTTTCACAAATTGAAAATGTACCGGGGTACGTTATAATATCGTACTTGCCCAACCCAACGGCATGCCACCGACGGACGAGTCAGGCTCGTTATCCGTATTGTTTGTATAGCTATTAAGTTTGACCAATCGGCCGATATTCCAAATGGGTCGTTTGATTGGCTATACAATTATTATGCAATTGTTTGTTACATTATTGTCAATCGTATACCGTATTATTATAAAAATAATCGTTTTATGGAAAAACGAACTTTCACCCGTTTGTAATATTAATAACGAACGTCTATAGTCACAGTTTTAAGGTGCGACGTAGACAATAGGTAAGTGTAACCGACAAATCTCAAAACATCGCGACAAAAACTACGAAATATTTAAACATGTTTTATTAACCGAAAGGTCTAATATCAACATGTTTGCTAACTATAGCGGTACGTATCACTATGTTCTAACACATTTTAATTTTATAGTCATATTGTGTACTTGCTTAGGATCCAAGTCGGGTACCCACCTATTTTATTAATTCGCATTTTGGATTTTGATTGATCTATTTGGTCAAATGTAAATACACTGAACAGGATACTATGAAAGGTTAGGTGTTTAGGGTGTCTGAGCAGGTTTTCCAATTATGTTAAATTTAAAAATTAGTTTACACCATTTTAATAAACGATAATATTCATCCACTTAGGTATCTATTAGGTTTTGATTAGACAAACTGTCTGATACCCATCAGCCCGAGAGAGCGGATATCGCCATTTTCACGGACGAGTATGACGTCTTACCATGTTTAACCACTGGTAAATGAAGACATAAATCCCAATTTTAATTATTAAATTATGGATTTGTGGATAAATTCTCTGGATTTCTTAGAAAGTCGGTTTTCGTTTTAAAATTCGGTAGGTAATTTTATTTAGGTACCTATCTAATGTATTTCGGTATTTTCACGGAATTTTCAAAAGTAATATCATAAATTTAGAAGTTTTCAAAACTGAAAATTAACTTTCCAAGAAATTTAGAAAAGTTGTCAACATATATACAATTACATATTTTAAAAATGCAATTGTCCAATTGGCAATTACCAACTGCTTACTGGTCTTTAGAAAACCATAGGTACCTATGCATATTACCTATATAAGGGTATCCCCTTAAAAATAGAGTCGTTGATAGGTCGTATGCTATTAGGTCGAGTAGTTATCATAAAATTGATTATTTTACAAGTTATTTTAATTAATATTGATTTAAAATTTACTTTTACTGTGATTAAAATAAAATTGAACTGTTCGTGAATCTGCACCACTAAAATACCTCCCTTTTAATACGCTCAACAACTATAAGCCAAGTGTTATCCAGAGGGAGGGGCGATCGTCCCCCGTTTAATCTCAAATATACGCTTAGCTCGATTAATCTTCGAGCTTGTCATAAATGCGTGACTAATATGCATTTTCAAAATCGACCCCCCCATTAGCTTGTCCTGGATCCGTCCCTGTTGTAAGCATAGTGGTGTCGACGATTAGTCATAGAACGTATAGCGCTAACGGCGCGAGGGGAGGGAGGGGGTGAGAGCTTTCTCGAAGGTTCAGGCTGCGTGCGTGAATGCGGTTCAATCTTATCCTGAATAGAGTAGAGGTGTAGTTAAAATTTAATGTGTAGTATATGGGTACCACATAAGACACATATTATGGAGACATAATAATTTATTGTAGAATTCATAACTTTACACATTTGATTGATAAAAATATTATAACATCTTTAGACGAAACTGAATTATTATCTTTGATGTTAAATAAAGAAGAATTTGTACGGTATATTAGTCAACAGTTTAAAGATAATGATTGCCACACAAAACTCAAACCGTTAATATGGGCAATACATTTAAACATTTCTAAACACCGAAGATTACCATTGTTAGAAAAAATATTTCACCAAAATATGCAATATATAAAAACATGTTATAGTTTTTTACCAGAAAAACAAATATTCGGAAAAACGTATGAAGCATTAGGAATACCCACTATTTGTGGAGAACCCAAAAAGTATGTACAATTTGGTAACTATATATTATATAAAAGTAAAAAAATTTGAATACTTACCTATCAATTGACAATATTAAATATTGTTTAAAAAATAACAAATGTATTATTAAAATTTTTATTTGTTGTACATTTAGGAGATTTTTTTTTTAAACCATCAAAATATAAATCGAAAAATGATTTATTTTTTTTATGTATCTGTTTTTTATGTATGAAGTTATTTTTATGTTCATTTAATATGTTTTGTTTTTATTTTTTTACATGTGCCATCATTTTTTATTTGCAAATCTGCTTTTGTTGATTATAAAATTTAAAATTAAAGTATTAAGTTCCAAATTAAATTGTATGAATGAAAGGTAATCAAATTTGGTGGTCCATAGAGGACATGGTTAAAATAATCACAAATATACATTTGTAAACAATGTTTTTTATTATACCTATCCTATTAATAAACATAAAAATAAAATTACACCATAGTAAAATAAGGATATAATATATTATAAGATTCATATACTAAACAAAATATTAAAGAAATTCAAATTATTTATTAAACTGAAATCAGAATAGTGATGTGAAACTAAATACTCTATATATTTAACTAATTTTAAAAAATTATTTATTTTTAGATGTTTTTTAAATGCATATAAAAAATATAAGTCATATTATCCTGTACAATTTTCTGAAAAATCTTCTACAATTTATAATGAATACGAGTCAATTAAAAAAAAATCATGTAAGTATATTAACTGTAGTAATTGATTATAATCTATATGAATAACTGTTGTTGGTATTTATAATCAAAGATAATGATTAATTTAGGTCCAATTTACAACTTTTGTAATTCTAGTAGTTTTACAAACATTAGAATCGATCAAGGAATATTTTGTAGCACTCCTCTTACTAAACACAAAACGTGTATTGAGATTAATCCAATAGTAAGTCCAATAAGAACACCAACATTTGGTTTGTTTTCTGACCAAGAAGTTGAATACTTAAATATGTCGAACTATATAAAACAAAATAATACTTTGAATGAAAGCGAGCAAAGAGTATTGTTATCAAAAATAGAAATATGTGGCTTAACTGGAATAAAATACTTAACTGATGTTAATAGTCAATACATTCAGGTTGAAAATGACGTTTCACAGTCAAACATAGGTAATAAAAGTGACTCGTGTAGTGAGGAATTTCAAAAGAAAGTAGTTAAAGATAAGAATGTGATTTTACATAATTATGAAAATTCAAACCAAAAAAGCTATATAAAATTAAAACTGGACAATTCATTAATTCAAGGTCAAGAATTAAAACATACAGTCATATTGAAACAAAGTTTAAATAAAAATAAATATTGCAATAATAATAATTTGTGGATACAAAAGAAAAAACAACAGTCATTAGTTAATAATATAATATCACACATTAAACAAATTAAACATAAAGTGAAGAAACTAAATTCAAAATCAAGTATAAGAAGGTTGTGTGTTAAACAAATGTTCAATGATATATCAACTTCAGATTTAGATAAAACGGACCAAATGCCAATAACAATAGAAAACAATGAATGTACAAAAGACTACTATAATAAAATAGAACAGGATTCAATTATGTTGGAGCATAACATTGAATCAGAACTGCAAAATATGAATGATTTAAGTATGGACAAAGAAAATTATAGAAGTAAGGAGAATACCGTGATTAGTGTAAATTCTGTTCCATTAGTCACTAGTCTATTAGATCATAATACAAATACAGTATATAATGTATCCAATACATCTGATATGAGTACATCAGAATTTATGAAATGGTCACACGATAGTTATTGTGCAAGTGATTGTGAAAAAAATAGCATAAACGATAAAAAAGTAACTACAGTTTTCAACAATCAACAATGTAATGAAAATATATACTCTAAATCCAAAGAAAATATAAACGTGGTTAGTATATAAATAACAATGAATTATTAATACTAACATTGTAATTTTGTACATTTTAATTTGTATCTGTTTTAGAGTTTTTCCAAAGAATTTGACATATTATCATTGCCATCAGCAAGTCCAATATATAATCTGATGTACACACCTAATAACAAAACAACAACAGTTTTCAACAATGCAGAATTTAACAAAAATATGTACTCAAAATCTAAAGAAAATATAAATAAGGTTAGTATAAATGTAACTATTATTATCATGTATTATTATGGCATGTAGAGACCTGATTCTTGATTGACTAACTGACTGGTCCATCAACGCACAGCCTAGACTATAGGGATTAGAAATTTGAAATCCAAAAAGGATGGCTGATACAGGGTTTTTTAGTATTTCTGAAACGAAAAGTTGTTAGTATTTAAATTTTACGGGCAATAACTGTTAACTAGTGATAGGGAGTTTTATTTTTATTTTGTTAAATACCGATTACTGGATTTTGATTATATATATATATCTTTATATGTAATACAGGTATATTTTGGATATATTAATGCACACTTAATGCTTTATGTTAATAAAAAAACACTAATAATTTGACCAATCTATTCTAGAGTTTTCCCACGGACTTTGACATATCATTATCATCAATAAGTTCAATAGATAATAAATCTATATTAGATTTAATTAATAATTCTGAAAAACAATAAATTCCAGTATTTAAATCAATATTTAATTTTGATGTAAGTGAATACATTATAATAATATAATATTATGAATCATTATTTGTATTACTATTTAAAATTTATATTTTTCTTTTAGGAAGGCTAAAGAAAAATATTAAAAAATAGTATAGTAGCAACTTATTCAAGAACCATTAACAAAAAAAAAAAAAATCAAGCCAGCTATCAAAAATATAAGAGAAGAAAGTATAATTTAATTTATTAATTTATCATAGTTTAATCTTTCTTTTATTAACAAATTAAAAATTTGTACTACATATTATTTATATATATATATATAAAAAAAAATGTTAATACAAAATATTAAATAATAAGTAATATTTATAATATCTGTAAATATTATACAAATACATTTTTAATATTAACAATAACAGTATATTAAGCGAGGTAATTATCTATACATTTTTATTAACAAATGATTGTAAGCAAATCAATTATAGTAAGAGAAAGCACCAGGAAATATAAATTTAGTTCATAATAAACTTGCAAATAAACAATAAAATAAATTTTGTATAAATAAAACAAATGTAATTAAAACAAAAAATTAAAATAATTTTACAGTTAAAATGTATAGTATATTTTTATTTTTGTTACAAAAGTACTTAAAAGTATTTAAGGACGGTTTTAATAAGAGAATAAATTTAATAATTTAATATTGTCAAAATGAATATTGAATTGTTTTAAAAATTATTATGACTGACTTTGAGCATTGAATGTCTGTTTTGTTACATATAATGTATTATACATTGATATCAAAACTAAAAAAAGGCAGTCATTAGGCGTATAAAAACAAAATTATTGTCTGTGCTGAACTGAAATATTAAAAATAGAAAAATAAATTGGTTCGTACAAAATGTTGAGCTTACAAAAGTTTAATTAATGAAAACAAGTTACTGCCATTTACTTGGCATTTAATATTTATACTATATGGTAAACTTAATGTCTTTGGGACTCAATTACCAAAATTTATCTTTGGAAAATACGTAATATTTAAAAACTAATACAATCACAAATAAATATAATATGCATTTTTTTTGTGCACTCACAATGTTGCTAAAGTTCCATTACTATTAGGCAAACTCATGTCAGTGTCATTTTGAGGACTAGAATAATTTGCTGCTTCTTGAAGAGTCATTAACATATTTAACTAAATTTAATAAAAATAAATTAATAACAATGAATAAGTTAAAGTAAAAAATTTAACTGTATACCAATGGATCGTGATCTGGTTCCATGTCATAGCCAACGTCTTCTGGCCGTATTCTGATGAACGATTCTAAAGTTTTATGCATAGTATTAGACCAAGGATATGACTGAATCACAAATGAAGCTGGGTCTTTCCAAGCTGCTCTTTTTCCATACAACTTGATTCCTTCACGAACCATATCCATTACATATGGAACTAATGAGTAGTTCCATAAATCTGAAAACCACATTTGAGATGTTTCCAGGTCCATTGGACATGTAACAAATAACACAGGACCTAAAAATAAAAACAAAAAGGATCAGAGATGTTAATAATAACAATAACAAAATATTCAAGTTTATATTTAAAATTGAATATTACCTAATGTAACTTCAGATGAACTATGGGTCTCAAGCAACTGATTTAAATGATTCCTAACTTCAGGTATCCATTCTACAACTCGTTTTAGTTGTGCGTTTCTTTGGCCAAGTCGACATTCATGTTCTACAAGTTTACGTCTTAAATGGCGACCAAGGAATCCTTTCATTGGTTCCATATGATTAGCACATAATACCCATCTAAAGTTGTGATGTAATTGAAGACTAGTTGTAGAACATGTTGATTGGTTAATAGTTCCTATTATATATGGACATTTAGGACTTTGAAAACCATTGAACACATCTGGTAAAGACAATGCTTTATGTAAATTGTCTAAAATCACAACACATGGAATTTGGGATGGATCACAATCAGCTTTATCAGATATTTCGGATAAATACTGTTGTAAATCTTTATTATTAGTCTCATCAACACTGAAAATATTTAAAACATACAAATAAGTCTTTTAAAAGATTTTTAATTATTATAATAGAACTAACCTAAAAGTAACAATAGTTGAAGAATTGCATTCTTTTCCCATTTTCATTACTAAAAATTCTGCAAGTTTATTTGATAAATATGACTTGCCAGTACCACTAGGTCCACACAATATTATTCTATGATGCTCACTTAATAAAGAGACATATCTGAAATACAGAAAATTATAACTTTATTTAGCTATTCTAAAAGTGTCTAAATAATATTAACATTTATATTTCTAATAGTATGAAATTTGAGAATTGTTTTTTAAGCTTAATATGTTTTTGCATACCTTTGGAGAATACTTTTCGGTATAAGGGTATCAAATGCTAAAGCGTCTAGACTACCAGAGGAATGCATAGCACCTTTAAGACAAATAAATATATTTGACCCATTAATCATACACTCGTATGGTGATTTTTCAGGAGGTTTATAATCAGTCGTATTAGATATATATCGAATTATATCTTCAACGTGATAGCTCCATAGAGAATCAACACAAAGCCCTAGTTTGGTCATAGGATCAATACGTTCTACATAATCCTAAAAAAAAAATACATAATTTTCAAGATTAATACTATTTTTATATGATTTATTACAAATAATTATAGACCATGTATGCCATGTGTTATAACTGTTGGGATTTCAAATCTAATAAAAGTTATAAAATAATTACTTACTTTAAATCCTTTAATGACAAGTTGATCAACCATATCCCATTTTGATTTTGGGGAAATAGGTAAAGCAGATATCACACATGCTTTGGTTTTATTTTCTTTAAATTTGGTATAACTGCCATGGCTACCTAAATATACGCTAACTTGGATCAACATTGCGTCCGAATCTAATGATGTTAATAATGTCTCTGCCATTTCATCGCCTAATAAAAAAATACATATAACATATACAACATACAAGACCACTATAACATGTTATTAACAAAACACACTTTGAGCATTATTTGATGTTGGTGGAGACTGCAAGGAACTACAACTGGACTGAAGAGATTGATTAGTGACAATTTTTTGTAGTCTTTCATTATCTTGTTTTAAATTTAACATTTCATCCTACAAGGAAAAAAAATACACGTAAATTAAAATAATTACAAAAACTGAAAGGTTTAAAATTATTTCATTATTTACATACTCTCATTTTAATGACTGTATCTTTTAAAGATTCGAGTTGATGAGCAGAACTTAGGGCTTCTAATCTAATATCGGTTAAAACAAGGTCTTTTTCTCGAAGTTGTTTTCTGAGCTGTTCAACCATTTCTGGACTTGAGTCATGTTCTGCACGATCACAATCGTACAAACTCCTAAAAATCAAATGTGTAATAAAATATTATTCTTTCAGTGGTTATTATTATAGTCATGTACATACGTAGTGGATGAATGACTATTTTTTAATCCTAATCCATTCATATGCGGAGTGCTAAGCATTGGTGACGAAGGTGCGGACAAATCTGACAGAAAAGCATTTTGATGATTTCGAGCAATATGTGCTTCTTCGGCGTCCGATAGAGAGTTGCTACGATTTTTTTTTGACCGTGAGAAAGCTTTGCTGAAGGAACTGCGTAACTAAAATTCAGAATAAAACAATTTATAAATGTATACTATTTGAAAATTAAACTTGGACAGTGTTAGAAAAACGTAGTGGTGTATAAACATTTTTTAACAGATAAATACGTTTTTTTAGCACCAATCACTTTAATTAAGGCATCATACGGATATATTTGGTCGTACCCATCCTCTTTTCTTCTTCTTGTCGGCTTCTGATTGTTGTGCTGAACTCGATGCACTGCATGCCGATGATAGGGAATTCAAACTCGAAACCGAATCTGTCGACAGTTGACGCGAAATGTTATTGCCTAAAGACAAAAGTTTAAAAGTCTATGGGATAATAATACGTGCTTTGGTATACTACGGGTGTATCACTAAAAAACAAATACTTACCGGTGCTAGAATCAGCAACGGAATTAATTGTATGTCGTCTTTGGTGATTACCATTTGGATGATGATTTCCTGAATCAGCACTTTGTTTTCTCAACACCTCGATCGTTTGTCGCAATTCGTGAAGTTCGTGATCCTAAAAGTGATACAATAGGTATAAAATTTAATAAATATTGTTGAACATTACCTGCAATATATTTTTAAAATAAAATGAATATTTACCTTTTTTTCAGCTGTAGCAGTTAATTGTTGAAGTCTTTGGGTCATATTGGATAGTGATTGCTCAAATGCAGACACCACGTGAGCCTAAAACAAGCAAATAAACAAATAGTGTTTTTCCATTAACTCGTTTAACACAATAACTATATTATATTATTAAACTTCTAACACGATATATCCAATATATTACATTCCTTCATAATGTACTATATAGATGTTCGCGTAATAAATAAATAATAAAATACAGGGATACTTAGTATGATATATCTTTACTTAATAAACCGGAAAAATTTGGAATAATTTTTGTTGATTTCTGAGTTACTTTGGCCACAAGGGAAATAGTACGACTCATAATTTATTCTGCTCAGAATCGTTTTTCGTTAGTAGTGGTTTATTGTTACGCACAGATATAAATTAAATAACTTAACATTAGTTAACCCAACCTTTTAATTTCCCTCCTATAACAGTGATACACCAATCGGCTACAGTTTATCATACTTTTTTTTTCATATTTGTTGACAAAAAGTAATATGCAAATACATAGTTTTTGGTTACCAGAAAGTTCCTATAAAGTTTTTGATCGGAACAAGATTTCTCAAAAAAATATATCACTTTAAAATTACTCGCTACGTTCAAAATCTAAAACACGATGTATAGGTTTTTATCCGGTCAGACGCTCACTGCACCGTTTTGTTTTGACACGATCGGACGAACATAATATAATAATAATAATAATATACTTTATCGTCGTTTAAATTCGGGCGCGGTTTATATTCGAATATTATGTATAGAGGTTCAACACACACCACAACACACACCACACATTTCCTAACGTTTCATTAATTAGGAACCCGATGGGGGACAAACTAAATGTGTTTAATGGATCGACCGGATTTCGTTCACACAGATGTCTTCTTAGAAAAAAAAAAAATTATAAAAAAATGGCCAAAGTATAAAATATAAGTACAATATTAATCGTCGATATTTGATTGGCGTTCGACCAGAAAAAAAAAATGTAAAGCCGAAAAAATCTATTAAATACAAATTTCATGTTTTTCCACCGATATTTGTTTTCTATTGTAATATTTTATTACCGAAGACATGCGTGGTCTAATATCGCAGTTAAAAGGCAAATAATTATTTGTTATTTTTACTTTCTCGAAAATATTAATTTACGTAGATACTTAGTTAAAGCATTTTTTCGCAATAGGTAACTATAAGAAATATCATTGAAATCTAAGAACCTACTTAAAAAAATAATTACAGTCATCAACACAGTTGAATTTGTTTTCCGTTTGGATTTTGTAGTTAACAACCTTTATATGTTACCGGAAATGTTGATTAATTTAGAAAATTATAATAACTACGGTTTGGGTAATGACAGAGCCGTGTTTGGGGGAGCGGGAGGGGTGAATCCCCAAATTGTTTTCTAGATTCACATATCAAGTTATTATAGGTTGTACTTGCTCTCTTCTAATTACCAAACAATATTAATTATTACTCTAAGTAAAGCGTTTGAAAATTAAACAAAAAGTAAGTGGTATAATAATAGTGATATTGTTAATTTTATTTCGTGTTGAGTACCGAGTCGGACGCCTCATAATTTTAAAAAGGTAAGGCGTCCCGGGGGAAATGACCTATTTTTAACACGGGTAACGATATCGAATGTCTATAATAAACGTTATCATTCCCGTGGTTTATGATAGGCAACGTCACTTTCCAGCACTTAATTTGAAACTGTACATTGAAAATATTAAAAAATAAAAAAAAACCCTCTGTATATTGTAAACCTCTTTATACTCGGGTGAAATAAATTTTGGTTTCGAGACTGGTATTATAGAGCCAGAAGTGTAACGTCGGAACGATATTTTTAACCGTTAAATTAACTTATCGGCAGAAACACTATCGGCATTGTTTAAGGCTAATAATGTATGTGTCCCAATAGAATAATATTCAGTGTACATGAGAAATGTGTAGGTAGGTGGGTACATTTCACGTGTATTTCATATAAAAATCGACTGAATAAAGAACGACACACATAATATCGTCTCGACATTTAATAGTGAAAAAAAAAAAAATGCTATTGCCAGCAAACAATAACCCGACACGTTTTTATCCGGGGGCAGTCGGCGACCGAAACTATTATACCGATAAACACGTCACGAATAAATAGGCTCAATTATTAGGTGCGATACGTATTGCGCTGTGAACGCAAACAATGCATTCGCGACAATTGTCCCGCGACACACTCGTATACGAATATTTATTTTGTAAACCTAATATTTACACAAATGATAGTGTACGTACGGGTTTAACAAAGGCGCGCGTAACGTTTTTTTAATATAATATTTGGAGTAAGTATTGTGAAAAAAAAATTGCTCCGTAAAATATTATGCATAATGTTTTCAAGGCGATGAATTCGGTCCAGATGCCATTACCCGATTACCCGAAATCGTTCAAAATTTTTTTTAGCCTAAAATATCATTATTTGGAAAATGTATTGAATAATAATAATAATATAACGTCTGAATCAACGCTGTACTTGGGAATTTTTAATGGAGAGGGGGGATTAAGACAATTTACCAGGAAAATTATCGTGGAGGTCGACACGATTGACACTATCGCTAATCCGAACACACTGTAATTGGAATTTTTATCACAGACAATAATACAATATTAACTAATATCCATGAAATACAAAATCTAATGGTATTTCCTTCAAACTTAGCTCATCGATGACCTCTTCTAATGAAATTTTAATGACAACTATTATTGAAGAAGGAAAAAAATATTTAATTGCACAACGTGTCCGAATGTGTTACCGAACACTATCACTTATACAGTGCCTATGCAATAATACAATTTATGATAATTGTGCCGTTTGGTATGTCTATTTAGAACGATTTGACGGCATTTCAAACTTCCTCAACCGTGATAACTGTAATTATTTGCTTAATCACGGTTCACGGGGAGGTTTGATTCTCCCCCAACATCTTCGTAAATACGCCACTGATATGAATTAAAACGCAACTTTTTGCCTGCGTTTTCAAACTCAACGAAGTCAAACATCGATGGATGGTTGCGGTGATTTAAACCTTTTCTAAATCCAAAATTATCAATTTTACCATCGACTTTGAAATTAAATTGTCGTCGAATAGCCGACTCGGCAGCCTCGATTTTCAAGTTCTGTGGCGGTGTCAACACCCCACCCCCTTCCTATCACTGGCTATAAGGGAAACGGTCGGGCGACTGTTCCGCCCGACTTAAACCACGAATTATCATAATAAACAATAATTTTTATCCTTAATAATAAATAAATCATTTACTATCCACTACCACTAATAATAATAAACAACGACGATATTATCGCGTCATCCGTTTAGCCGGGAAAAATGTCCGACTTATCGTCTTCACGTCTCGAGCACACGACGCGGACCACTTGAACCGGGCGCCGCTTCTATTTTTAAAAGCATCACCGGTCGTCTTAGCGCCCTCGTAGTTTTACTATAATACGGGCACCGTTTATAGACCATAAATAAAATATCGTATTTTATATTGTTATAAATACGGGTGTATTAAAGCCGCGGAGAGAGAGAGAGAGAGAGAGAGAGAGAGAGCGACGGGTTTTGGGTTTTTAATGTAATTCTGTCGTTCCGAGGAAAACACAACGGCCGTACACCAAGGCAGGTCGGGTCTCTCGGAATATATAATAATATTGTAAAACACTCCAAACAAAACGTGTACGCGGACGAGCGTTTAACGATTTCTCATTAAAAAAAAAAAATCATGTACACACACACAGGACAAATCGGGAATGGTGAGTTCCCGAGTGGTGCAACACGGGTTGCGTTCGAAAATTCACCGTAAGTTTACGTGAGTAGGAATTAATTTTAATAACTATAATATGAACCAAATATATGTATATATATATCCATTAATATACACTGACAAACATTATTTCAGATATCGATAATAAAATGATAGGTAATTGTTTAGATTATTTTAATTACGATTTTTAAGAGTTTTGGTAAAAATTTGGGGGGAGGGGGGAAATCCGGATTCCCACAGCCCCTCGGCTCTCTCAAGCCTCGCTAGCAATAAAAGCGAAACAAAAATATGCATAATATTATTTTTTATCGTTGCACACAATAAGCATAACAATCAGTATAGTTCAATAACCTATAGCCATTTTCCGGGGTCACAAGAGTTAACTCTAAAGAAAACAACTCCGCGTTAAAGTTCAGTGTTTAAAGATTTGTTCCCTCACAACGGTACAGCGAACCTATCCGTGGCTAAAAGAGGGACAATTTGGCATAAGGTTCATTGTAAATTTGTACTCGGTAGTACCTCTTAGCCGTTGGATTTCTTCGGATTGTGGGGTTGAGGTCGACGTTTCGGCGCCGATTGCCGTACTCCTGGTACGTACCATTTTACGATTTTTCGACCGTAAAACTTCTATTTTATTATTCGTTTTTTCCAAATTATGTTGACGCTTTCAACGATTTTACGATTTCGTGAAGATTTTTTTTTTTTTTTACGTTAACATTAAATTATTACAGTACCTAATTAATAATGATAATCTGCGTAAAAAATAAAAATCTAAAAAGTAACTTTATAACAACCTGCGATTGCTACCCGAATTTGATAAATACATTCATGTCGATTGTATTTAAATTACTTGTACTAATATATTTACTCGCCATTATATATATATTGTATTGTTGTATTATGGCGGCGCACGATCAAATCGTAACCACGTTGGGGACCCCTATAACGATATTCGGTGGCTGCGGTATTTCTGTGCCGCTCGTCGTTGTGACGTCGCCGCGGACGTAACTCATTTGAAAGGTGACCGGCACGATCCGTCTGAAATTGGACGCCCCCCCGCGGCGGTCGCGCTTGACCGTTGAAATACCTATCGGCCGCCCGGCCCACCTGTACGGCGCACGCATCATTTTATACGCGTATAGCGTCTCGGGACAACGGTCAGGTACACGAGTCTATCGGGTGTTACGAGTAAGTAATCGGGCCAATTCGCGGGCACGCACGTCCGGCAAAATGTCAAAACACGAAATACGTCCGCGCGGTCCCGGACTCCCGTCGACCGTTCCGTTTGCGGTGCCACCGCACAGGAAACGGTTTGCGAGATTTTATTGGGGGGTCGGGGAACACAGAGGTATACAATGTACAAACGATTTTCATTCAACGCAGGTTTCTATGCGTTTTATTTTTGAGGAATAAACTAGCTCAGACGAACATTATCATTATGCTACAGATGCCGCTAATTGTTAGCAGCTAATAGCTTATCAACAATGAACTAAGTTACCGGATCCTATGGTAACTACTGTTCGCTGTGAGTATCATCGCGGCAATCGTATATGATCTTTCCGCGAATTACCATATTATTAATTATTTGCTCGTTCAACTTTTCGATTTTTAGCGAGATCTATTGGTTTTACTATGATGTGTATTTTTTTTTTCAGTCTGTAAACAACTTTTCTCCTAGAACTCTTGCTCCAACCATGACAAGACATTTATTTTTCATTATTATTTTAATCTTTTTTAAACAATCATAAAAATCAAAAACGCACATTGTTGTAAAAGCTATACTATTACTCGAGTTCCACTCAGAATCGTTTTTCATTAGCAACGATTGATCTTTGCGTACAGATATAAATTAATTTCCCTTTTATACCCCACCCTCCCAACTTCTCACCTACAATCACTTAATATATCCGTGGTGCGAAGTATGATCGTCTATTTTTTTTATTTTTTATTTCGTCGGTATCACCAAGGTAACCGATTTTCGTACTAAAATTATCAATAACCTTGTATATCACACTCCCTTGAGTGTTTGAATATGGGGGGGAAATAACGCATATGTTATTTCTGGTATAAGAACTACACCTATGCAATGTTTCAGCAACCCGTTCGGTAGTAGTTTGGGCCTTGGGCGATAAGTGGTAATAAACATCCAAAAACAATTTTGCATAAATGTATTAGCGGGATAATAAACTGCATAGAAATATGTACTTGATAATATTGTATAAGTAATTTATTAAAAAAATCTAGTATAGTCGTTTGTTAATAATAAACAAATAATTTGTTTTCTCTGTCTGTCTCGCGCGTAGTAAAACAACAAATACGCATCGCACTTTAACGATTGATTATGACTCTTTGGATGAGTTTAGGTCAAAGAGACCCATTATTATCCATTATATATTAAAAAAGAGTATTTACTATGTTTTGCAGGATGCATTTTTAAAAAATATTTTCATTTTTATCGTGAAAATGCGTATTTTGATTTAACTTAATTTTAACTATTAATAACTTATTAACAAATTAAAATATTTACAAAATCATTCGGCCAAAGCATAGTAAATACCTATATACTATTTTTTATAAAATGTATGAGTAATGTATAAGTTCTAAACTCAACCAGAGAATGGCAACCGTTGAAGTGCGAAATGCATTTGTCGCTACATGACGCACGCGAGACAGACAGAGAAAAAACAAATATGTATAGAAGCCCCTTAAATTATTAAAAAGGTATTTTTTTTTTATTAGAGGACTCGGGGGCCCTAGTAAACAGATCTCTTTTAACCGGGAAAGGCTAAAAAGAGTCGTCGCAGTCGGACAGTTTTCGACGGATTTCACGAATTATCACTGGCACAAAACCGAAATTGACAAATAAAAAAAAAAAAAAAAAAAAAAAAAAAAAAATAAAGAAACTGTCGGCTTCTATATTTGTAATAGAGCGTGTATATGATGTTCGCAGCGATTATAATGCGTAGTTGTCGGCAGTAAACAAGCTTTTTGTCGTACAAACACCAACTGTTTTAACAAACCCTCTCGTCGCGCGCTGCCGTAGGTATTATTGCGAAAAAAAAAAATGACGCACTCGGCATTCATTTTCCGCTATACGTCGATGATGTTAGGAATTAATATTACATTTTATAAATCGTCAGTTTAAAGAAAAACAAAAAAAAAACCATGTCACGGCGAGATAAAAACATCGACCGCGTACATTAATTTGTCCGTATATATATAATTATGAACAATAATATTTATCCGGAAAAAAATATACACGGAATATAATATATTGTAATATATTCCGTGTATATCATTAAGCTTATATTATATTATACGTAGGGAATTTGAATTCGTTTTAATACACAAGAGATAATCTAAGGCGGTCGAGTATGGGCAGTTTTTACCGGGATTTCAGAAAAGCATTAAAATGTATCGACCGAAATATTCAAATTCACATTCGTATAAATTGAAAAACGATGCCGGATCCCGGATCACATGTATTATTACAGTAATATCACTGAAATCGTATGGGTTTTCGGTTTACACGAACGACACGAGAGATATTAATATGATGGACACTCCTCAATTGTTTATTCTATCGATAGATTACTAACGAATGTTTGACTTGAACGTGTATTTTTTTTTTTGCATAACTGAATAAAACTAATCGGTCGTGTCCAACACTAGTACATACATATTCGAAATTAATGTAACTTTTATTTTAAAAATTAACTTTTCGATCAAATTAATATTTAATTACCTATATTACTGTAAGTTAAAGTCGTAGTTTTCATTTCTATAAATATCATCTGTTTCACGCTAAATCGCCGTTATTTCGAAAAAAAGTTTTTTTTTATGTTCAGAACGATGACGCTCTTATTAGAATAAAATGAATTACGTCCTATATCGTATTTTATGAATTTCTCCAAACATTGGCGCACGCTCCTCCTAATATTATTTCATTGAACGCGCTTTCCAATATCTGAATAATAATATTAGATTTGTTTAACCCCAGTTACCCTAACAACATTCAACTTTCCGGGCGGTAAACGAGAATTTTTAATTTTGAGTAATTTTAAAGAAGTGCGGTGAATGTTCTTATATGGACCCGTGGTTGTATTCGTATATATGACACCCAAATAACATCCCAAGTAAATTGAAGTTTCCATTTTGTATCCTTTCAACAGGCAAACCGAATTTCTCTGTTATCAAATATTTATCATTGCCTGTAGCTACTGGTAACCAAAAACACTTTAAAAAATGATTACCATAGACGATACCTAACGGTGCAGTTGGGTCAACAGAATACGTCGTTCGTGTCGCAAATGATCAGCCATTTCGTATTATCCGTAAGAGGAAGTGTTTGTCCGAGCTTCGAGGTCTGGAAATTTCAACACGTCACAGAAGCGGACGAACGGGGGTCCCCGGGCGTACACCTCGAAGCCGGATATCCGAAATCCAACCACCACCACAGTCGACACAGGGTTTAGGCGGTATTTTCGAAACGAAACTCGTTTTTTTTATTTTTATTTTTATTTTTTTTTACTATAAAATATGTTATATTACTCATTAGGAATAAGTCACGGGGAGAGAGAGACACGGTTTTATCGTTTGCTTTTTCGTTTGAATACCGCGCGCGAACGTCTATAAAATGGTTTGTGTATAATATAATTTCAAAAAGTGCATAATATTGTTCCCGGTAATATAGGATGGCGTCCCGCCAGAAAAAAAAAAAAATAATAATAATAAATAAACGGGCTCCCGCGAACGATGCGTAACGACAACAACAACATCACCGCCGCAGATCAAATAGTTTACGTAACGTATACGAGAAACGATACCGACAGCTATTGGCGTGACCCGTGCGATTCGCGTCGACCGGAGGCGTCGTAAAAATGTTTTTTTTTTCTTCTAAATAAAGGTTTTTTCGGCCGACGTGACGAAACGGTCGCGGTTGCTTAAAAAAACCGATTTCGCGACCGGCTTGCGTAACGCGTTTTTTACACTTAAATTTTGGACACGCGCGCCACGTGCGTCGCCCGGCCGAGACGCACAGACCGCGGACGAGATAAAAACCGGACCCCGTCCGATCGGCACACGTCAGCGCGACGATAATAATTATTTAATTTTTGTTTTTTTTTTTTACTCTCGAATATATTATTTTATCGATTACGTTCTTGAAATTGTTATCGGTTTTTAATTCCCAATATTATAAATACGCAAAAACGAGAGGACGGGCAGCTCGTGGACCTACAATATGATCGTTTTTGAGGAAACGGTTTATTTGTTTTTCAAGGTTTTCGAAGATACCTATCGGATATCGATCTCTATATTATAATAATTTTATAATAATATTATAATAATCGTTTTATGCAAAACACATTTTATACACGCAACTGCTTGCTATAATAATATAAAAGTGTAACTTTTTTCTCTCGGTTTACATCACCCATAAATGTGTATTGAATTAGAAGTCTAAAAAAAAAAAAAATCCACTAAATATAACCTCAAAACAAATATATTCAATACATTAATGTGCCTATGTAAACGCCCTGATCGAAAAAAAACGCGTACGAAAATCCCGAATTTGAGAGAAAAAACGATTATAGCACACGGAAATAATAATAAAATAACCTTTCACCGCAGTGACGACGTTTTAAACAATTAATAATACGTTTTCACACTCGAAAAACACGATTTATAATATATTATCTATACGCCTAGGGGGTGGAACAAGGGAAACGCGAATAAAAATAATAATATTCTTATAGGCGAATTGTGTAACTGTAAAAAATACACAGCACACACATATTATACATACATACATATAATTAACGTACAATCTAAACGTTTTGACCTTTTAGGTTAAATTTTTTTTTTTTCATTTTCAAACCGACCGAACACGTTAAAAACAAAAATATCGAAACTATTAAATCGTCAAATACCTAAAATCCGTCAGTTCGATGACATTTTCCAAAAATACTACAAAATACTCACCATAGATGCCCCAGATATAAACCAAATTAAAACAATTGTCTATTTTGTAACACACTCTTGACAAAGTCGGGTTAGGATTAACGTAAAGGCGATGTAGGCACGTGTCTAGGGCCGGGCAATGGCATCACAAAATTATGTATTTTAAAACGTTTTAAATAATATAACTTTGTATCAAAAAATTCAAACAGTTTATAAGTTATATTATAAGATACTTTACAAGCTTAATTTCCAAGTATTGATTATGAACTGATGATACATCATTTGGATGTTTTTACAATGAAAAGCTATTGAAAACTATGTGCCCGGGCTTAATCCGGTCCTAGACAAAATTGACATAGAAATTTATCTCGTGAAAAACGTTTACGATAAAAAATTTTATCGTCATTTCGACTTGTAAATGTATGCCATGACGTCCACTGTTTTATTCGGCAATTATATTTTAACTATACTGTGTTATTAAAACCGTTATACTGGACCACGCATATTTTACAGAGTGATATACAATTGTCACGAACCAGTTGATTATTCTCCATGAAGAATTCGAATACAGTAAAATTAATTTACAAACGGTATACAGGGTGATTCAATAATCGTGCTCATTCCATTTTTTTTAGTTAAATTTTGCATATATTCAAATTCTGATTTTTGAAATTTTTAAACATAGGTAAAGCCGATATTTTCGAATACTTAGATTTTTCATAATATTTAAAGAGTATCCTAGTTGTGAAACCACACCTAACCTAACCAATTTTGGTTTTTTAAATGAGATCCTATTTTAAAACTTCAATAAATGCATACATGGAGTATTACTTAAAATACATTTTAGTGTTCACATTTTCGATTTCCGTCAATCCGTTAACGAAATATTCCATTTTTAAATTTAGGTAGAGGGAGAGTAGTGGAGCACTAATAAAACGCCGCACTCCGTGCTATCACAAAAATTCCACTACTCTCCTCTTACCTAAACTTGAAAGTGGAACATTGACGAATTGACGAAAATCAAAAATTCAAAATCAAAAAATCGGCTTTAACTACACCTAAAAATTCCAAAAATCAGAATTTGAACGCATGCAAAATTTAATCAAAAAAATGCGGTAAGCACGCTTAGTAAATTACCTTGTGTAATATGCGCGATTTTTAGATAAGAGCGTTTTTTTTAGAAAAATACCTTTTCTCTCTTCGAACGAGGGTTTTAAAACGCTTTATATATATAAATATGAAATGTATCAAAAGTCGATATATTAAATGCGTTAATGGAACGGGCTACAGATGAAATTTTGAAAACACCATCATGCGCTAAACATATTTAAGAATATATTATATATTTCCGCTTCAAATTACTGGAAAAAAAAAAAACACTCCGAAATCGAATTCGAAATTTTTATAAAGATCGTATCACCGATGAAATAATCACTCTGTACATATACAATAACAATACGGTAATATTATGTTTCCGTGACGTCGAGTTCTGTTATCATTTCGGGGACCCCCCCGTGCATAATATTATTATAAACAAGAGTATTGTAGCTCAATTTATACTTTCTCGCATCACGGTCAATTTTCGAACTCGCCGAGTCGTCAAAGACACGCGCGGGTTGAGAGAGAGGGGAACAAAAACGTAATTGACTATAATATGTACGATCGATTAATATTATTTTAAACAGGCACCGATTCGTTTTCTGTTTCGCATTTACGAAATTTTTAAAAGAAAAAAAAAACACTGCGAGCTACAGCAGAGCTCAGTCATTATAGACGAACGAATTTCCTTCAATCTATTCTGTATATAATAAAATAATATTCGCTGCGAAACAACAACCTAACCTATTACTATATACACCTATATCCATATATAAAAAAATAAAAATATTTTTCCCATGTACCTTGGCTGAAATATACATACGAGTATACAGAGTGATTAACATAACGTACTAAGACACTCATTATCTCGGAAAGTATTAACTTTCTTCGGAATTTATTTTTAACCCATAATTTACGTACTTACATTGTCTGTGAGGATGTGCAATGTTAAACAAATACTATTCACACACCGGCGACAAAATGGTTAAATTCGTAATGAAATTATTCGACCTCAACTATTTTCGCATCGATCCGCATACATACATGATGTATTATATATACACATAGAAAAGTACTAACTCTCGAATTTAAGACCATTTGATACAAAAGAATCTCCGCAGGAAATGTCCAAAATAAATGGTATTGTAAAATGGATACTATTGCAAGTATTCATTTTTTGGTAGAAATTCGACAAAAAGAATGCACGTTTATACGTTTTCGCGTGTCCGACCGTCATCGTTATTATAACTGTTCGTTAATTTTCGTGAAAAACTCCGCTTTCTTTACGACGACTTCTTCAGGCCACTTTCTCTTGACGATTTTCACACCGTCGAAATAATATAACTATATAATATTATTGTTTTTCTTTTTTTTATGTTTTTTTCTTCCGATATATTATAGATAAGTACAATTGCCGTGGAATAAAATAACGACGACGACATGTCAGTTTTGCATTAAATTGCAACAAATAGAATAATTGTGAAAGAGTGGAGGAAATAATCGAAATTGAAATCGTCGAATAACTCACTCTAAATAACTCTGACTTCGGAGAACAATCATATTGAATAATACTTTTTTTATTTTTAATTTTTAACAAACAATAGTATACCGCACACGCACACGACTATTGTATGTGTGTTACAGTATAGATTTTTCCAGACATTTTTCTCGTCTTATCGATTATGACGCGTATGCGCACGTATACAGGATGGTTATTTGCATGTAAACTATCGGTAATTATCCGACAAAAATATGCCAACATAGGTTCGTACATCGTTTAACGGTTAAACCGACAATTTATCTACACGCATGCGTAAAAGGACCACACAACGTTAAAAGAGAGAAGATCTCAGGCGATTCCGTAAAGAAAATTCTCTCGGCGTGTATTTTCATGGCCGAAAGAAAAACGAGTACGCGTTCATGAATATATTATAACATTATATAATATATGGAGTAGAAAATGAATATCGTAATAAAATAATTTTTCGGAAATGAGGACTCGATATCAGTAGTCTGATGGACACTTAAAGAAAGACGAATGATCTGACTAGGATTCGAACGGCACAAATGAAAGACTTACTGGCTATAAAATATTAACCTACAAGAGATAAAAATACTACTGGGCACGTGGAAACAAAAAGTACGGATAGATGGACTAAACCACCAACATCTCTGGATATGTACATGGTTCAATAATCCGAAAGAAGTGGCGAACGATAAGAGACAATTGGAGCCAGAAAATGGTATTTGAAGCCGAAAACGGATAGAAAAAGAGATGAGTACAATTTGGAAGTAACGTAAATAATATCATTTCATAATGTTATTATATATAATAGACGACTGATAAAAACTAAACAAAAATCAAATTTACCAACTTTAAATTTACTAGATATTTTATTGTACATGGACGGGGGGGGGATGTCTTGCAAAGTACACGTGGTAAATTTAATAAGTTTTTAATTTTTAAATTTTTTAAAAAATTTGATACAGGTAATTCAAAAAATCAGAAACTGATAAGAAACTTGCAATGTTTATCACTACGATTATAATGCGTGAGTATTCTATAGTTTTAGAGATCGCAGTTATTGTACAGATGATAATATAATTTTCTTGAAATTTTCTGTATTTTTTTTTTTTTTTTATTCTCTATATTTACTGCAAAATATCGTAGACAATTCAGTAGTTGGTAATTATTTCAAACAACACTAAACAATGAGTAGCTTCCTTGCTTGGTTTAAATACGAAACGTTACACATTTTTTTTTTCCCCCGAGAAATGGACATTCTTCAAAACCAAGCGCCTACGGGTAGATTCCGGTAGACTACGGATAGCATAATAATCGCTGCGCCGATTCGTGAACCACACTCTGTATAATATATTAACCATTGTAATATAGTGAATTATTTTGTTTAACACCGCTGTTAAAATTATTGTGTATAATAATAATATACTGTTTGACATATTTTAATCATATCACTCAGCGGTGGCGACGGGAATAAATCGAATAATAATAATAATAATAAAATACCGAACGATTTTACTTTACGATACCATTGTTGTTTTAACGGACCATTATAATATTATTATTATTGTTATTATTATCGTATCGCGTTTTATAAGAGAACGCACACGAAAACAAAACGCTAGATTTTAATCGGGGCCGAATATAATGTAATATAACGCTTTACATATTATCACATTTAAATATTTTAATCAAACGGGGCAAGGAACAGAAAAGTTTTTATTTTTTATTATTTCTAATCGTTACAGATAACATAAATATGTTTGATACATTGTATTGTCGACAATTTTTCGAAAACGGATTATTTGTATAAACATTGCGATCGTCCAACGCGTTCGGAATGGCAATAGCCACTATATAGGTATCACGGAACGGGTTTTTATTTACGTTTTTATTTCGTAATCTGTAATCCGCGATAATAGTACCCTACTCGTATACGCCGCCGGAACAAGGGTCAAATGTATTAATAACGGCCGGGGGCCGTGTATTTAGCGCAATAAGTTTCATAGGCCCGCGCCGAAAAAAAGCTAAATTGTAATATATAAAAAAAAAAAAAAAAGTTCAATCGGGAATAAACGTGTACCCTGTACCCGTGGTAAGACCAACACAATAGGTTGGCCCGAGCTCTCCGATATATCCGAAATACGGCCCTGCAACCGAATGGATACGGGGTAGGTAACTACGGGGTTGGGTAAGGGGTGACTTTTAAGTCGAATTATCGTACTGTGTGTACGACGTCACGTCGCGAGTCACGTTAACCAACCGACTGACGCGCGTAAACCGTATTATAAAATCCGATTGAATAACCGGGGACGTGTTTAGAATTATTTCTTCGAGACACTTTGAAAATGCCGTCGCTTTTGCTACTGTATACATAGGTTAATACGCCAATATAATAAGAAAAAAAAAAAAAAAACGTTACTTAAAGGAAAAAGTTCCGCCGCTTCCACTCGGGGTAGAAAACGTGCCACCACCTCTTTTCCATAATATAATAATAATAAGAAAAAAAATAACGCAGGAAAAATTCCCACCGGTGGGCGGGAGTAAGGAGAAAGAAGCGATTGATAAACAATATTCGAATTTGTCACTGTGGTAAATAAGCCATTGCAGTGAATAACGGGCAAGTCGATTTTTCTCTCCACCGCGACAGAAATTAAGATGTGGTTTTTTTTTTTTGGCGAGTAAAAAATAACGATGTGTTATATAAGCAATAAGCATTATTTGATTGTTTATAACGCGAACATTTTTAACGACGACGGAACACACGTTCCGAGGAGTTCGACCTTTAAAACCGACCGAAAAAAAAAAATTACAGTATTATTAATCAATCGAAACAGTGTTTATACCTGTACTTGATAAAATCAGGGTAATTGCATAATTATGTATTATATTATATTATTATATAGTCGCGATTCAAGTTTCAAAGATTATTTTCGACGGTAATTTATACGGAAATGATAATAAGTAATAACACTAAAAATAGGCTAATATATATCAGCAAATATTGGTAAACATAAAAAAAAAAAAAATTTAGTTTGTAGTTATTTATTACAGATAAAAATGTGTTTTATTGAGACCGCGATAATATTATTATTATTATTGCTGAAATAAAATGTCTAGAGTGTCAAATTATTACAATATTTGTATTATTTACTCATCCTTGCGCGTATGGCTGGAAACAGCGCGCGCGCGAGCGTGTGTGGTGAAACGTTTTTTTCATTAGTAAAAAAAAAAAAAAAACTTTTATTGAATTTTCGAACGATTTTATAAACATAAATTGAAAAAATAATAACTAGAAAATTTCAGATATAGGTATCAAATTTCCGACTAGACTTTATAAACAATTGATAAAGATGAAAAATATTTTGGAAAAATTTTACCACGTATAAAGAAAACGCGCACGCGTGAGAATTCCGTGAAAATGTTCAAGTTTCTACGATATTTTTTTTTGAAAAACCACTGTTGCGTATAAATATTTCCGTTTTCCCGACGTTTTATAAATTTCGATTTCCCTCGTTAATCAACAAAAGTACTAATATTATGGAATTTAAAAAAACAAAAAAAAAAAAAAACGAAAAAACATCGAATTAACAAACAGACAACGTCCTCCGCAAAACGCATCGACCACAGACGAATCCTGTAAATTACTGCAAAGTAGCTACGAACGGTTTGGTCGATTAGAGCGGCGGTCGCCAACCTTTTTAACCTCACGGACCACTAAATCCCTAACTGCAAATTCTACGGACTACTATAAGGTATATATAGTGTTTACGTTACAAGTCTCGAGTCCTTATTCAGATGTTTTGAACCTAGAGCTAATAAAAAAAAATAAAATAAAATAACTTTATAAAATAATAAAAAATGATTTTTATTTTTATTTATAACACGATTTATTAAGTTTTCTGCGGCCACCAAAATTTTGTCACGGACCATTGAAATTTTCTCGCAGACCACCGGATGGTGACCGGTGGAACGGTCTCTTCCGACGTTTCCCAAATTGTACTTTTTTTTTTGATCTATCCAGTGGTCGGGGGTAAACGGTTAGGTACAGTGTACAGCCCGCGGTACACGTCATCATCCACCGCCACATTTCAGGTTCAATTTGACGAAATAATCGTTTAAAACGGGATTTAAGGGACGGGTGTGGGGTTGTTGTCTTCGGACGGTTGAAAAACCGTTTAACAGACGAAAATAAAAAACACCCCTGAGGAGCATCTCGAATATCAGTAAACTATCGGAACCGATGTATAGACAATCAAAACGACACAAATGACATTATACCGCCTGTCGGTGATGTTATCGGCGGTACGTATTATTATTAAATTAAAAACGAAAACGTGCGTCGGGTTTCGAGTCGGTAGATTAAAAATACAATGATAATAATAATAATAATAATAATAATAATAATAATAATATTATGCACCTCTTCCATTATCGTTTTGTATATAATCCGACCTCTAGCTATATTATGGATATTATTGCTACCTATTGTTTTACGAGTATTTCTCTACCGTTTCTATGACTTTTTTTTTTTCCTTTTTTTTCCTTTTGTACCGTTCGCGAAACGTTTCGTTGAGATTTTTCAATACGTACACGGATACGTCATATTTATACAAAGAGACGGTGTACGTGTACGACGCGTTGTGCCCCCGCGGTGTTTGTGCGAACGGTTTGTTCACGATTATCGCGCGTTTAATTACGAGAGACGCGTACGCGTACACGCGGAGGAACATAAAATATGATACCGGGCAGACAACGCGGCGGTCGATCGAAACGCGGTTTTTCTTCGTCCGTCTTAATACCGTTTTAATCGAGGCGTAATGAATCGTTAATTGGACCGCGTATAGGAGAAAAAAAAAACCCAGAGCTTTTACCGTTAAAACGCGCGCTAACCAATCCGGAGGCGACAACGATGTCGGTAAATCAATAAAAATATGTTTCGGAATGACGTTGGAAAAAAAAAAAACCACCAAAACGAATTATTATCAACAATGGGTACGACGGACGGTGTTTGTGTCACAAGACGAGGACACGAGCATTTTTTGCCGTCTCCGGTGTTACAAAACTCGCGACGGCGGTCAGCAGAACACCAAAATCGACCGATCATATCAAAACTTGACGGCGAGAACCATTACACGCGTCTGTACGTTAATTTTTTTACCGATATTTACATATTCAAGGGAGATTATTAATAATTATTACGAGCGGTTTTTAAAATGTGGCAATTCACACGCGCGCATCAAGCTTAGAAATCAAAATATCCGACAAAACGCGGATGTAATGTTCTTGCGTTCAACGACGGATAATGGTATTTATCAGTCTAATCTGGTGCGTTTACAAAAAAAAATATTTCCGAGGGGGATGGGGGGTAACGTTGTACACTTTCATATTTTTATAACGAAGAGGTTTACATGTACAATATTTTTTAACATTCATTTACGGGGCCTTTTGGGTACCCGAATACTAAATTTTACATTTGATATTTTTGTAGCCGATTTTTTTCAAACGTTAATGTAATCCATATTATTGTGATGGTAATGCGGACCATGCAATTATCGCCGTGCCAGTTATAATTGTTTTCTACAAGCCGGAAAACCGCAAAAAAATCAGAAATAACAATAAGTTATGTTATGTTAATAAGTAGTGTTCCTACTATTTAAAATGAAAAAAATCCAAAATTTTACCGATCTCTCTCGTTGACAGAATTACTACGTCCGAGACTCTAATTCAACATTTACTTTCGTCGTAGTTTTCATGAAATTTTGGGGGAGGTGAATCCCTAAAATCCCAACCTTGTACACGTGCCCGGGTCTAATTTTTCCAAAAAAACTATCGGCGGGTAAATCAAGGTCCGGCCGGAAACAAATAATTCGCTATTGCCGCGTATTGGCCTTTTCGGCTTTTTTACCGTTAACCTAATTTTTTTTTTAAATTTTTTTTCTTATCATTAATTGCACGCTAATTATCGGACACGTCGACACTGTTAATATCGTGCGCGTATATTATAATAATTATTGTTATTGACGGCGATTAAAAAAAAAAAAAAACTACGCCTTTTCGCGCAGTGCACAATGCGTATTACACAATCGTTATAATTATCGGTCATTTGCGATTCGGCTATACGAAAAATAAATAATACGTCACACTGTACGGTAATTTAATTCGTACGTCGATTAGCGGGTAGGCATATTGTATCCATCTAGCGATAGTGATACTCGCGAATTACTGACCTGCGACGTTCTTTTAATTTTTTTTTTTATCGCACACGACAAACAATAATAATGGAGCAATTATCTCGTTTTGATATTATCACCAAAAATAATTATGCAAGCGGCACGCACGCGGTGTCGGAATATTGACGGCGGCGACGAGGTGGAAAAATAGTAACCGTCGTTTATCGATTGCGGTAAAACTAATGACAACAGTAATAATAACATGATAACCGCGGATGAGGACCGTCGGAAAGACCGTAAGGACGATAATAATATTAGTGACAATAGAAAAAAAAAAAAAAAACAACAGAGTAACGCGTGCGAATAACATCGGTCACGGCGTCGTCTTTCACAGTATTATTATTATTCGATAGAAAAATCGAGGGGTTTTCTTTTTCGTTCCGACGTCGTCGATAGACGACAGGATACAACATACAGTAGCAAGTCTTTGTAATACCACGACACACACACACACACACACACACAATGATAATGTCGCAAAACACGGCAAAGCGGTTTTTTTTTTTCCTAAACGACCGTACACAGGGCACAACAACAAATCGACGACGTAACGATATTATACCGTATGCGGAAAAATCCGCAAACGAAAACCGAAAATTGACAATAATAAAAGGTGATGCAATGGGCAATGCATAACATCGGCATATTGACGACGACAGGCCTTTGTACGATTCCGATGTCGAATAATGCCTACTCGGAAACGAGATAACGACGTAGTGACACGACGACCCAACGACGACCGCGGAACACGGTAGGTACACCTCGTGTAATGTACGAGGACGGATTGACAACCGACAGGAATATTATACATATATATATATATATAAAAAACAACATAATAGCGAAATCATTGGCTTTGTGGTAAAAAAAAAAAAATAATAATAATGCCTAGTAATAAATAAGAAAAGCAATTTAAATCGTACAATAAACCCGTGAAACTCTTATAATAATAACGATAATAATACACACTCGTAACGAAAAAATATCGTTCTTTATGTCCGCTGCCGTAGGTACATTGCGGAAGGCTGAGAAAAATTTAAATTTCACGCTGTTTTTGCGTAGGTACCCGTAATAGGTTTTACGACGACGCACTTTTAAAATAAATTCGTGTCGACGGGGGTGTCCAACGGGAGGGGGAGGGCGCTCAACGGGTAAAACGAACCGAACCCGTCCGTATAAAATCCTACGGGATTTGCGCGGTTTTGTGCGCGATGACCGGACTCCAGGTCCGCTTTTTCGCGAAATCGTAGCGTTTCGATTGTTTTTCTATAAGAGAAAATGGTGTAAACGAGACGAAAAATCAAGACAACTATGAACATACTTTAAATTGTGATTAGATCTCGCCTCGAAGAAACGCGGTAAAAATTGAATCAAGTAAAAAAAAGTCGAACATTTTTTGATTTTATCCCGGTTTTTAACGCGATATTTGTGTGCAACGCTTTTTTTTTCCCGGGCAAAAAGGTTAGAAAAATGGAATTGTTCGGTTTCGCACAACGCGGTTAAGCGCGTCTATAGCAATATAAATATATACGTTTTTATAAATGCGTACACACATAACGTCAAGTTAAACGAAACAATAATATGTACCAACAGATGGTAAACCGCGGAAATGTTTGGTAATCTTACAGGAAATCTTTGGTTACCGTTGGGAAAACCACGGTACTCTGGAATCTGGCGTACGCGATACATTCTTCAATCAGTGATTCGTACCTTCCGCGAGTACCAAAGGTATCATCGCTTAGAATTGAAATAGTTACGATTTGTCTCGTTTATAAACGTCCGCATTTCACGGAACTCGTTACAAATCAATTATTATTATGAAATTTTATCGAGGAAAACAAATATTTTCATATTTTATTTCATTACCAACATTTTACGGGACATATATTGTGTATAGGATAATTATATTACTAGGAACTGAATATTTATATTTTTCTACGCGCGTGGTACCTTTTCGCTGGTGTCGGACGCGGACGCGGACCCAAAGTCGGCACAACTCTTGGGCCTCCGGCGGGTGGCTATTTCCCACCAGGGCACGTCGGACGGTAGTGGCGGTAGCGCGGCCGCGGATGCGTACGACTTGGGCCTGAGGCTGGCGTACAACAGCTGCTCATGGCCATGCTCATGTTGCTGCTCGCCGCCGCCGGCGACGTGCTCGGTGACCGGTTCCAGGTGCTGCAGACCGATGGCCGCGGAGCCGGCGCGGCGTCGCTTGTGGCCGACGTAATGGTGCGGCCGGCGGACCGTGGCAAATCCGTCGTGTACCGCGGCGGAAGCGCCGACGATCGTCGCATCAACCGCGGCGGTACGCGCGACCGAGTTGTTCCGGTAATGGTACATCAGGGCACTAGAATACAGGTGCGGGTACGGCACTACGACGGAAGACGTATAGTCATACGCGTGGCGTTCACCGTACCTGTCCGGGCATTTTGTAATAATAATAATAATAATAATAAACCAACGACGGAAAAGGACGCGACGCGCGAACGGTAACACGGTCGTCGCACTACTGTTAGTTGCGGAGTGCACGCGCTCACGCCGGCCGACCGTACTGGACTGACGAGTCGACGACACACGCGGCATGCGCGCGTTTTCGACAAGCGGTGGTTCGCGCTCCGCATCACGCACATCCCTCGGGAACGGCGGCGGCGTTGTTATTGTTATGACGTGTTTGTCAAAATGGTTATGTTTTGCTCGTCGAAATGGTTATGTTTTGTTCGTTTTACGCGTGCGGTTGTTTTTATTGACTATTTGCGTTAGAGCGAATGACAAAAAAAAAAACCAAAATTAACAAATTAAAAACAAAATCGAATTTCGGGCAGACAGGCCCGGGTAGAACCAAAATACACAATCAGTCATAATGATTGTTATTTATCCAGTGGTATATTAAAAGGCGAAGGCCCCCCTCGGTTTGCGTGTTTATTGCGTGCATAACAATATAATGTACAATGTGTACTTTACAAACGGAAATAAAAACGTAGTAAATATTCAAAAAAAATTCTGCCAGGGGAATGGAATTACAAGACACTGACTGGTCGAGTACGTTTGGATGAATTATTCGTATTGTATAAATTGATGTACTTTAATATATTTAAACGTTAGTACGCATTTCGCGGGGCCCCGATCAAAAATTGACAACTGTAGAGATTTAGCAAAGAATCAGAGCAACGTTTTTGATTTATACAGATTGAACATTTTAACTTTCTGTCAAGAATGGCGACGGTACAGGCGTAATTCCTAGTGCAAAAGACATACGTGAAAAAGTCAATTTAATTCTTTTGAAAAAGTGGATTTCGAAGAACAAAAACCAACAATTTTTTATTGCGGCGTTTTATCTATAGAGGGCATTAGGAACCCCCTCGGGGATTTTTCTGAAGTCTACTCCAACGATCATATTACCAATATATATATATACATATATATGAAAAAAAGGTTAATATTGATGATTGATACCGCTGTTTCAGAATGGAAGTTGGAGGATATATAGAGTAATTTAATTCAAAATGTAGGCAAAGATGAACCATTGTTAACGAAAAACAATTCTGATTCTGAAGTATATTAGTCGAATTTTTTCCCTTATTGTCAAAGTAACGCAAAAATCAACAAAAAATATACGACAAATGACCATTTCAACGCACCAACTCGATTATTAAAAAGAGACAAAAAAAAAATTTTTCCAAGCCCACGGTTTGGAGTTTGATCTACAATGGACGTTCGCGGACCAATGGGAGATTTCGCCGGCTATACGCCATCGATCGTATAGATAGGTATCAAAATAGGAGAAAAGAAAACAACATTATTCAGATATCGGATGCGTTCGAATTACCCCTTATCCGCGACACGAGGCACCGGGTTTCGGTATAATAATTAAGCACAATATGCAAATTTTATCACTACCTTGTACCTATATAATATTCGTCTAATTATACCCAAACACTCGTTTTGGCCAGACGACGTCGGACGCGGACCGTGAAGACGACAACGTTATTTATCGACTTTCGGCCAGATACGGCCCAGCCAGGTGTTTGTCCAAAATAATAATACGTACACAGAGACGGACTTTATATGTATAATAATTTATGCGGTATATTATTATAATGAAGCTATTATTTCCTCCGTGACGTACATAAAACAGAACAAGAAGACGACGTGTATACTGTATTTTAGTCGTGTACCGTCTATTGCACACTCTGTAACAGTCGGTGCCGTGGAATACTCACAGCCCGTGTCCGCGACTTCTGTTCCTCACCCCCCCCCCTACTTCTCGTATCCAGACTTCAAAAATCTTACGGGTGCCTATAGTAGAAGACACGTCTCTGACATAATATTTCAATAACATTACCGGAGGCTATTGTCTATAAACGTTTATTATTATTTGTATTTTTTTTTTCGAGTCGATCACGTTCTTTCTAGTTTGTTAACACCATCACAGATCTATATAACATTACATGTTTTAAGTATACGCGATTATTCCCGAGATAATTGAGCGGGTTTTTGTTTTTTATTATTATTATTATTTTTTTTTTTATTAAGGAAGTCGTTCTCTACTAACAATGGTAGTAAAATACCGTCGGCAGGCGATGAATTAATTAGGACGATAAAATTATAATATTATTGTTGTTCGGCGGTGTTCTCTTTGCAGGAACTATCACGTATAAAACGGTGTATTATTTAATGGTATTTTTTTTCTTTTCCCGATTCTGAGTGAGTGTAAAGCGTAGAATCTATTAGACTTTACTTAGACGAGTTTTTATTATTATTATTTTTTATTTTTCTCGGAAAACACTTTTTCGGTAACTAAAACGTTCCTTATCAATACCTTCAAAGATGGCGTTGAAAATATTTGCCGGACTACGGACAATTTATTGTAAAACATTTTAAAAATCGACAACAAATAAACCGGATACATAATCGTTTTAACGTTTTGGTCGTTTTCCGGTTACCTTTCGATAGGTTGACTTTCGTTTTAGTACAGATACAGGGGCGTCTTCAGATCAATTAAAAGTGGTGAAATATTAAAAAATTCGATAAGACGGTTTACTTTTCTAAATTATAGGACTAAGAGCCACTAGAGGATTATAATTTGACATAATTGTTGTAACATAAATATGGAACACATTATACTTGCACAGGGGATGGGAAGGGGGTAGATTGCCCTTCTATTCTCCCTATGTGACGCGCTTGGCACAGAACAGTCTCTGCTGAATGTAAATTCGCCATGTTGCGGCGTCGGTAAGACGGAGATGGCACGTGGTACGGGCATCACGTCCTCTTCGACGCCTTTTAATATAATACAATATGCGTTACGATACAAACGATGCGGCGACGGCAATGCAGTCAAACTGCACATATAATAATAATATTTTATTAAAACATTGCAAAAACCCTATAATGTGTGCCCGGAAATAATGAAATATCTCTGAAAATGTCTTTACGACTACAACAGTCTGGCGTCGCGTCGTCGTTCGTCTCGAAAAAAAAAAAGGGTTGTTATGCGAATCAGGGGCGGATTGTACTGGCTTGGTACTTGCCCGTGGCTTTTTATAAAACGTTGAATTTTACAATATAAATTAATTTTAAAAAGTCTGAACAAACAGTTCGAACAATTTTAATTTTTAAATTAAACCGGTTATTTCGTTTTTTTTTTTTTTTTTTTTTTTATTACTTAAAACATGCTTTAGGCACAGAATAATTTTCACGCTTCGCAGAGCCATCGGATTACGATCATTAATTGTCTCGTTGGAAAGAGGAAAACTTCCTGCACAGAACGCTTTTGGACTTTGATTTTTGATTGTGTAGCTATAAAACCACAACAAAACGTGATTAAAAAACTAACGAATAATAGTCATATTCGAATTCTAATCACCTATTACAGCGTATAGAAATATAATGTTCAAAATCCAAATTCAATGCGTCCCGTAAGAAGTTTTCCTATTTCCTCTTACTTTTATAGACTTGATTTTTTCCCGAAAATCGTGTTTTTGAGCAAAAGAACAACTGATACGCAAGCACTTTAAAACCTTTTCACATGGGAACGTGACCACCGCATTGGTCGACGACCACGACTGTTTTTGCGATCTTGGTACAATAGTTCAGACTTCGGTCGCGAAATCGTCCAAGTCACTCAATATAATTTTCGGTGTATTATTGTTATGACGATTTTTTTTTTCAATGTTAAGGAACTAGATGGGTACACTAAAAATCGTCGTTTTTGAAATTGAACTTGTCCGATATCGTGTACAAATGAAAATTTGTTGTATTTAATTTTGCCGTCCTTTTGGCGATCTCTGAATTGCGCGGATAAACATAACATATTTCTTTAATACAGCGACGCAATATAAAATATATTATATGTGTTAAAGGGGAGATCAGGGGGTCGAGGGTGTGATCCTCACGGTCTTCTAGACGGCTAAACGATTGTATTACGCGCCTTCTCCCCTTTTTCGGAGACAAGCGTGTATATAGGATAGGCACGTATATAAATGTCCATAATACTACGATATTATAGAGTCGTCATTTGGAACGTATTGTCTCGTCGTCGTTGTCGTCGTCGAATAATCGGCCATTACGGTTATTATTTTTTTTTCTTCTTAATATCCAATATAATCGTCCCGAGAATAGACGACTATTGTGCGTGTATAGGCCCCGAAGTCGTCGTCGTTTCGGTCGACCAAAAGTGTGAAACAACAACGACAGACGACGAAAACAAAAACCGCCAAAGTTTTTTTAAAGCCGGAAGCTTCTCTATAGCGAATACCCGTCTCGCAATAGAGATATGATTAATATGTTTCCGTCACGCGCCTTTGGTAAACCGAAGAAACAGGAAAACGCCGGTAAAACGTTTCGTATTCCATTCGAAATTCAAGCGCGACGGAGACGTCGGCGAAGTTTTTTCCGCAGTTTTATCGGAATTTCAATAACGGGAACGCGAAACGCCTAAACGCATATTGTCAATCGTTTCGGGCGATTCCGTTTACGCGTATCGGCGAATCGATGCTTAATAATATCTGCAAAACATGATAAATAATTTTGTATTTATAATACTACGAGACCGTTTTTATTATCGAACGGTTTTCAGAAAAATACCGACGCCGCAGTACGAAGAAAATAAATTGCAAATTACGAATAATCCGAAAGTTATCGTTTAATTTTAGAATTTCCGACGACGAATTTCACATAATTCAGATATCCTATTATTAGCTGGAAACTTATGAAATTCGCGGGAACATCGTAAACACGCTACCACAAATTATTAATATTATACAATGGGTAAGTTTAAACGCGGACGAAAAAACCCCAACATACTGGGCTGACGACTCGTAATTTTGAAAAACAAAAACATTCTATATTTCCGTTTTGTAGTATCCAAATATTTTATTTTTAAACCGGTGACGATTTATTAATAAGATATTACATTATCGTTCTAGACGACTGTTTTCAAATGTAAATAATATTAAATATTACGTTATTTTTCGAAATATTTACTCGTTGACATTGCCTAGATACCTATACGGTGAAAACCGAACGCATTCCATCGATAATAGGCGTGTTTTAGTGATGCAGTTTTGAGCAACCTGGTTACTAGTTTAGTGAACAAACTGTTTTGGCGACAAAGTTTACTGTAGACTATTGTCCGTAAGCTGAATGCGCTTTTCGGCAACCGGGCCGCCGGAATCAGCAAACATTTGTAAACTACGGTTGCTGTTTTCGGTGTTACTAATAATCGACCGATAAGGACTATCATTCAATCATCCCGTCCATTGTCTCATAACAAAAAATACTATACAATGAACAAAATACGTTTTGGCGAGTAACCGACCAAGTAGTAAACAACGCAGCAATAATTGTTTACTGAATGTTGCATTGCCAAAACACGCCTATTGTTGTAGAAGAAAATTCGCCCGAGCTCGGCAAACGAACTTACGTAAAAAATTAAAAATTAAGCGGGAGGAGGGAGCGGGGGAGTCGGATTAGGTTTTGAATAATCGTGTGTATACTGTACACGAGCGAAGTACGCTCGAAAACAAGTATAACACGAAACGGATATTATATAATTACGGGCATCTCAATAATAATTACGAATAAAAATATTGCTCGGAACGTAAAAGGAAGAAAAAAAAAACGAAATACATACGCAGAGAATAATAATAATTTCTATACGTCTTGTTTGGCATCAATTAAGAAACTATTATGTGTAAATAATAATGGTAATAAAAAACGATACGATACGTTTGTCACGAGTCCCCCGATCAATGGTCAGGATAATTGCACTCGCAATAACAATATTATACGCATCACGTGTAAGTACGTGACTCTTAATGTTTTTAAATTGCCGTTAATTGTTTCCATTTTCAATGCTCAGAAAAATGCATAGGAACACGCTGGGCATCGGCTAATATTATTCGAATCGTCTGCATAACAGTAGTAGACGAAGAACGCCTATCAAAGAGATCGGTGTATGTTACTATATTATCAAAAAAAAAAATCGTTTTTTATTTCTCTTTTACTTAAATTGATCAAATTCAGTGTTGCCAACACATTGAAATGCATATTTTATGCGTAGTAGCGAAATCCGAAAATTAATAACATTAGGTACTAAATATGCTCATACACCGATCTTAATGACCTTTAACTATTCAATTTTTTTTTTTTGATAGGTGTTAATTTTATTCGAATAAAACCAGAAAAAAACAAAACTCCAGTGAGCAACAGAGCTTCATCACTAGAGTCAAATAACCCCCCCCCCCACCCATGTTGTATAATAGAAATATTCTACGTAAAACAATAAATTACTGAATATACTATAACTAAAATGGCGAGATAAAAGTTGAAACTCCCAAAAAACAGTATCTTTAAAACAGACGCCATACATTTACGAAAATCCATTCATTGGATTCATTTGGGGAGACTAGAATGTACAAAACTAAAAAAAAACACCTTCCAGGTATCCAACTATAATAACACAGTTAAGTTCATATTGAAATTTAACCCAATTTTTATAACTTAAATCCATCTATAAAACGAACTCGAATTCTCGAGTTTCAACTCATTTGGTCGAGAGGGAGCCGCTAGAAATGTACCTAAAGTAGCGGGAAAAATATTCATAACAGACACGCAATACACCGTGTAATAGTCACAGTTTTCAGAGAAAATTCGACAAAAAAAAAAATGACGAGGAAACTAAAGAAATAATCGCCGCAATGTAGAGACTATATACAACATTTCTACGGGGAACCACCCCTAAGTTAAAGATCGGAGCAAGATTTGTGATGGAAAAATCGTTGACAAATAGAAAATAAAAAACACCCGCATATACATCATAATATAGTAAAATGTAAAACCAATACATTCGTTTCAATCAGAATTTCAAAAAGAAAAAAATAACGAAAACTTGTATACCGTGCAGCGTGTTGTTTTTTTATTGGATCACAAAAAAGGAAAAAAAAGCCATTGTTTACATAACGTCTGACGATGTTTTTCAAACTCTAATGGATCATTTCGTAGTACAGCGTTATCGAACGTAGTATTAATATTTAAAACATACGCGTGTTGCGTATTGTGCGAGTTTTTTTTTTCCGAACGAATATTTAGTTTTACATATTACATTATTTTCGATACTTCATTACACGCGATTACACACCACGCAGTTATTATATTTGTAAATAATAATAAGAATAATATTCTAGAGTCGTACGAAATATTTCGTTAAAATTGCACATTGGGTGATCCAGTTAAATGGGTACACTCATTATCTCGGAAAGTATAAACATTTTGCCGGAATTTGTTTTCTAGAACATTTAAGGAACGAGCTACTCTACAATTTTAAATTTATGTTTTATTTGTCACTCTTATTTTTGGGAGTAAAACCATTACCTACTTTTGATTTTCAAATAGCGACCTATATTTAAAAATTACATAAATAGATGGAGTATTAGTTGAAATAAATTTGAGTGTTGACATTTTTGATTTCTGTCAAGTCGTTGACGAGATATTCCACTTTTAAGTTTAGGTCGGAGGAGAGTAGTGGTACATTATTAACACGCCGCGCGCTGTATCGGCGACACAAATGATAGGTTGCTATTTGAAAATCAAAAGTAGGCAGTGGTTTTACCCTCAAAAAAAAGGGTGACAAATAAAACATAAATATAAAATTGTAGAGCAGCTCGTTCCTTACATATTCTAGAAAACAAATTCCGGAAAAAGTTAATACTGGCCGAGATAATGAGTGTACCCACTTAATTGGATCACCCGGTGCGTGATACGCAACCCCACGTAAAATGCCCGGGCGCTTTTGACGCCTCCGAGACCGATAATTATTTCGGACATTACTGACCGTATTGTAAGAAAAAAAAAAAAACCCGCATTTCTACTGTTGTGAAATTAAATTTGCCCGAGCCCGACCGCTATAACACTGCAGCCGATAAAATTATTGTCCGTATTGTAATGGCGAAAATGGCCAGCAATCGAACCGTGCCGCAATGCAGAGTCCGTCGGTCCGTATACGAGGATTTCTGCAGCGGTCACGTTGAATATTTGCTAGTTTTTTTTTTTTTATACACACACAAAACGACTTGGACAATACTTGTCTGGTCGAGTGAGAAAAACGTCATTGATGATAACGGTGACCGCACCATTGACGGGAATTACTATTAAGTGCGCGCGAGGGACGGGGAACTATGTAGGTATAGTATAAATTGGCTTTGATTGATGGACACACTATAATAAAAAAAAATAGTCGACAATGGATATTTTTCTATTCTGTATCACACTTACAGTTACCTCTCCGACTCTGGGATTCATATAATGCACACAGTACATTTTTTTCTCCTAACGAATATAATAACTGCGCAGCCCCGAACACGATTTTTTTTTTTATCGTATACTCGTATAATAACGAGTGCAGTTCTACGGCGGTGTACGATAAACAAATTCTTTACTTATTAATATACACGCGCACACGATTTTTACACGATATTTTAATAATTACATTTTAATAGGATATAACAGCCGAACAAAACACGATTATAATATTATGCCAATCAGACGGTATCGAGTATACCCGATTGATATTTTTTAAATCAATATTATAAAAGGGAGGGGGCAAAAGTCCATTGTAGTGCCGTTCTCTACAGCGCAGAGTTTAATATTGTTATTATCCGCGGTAGGGGATCGGAACGGGGGCTAGAGAGGGGTTGAGAGATTTTCAAAATTCCATAGGTGAGCGATAAAATTACAGAAAACGACATAATAATTACCCACACGTAAGAATACGTATGGCGACGAAAAAAAAAAAAAATAATAATAACAAAACGTGATTTATGAGTCTACACCTAGGAAAACGGTGTTTAAACGTTCACTTTTTTTCTTTACACGCGTACCTACGGAAATGCAGGTGCCTCGGTAATTTACTGTGGAATCGTGGAACATTAGCGTCACTATAATATTATAACACAGGTACCCGTAGTGTCGCATTATCGAAATATTTGTCAACGTGTGAACAATTATTAAACGTTTTTGGGAGTCGTGTCACTATTTTGACCGCCAGCATAATATTCTTGCGCGGACGGAATTCGTTACACGGCATAAGATAATAATAATGTTATCGTACGATAAACTTCGGGTTTTACGAAATGAAACGCGTTTAAAACGAGCGTATTAGAGGCGGAGGTTTTTTTTAAATTTAATTTCACAAAGTATTAGAGTAATGTATACATTTTTTTTAAAAAAACCACTCCGCGTTATAAAAACGGAAACCACACCCGGTAACCATCGCTGCAAGAATAGATAATAATATTATATAGGTGGGCATAGGACGTACCTACCCTAATATAATCGTTCCCCTTTTGCGTGCGCTTTTAAATACCCACGCGTATTATAACCCGGGAGGGAGGACCAAAACTATCTAGTCGCACGCGTTCAAAACACCCCAAAAACGTCCACCCTAACCGCAGTGTATTATTATTGGGCGAAAATGCCTATCGCCTAATATACCGCCGGACAAGATAAAAAGCGTACGATATTATTAGTATAATAATATAATATTGTTATTATTATATTAATAACGTTGTTTACACCCGGTTGATCGATTCCCAGAAACAGTACCTATGGTATGCCTGCATAAAAACTGATAATATCGAACGGGGGCACATGCAGTGGTGTTCCCACAGGGTAAACTACATAATGTACGCCGTATATACTCTCGAACATATAGGAAAGAAAAAATTAAAAATTCGTCATAATATTATATTATTATCGTTGCCTGATCATACCACAAATGCCATTAAAACCGAAATAGTAACACAAATTGTATTTATTTGGGTAATTATAATCGGGAATCGCAATTTCCCCACGATTTATAGTAGTTTTAAAATGTCGAGTGTTTTGTGTTGGTAATTTTAATTTATTTTTTTTTTTTTTGTATAATTTCTCTATAAAAAGCATAAACCGTAAGAAATAAAACATAAAAAAAACCCGATGCAAGGCACAGGGTATTATCGAAAAAAATTGATGGAAACACCGTCGGATGTCCGGACACACGTCATATAGCGACAATAATAACCGATAATTTTGTTTTTAAATCGAAAAATAAATGACGTCTGTATCGGAAATTGCATGAAAACACGAACACAGGAACAGAACCGTTCGCGGAGTTTTATTATTTTATTGCAATTCAAATTATGACAAACACAATATTCTAGGACCTTTCATAATTGTTATAGTTTTAAAAAAAAAAAATCTCGACTATTTTCCGGTATTTAAACTTCTAAGTGGGTGGCAATTATCGAACAATAATTATTAAATATTATTTTTTTATTGTAGCAGCCACGAATCATGAAAACTACTGATAGCCATTGTGGTCTACGTTTTGCGATTTTTCCGTATAGATATTAGAAAATAATCAAACATCGAAAACAGTAAAATGATAAAAATTAAAGATAATAAATACGGGAAGGTCACGTCAAAAATCGCGGTATAATTAGGTCATCCGAAACATATGAGTTGCCTACATAAAATATTTACGGCGTTAATTGTACTAATTATCATTAGCGTGATTAGCCGATGCAGTTTTGAGTGATCACTAGTTTAACTAAGGCACTATAGTTTGCTATAGTGTCCAAGTTTAGTGAACAACCTGGTTTCGACAATATTGTTTAATGACCGGATGTACTTTTCAACAACCAAGTCGCTGGAATTAACAAATAATTACAAATGACGTTTACTGGTTTCGTTGGTAAAATTGTACGGCATGGTTTTAATTTATATGGTTGCGTAACGAAACGTATAAAAATGATGCCCAAATGTTAGCTGCGAAAAACCTGGGAAGAACATAGAACTAATATCGGAATGACGTTCTCGATCAATGCCTACACGTGATATTTAGAGAGCCTGTAGCCCTCTAAAGAGAGTAGAATGGTAATCATAATAATAATAAATTATTATTATTAGAGAAAGACAGATATCACTTTTTACTGATATTTGATTTTGAAATCAAAACCACGGATTGATATAGAAATTAACTATCGGTTGAAAATTCAATTTTTAAATTGTTCTTTTCATATTTCAGAGACATTAAGACATTTTTCTCTGAAAAATCTGTGAAATAATCGAATCAGATATAGGTTTATTTTTCAATCGATTACCGGTCCACTCCTAATAATAATAACTAGGTATCTAATAAGATGTTTTAACAGCATATCGATAGATGGCACTTCAGAATCTCAAAAAACCCATAGATAATTTATACATGAATGGGACCATAGATACTAAATAAAGATTATCATCTATCATAAACTACTATCTATGGGTGTGATCGAAGAGCATACTAGTTACATTTAATTAAGGTCTTGTTTCAACTATAAGTGATAATGAAAAAGCAATTCGCTGACTAGTTGGCGACTACCAGCTACATGACATCATTGAAATAAAAAAGACGGAAATATTTCGCACGTGGGTGCAGCCACTGTTGTAGGTGGGAAGTAGGAAAGGTAGGGTACAGAAATTTAATGTATATCTATAAGCAACGATAAACCATTGCTAACCGAAAAATGATTTTGAGCAGAGTTTAGTTGATAGTGATGTTTCGTTAACAATATACATGTCATATTATGGTAAAATAATTAAATAGGCATTATATATTTTCTTTAATAATATTTTTTTAATATTGTACCGATTTCTCAGTTTTTCTCGTGTTTTTCCCGGTGTTTTACATTTTTGGGAAAACTCTTGGGGAAATCGAAAAATCACCACCTTATGGTACCTCCTCAGTCAGATTTCCTTTAGAAAAAGTGATATCATATAATCATTGGAAATCGGAGCAAAATTGCTGGTAGAAAAGTTTTCCAGAGAAAAAAAATCGTAATATTTTATTAATATATTTCGTGCATCTTCCCATTTTTTCTCACGTTACCCTTTTATTGAAAAAAATGCAGGGAAAATCAAAAAAATGATCTCCCTAAAGAAGTATCCCAAGAAAATTTCCTTTCAGAATAGGGTTTACATCGTATACAATGGAAGAAGCTTTCTGGTAAAAAGTGTTAACATAAAAAAAACTAATAATAAAAATGAACATCTTTGTAAAACCAATACATTCTTCGCTACACTTAGTATCTAAAATTCTGATAAAAATATTATTTATTATTTTGTATTAAAACTTTAATTGAGTATAACATGTTTGATCATTAATTTATTTGCCTAAAAATAACTCATTGTGATAAAAAAAACGTATATAAATTTCTAAGATAAAAATAACAAAAATGTTAAAATAATAATAATTAATGAAAACAATTAGTTACATTATTGAATATTGATGTTTAAATAAATTAATTTGCTGCACTAAGATATAATTTTTGATTGTTCATTCATTTGTTTTTAATAAAAAAGTAGACTCTAACTTCGCTTAAAGTATACAATGTATATTATAATATAGGTAGAGTTGGGGGGGGGGCTATAAAACATTCGAAAGATCATACCTGCTCTCTTTATAACAGTCGGCTGTAATATTTTCGGATAAAATACTATCGGCTAATGTATTTTTATTTGTATTACGCGCTCCAGTAAACGTATAGGGATGACCTATTCTTGTACATATTATCTATGGTTCGAAAAATTATAAGAATATTTTTCGGAAACCCGACACGGTCGCATATTAACAGCCAAAAGCCAACGGCTCCAGACGAAGCAATATTAGAATTAAATATAGTAGTATTTAGTATACAAATGCGATATTACCTAGCAATTGATGTAGTTCATAAGAACAGCAACAGCTGCTTAACTAACTTAGTGCAATCTTTGTCTGGGAAAATAATGTTATATTGCAATATTTCACGTTCACAAACACATTTGGAGAATTGTGATAGCGATATAATATACTACATACATATTTCATTGCGGTCTATGAGCGCTACAGAATTGTTTTATCTTTGAGTAATTATGAAGACCACAATTTTATTGCCGTTGTGCAATAAGTATATCTTAAATCATGGCCCATTTTACGTGATGATAATAAGTTTATTGATTAGATATCTGAATAGAGAATGGCAAAAAAACACGGTTATTTTGGTCACGTACATCCGGCAACACTGTCAATACGACGAGTGTATATCTAGCACGATTAGGTATATGAGATTAAACGCTTCTATCAGCCTCACGCAATTTATATGCATGTTATTATGTTGGTCTTACTGTAAAGTTGTTTGTAGCTAAGCAGCTGCTGAACTGTCAGCCACACAAACCGTATCATTTCTTTCAATGGCGTAATATTGATTATACATTTACAGTGAATAATGTTGTATTTTGTTGGTCAGTGATTACGTTCTATTACTATTACTAGTTTTAAAGTGGTTTTTGGTTGGTTTGCATAGAAATCAATGTAAAACAAAACATCACAAACATTATTATTAGTGCTTAAAATTGTTTAATAGTTACCAAATGTGCCTATAATATTTTTAGCAAAGTTGTGAATTTTATACAATGTGATTAAATATTCTTTAGTAAATTATTACTTCTCTACCTATATTATTAAGTCTAAATTGCTGTGTTTTAATTAAGAGTACACACACCTATCATGGCTAATGCAGCGAAGATTATACACAAAGGTTTAAGTGATAAAAAAGATTATTTATTGCACACATTACAAAATGGTATGAAATGTTTGTTGATCAGCCAGCCAGAAAATGAAGAAATGCCAGAGTCTATGCTTAATTATGATTATGATGATGATGATGATGATGATGATGATGATTTGAAGAATGATGATTTAAAGAATGATGATTTGAAGAATGATGATTTGGAGAATGATGATTTGAAGAATGATGATTTGAAGAATGATGATTTGGAGAATGATGATTTGGAGAATGATGATTTGGAGAATGATGATTTGGAGAATGATGATTTGAAGAATGATGATTTGAAGAATGATGATTTGAAGAATGATGATTTGAAGAATGAGGATTTGAAGAATGATGATTTGAAAAATGATGATTTGAAAAATGATGATTTGAAAAATAATGAGGAAATGACTGATCGTTCATTCAATAGTTGTTCAGAAAAAGAAGAACTAATAACTAAAGGTAACATGTTTGCGATGGCCATAAGTGTTAATGTAGGTAGTTTTGACGATCCTATTGAGGCTCAAGGGTTAGCTCACTTATTGGAACACATGATATTAATGGGTAGTGAAAAATACCCAGAAGATAATTACTTTGATAAATTTTTAAACAAAAAATCTGGTCATTCAAATGCTGAAACGGGGTGTGAGTACACAATTTTTCACTTTGAAGTGCCAGCAGAATATTTTCAGGAGGCAATTGATATATTTGCTAGCATGTTTGAAGCGCCTAAATTAGCCAAAGAATCAATCGAAAAAGAAAAACAAGTTGTGGATTCTGAATTTCAGATGGCGATTACAGATGACGAAGTTCGTTTGCAAAGGTTTGTACAATTTATTATATTGTTTAATCAAGTTAAATATAATAAATAACTTTTAATTTTTAAATTAGATTATTATCGTTAAATGCGTCCATGAATTGTCCTGCCCGAAAATTTGTCTGGGGCAGTTTAAAAAGTCTGGACCTTGAAAATTTGGATAAAATGGTCTTAGATTTCTGGAAAACCCACTACTCAGCTAGCCGTATGTTTTTAACAGTGCAAAGTCAACATTCAACACATGAATTGTTAGAATTGATTGATGGTTTATTTAGTAAAATACCTACCGACCATCTTCCGAAACTAAGACAACCAGATCAAAATTTACCATTCAAATTAGTGGATTTTCATAAAATCCACAAGGTAATATCCGTAAGTTGTATTAACAAACTAACATTTTCTTGGTTTCTGCCATCAGTTCTTAATTTGTACAAGTATAAACCTTTAGAATACATTTCTTGGATAGTGGGACATGAAGGTAAAGGGAGTTTGATTAGTTATTTGAGACAGTTAAACTATGCAATGGAATTAGATGCTGGAATAGAAGATGATTTTTATAGTAATAATATTTATAGTTTATTTGCTATAACTATTGAACTAACTGATTTAGGTTTAGAAAATGTGGATATGGTTATTGAACTGACTTTTAGTTATTTGGCTTTAATCAGACAACAAGGGATATCTGAAGATATTTTTAAACAAATTCAAACTTTATCTAAAAATGATTTTAATTTATCTGAAAATAAAAATGCCAGTGACCATGTAATAGAACTTTCCTTAAATATGATGAATTTTGCCGAGGAAGATTATTTATGTGGTCCAGTATTATTCTTTGAATATGAACCAAAATTAATTGAAAGCATTTTAGAAATGATGACAGTAAATCGTGTAGCTATATTCATATTTTCAACAAATTTTGATCAATCTCATTTGACTTTAACTGATGAAATTTTTGGGACAAAGTATTCATGTGACAATTTTAAAGAAGAATTAGAAAATAAATGGTCGAAAGTAACACCACATCCATTTTTTAAAATTCCAAGCAAAAATCAATATTTATCAACAGATTTTTCTATTTTACCTGAAAGTGCAGATATAAAATATCCACAAAAAATATTTGAAAATGAACATATTGAACTATGGCACAAACAAGATAATTGTTTTAAACTTCCTAAAGGCTATATCATGTTAAATTTTATTACTCAAATGCCTTCAAAATCAATGGAAAATAATGTAAATTTAGATTTGTTTTTAGATACTATTATATTTTTATTAAATGAAGATACATACCCAACATTAATGGCCCAACTCAATTACAATATTCAAGTATTTATACACGGATTTGAATTGACATTTGTTGGTTTTAATGAGAAATTACCTTTACTCGTAGATATGGTATTAAATTGTATAAACAACTTTAAGAACTTGATAACTGAGGATATATTTAATATGGTAAAGTATCAAGCCATCAATAAACTAAAAAATAAACAATATGATTTAGATTTTGTCGCATCTGATATAAAAAATTGTTTAATTAAAGATCCTGAGTGGTTCTCAGGCAGCAAATTATGCTATTTAGAAAATATTGAATACTCAGAACTTCTTACATTTTATGAACAATTAAGCAACTTATATTGTCAAGCATTGATACAAGGTAATATAAGTCAAAACCAAGCTATAGAAATTTCCAAAAAAGTTGTAAGTACTTTAAATTATCAGCCTTTGGACAAGAAATGTTTTCCAGTGATTTTGGTAAAACGTCTCAACCAAGGAGATTGTCGAGTAAGACTATCAAACTACAATAGAATCGATAATAATTCTATATCTTATAAATATTATCAATTTGACAAATGTGAAGTAACAGAAGCCATGAAGTATTATGTTCTACAATCAATAATTGAAGTATATGCATTCGATGAACTTCGAACAAAACAATGTCTTGGTTATGATGTACAATTTGGTGTTACAAAAATTAAACAGCATTATGGTTTCTACTTTCAAGTAACACATCAAAGAAACAAATTTGAAACACAGTATGTTTTTAATAGAATGAATGAATTTTTAAAACAATTCTGGGAAAACTTTAATAATACTGATGAAGTTGATAAAGTTAAAGATGCACTAATTGCATATAAAGCATCTCCTGATGAATGTTTGGAAAACGAATTTAGTAGAAATAAAAAAGAAATTCTGCTCAATCGGTTCAAATTCAATAGATTGGAACTAGAAATAGAAGCACTGAAGAATATAACATTTGAAGATGTTGTAAATCTAAAATACGGTTTTATTTTTGGCAGTACATTAAGTATTGAAGTTATTGGTAATAATATAACAGAGGATGAAAATGAATGTCAACCACCCATCAAGAAATTGTGTCTTGAGAAAAATAAGAATTCTATTAATATTACAAATTTAGATGGATTTAAAAATAGTTTAAATCACTATTCACTAGATGAATAATTATAAAAAAAAAAATATGTATCAAATATATTTTATACTTATAAAACTAGTTAATATAAATATATTTAATTAAAATATAATTAAAAATGATAACATACAAGTATTCCTTTGGACATATTATCATTCTAATGTAATGCAATGTATAATGATCATTTCTATGTTCATTCAGTTGGAATATATTGAAATAACTATTAAAATATATGCCATTGTTCTAATAATTGATAAAATATGTAAACTGTAAATAGGATTGATGTGTTTATTTATTTATAAAGAATATATTGTCACTGTCATGTAAAAAATTGACAAGTTTAAAAGACTCATTTTTTACCTATATATCCAAACAACAAAATTGTTTCAAGTAATATTATAATTAGTTTAGAAATCACTTAAAAAATAATTCTTGATTAAAATAAAATATAAAAAAAATTCATCTTTTGCATTATTTATCAATTAATCTTACTAAACAATTATATTACATGGACAATAGTATAAATATATAATTTATGTGCTGTATATGTATTACATTGTGTTAATGTGTTAACATTAAAACAATGAATGTAACTTAATTTGTATTTACCTAATTTGATTTTGATAATTCCTAGTCTATATACATTTTTTACATGTATTATTATTATATATATATAGCTATTAATTAAGAATATAATAAATTTGTATAATCTAAATAATACAGAAAAAAATTACTTCTAAGTCTAAGGTTTGTGGACTTTATTGATATTAACGTGCATAATACAATTAAATATAAACAAAATGTGTAATCCAAAAACAGATTTTTAAACTTTGAATTATGTTCTCAAAATGAATTGATGTTTAATCACATTTGTATATTTATAATTTTAATAATATAATTTTTTTTATTAATAGTAAATTTAAGCGCTTTATCATACACTTAAAATCACTTTATAAATAGCACTACACATTTGATAATATGTAAAATAAAATTGTGAACATTTTTTTATTTACCTGCGAAAACAAATTTTTAGATTTTTTTCTTGAAATAGGTTAAAAGATGTGTATAAAATTAGTGAAATATGAAACAAATGTATTTCTTATTAAGAAATGTCTAAGTATCATCAAAAACAATATGTAAAAGCAAATACTTCTGAACTTTAACTATAATTATTATTTAAATTTAAATGTGTATTGCAATTCATTTTTGTCTTATTAAAATATGAAAAATATTTTATATTAATATTATATACTGTGCGTATAATTGTTTGTTATTTTTAACATATTTTTATTGTGTAACCCAGTATATTATTGCAGTCCAAGTTATAAGCACAAGATAATTATAATTGTTTATCCATTTATAATGTAAATGTAGTTTTATGTATTTGCTTTGTATATTTAAGATTTGCCCTATGTATTTGTATATAGATTAGTATGTTGTGTCTTATGGCAACCCACTTGGTGGACAAATTGCTTTTAAATAAAAGTTGTTCCTCTCTACTAATAATAGTTGATGTATGATCTCATTAATTCCAAACATTTCAGACTTATTGGAGGGGTATCTAGTACCCAGTTGTTATTATATATTTGTATTCCTCCGTAAATTGTATTGAATATTAATATATATATATATTATATTTTAATTCTATTATTTTTATTGTATTTACAAATTAGAATATCAAGTATTAACAGTAAATAATTAACTCCTTACTTCCGACACAAACTTAAAGGAAGTAGGTAAAACAAATTTATTATATAATATAACATATTCGATTTTCAACAGAAAAAAATTTAAGTAAATTCTATGTAATAGCTCATACAAGCTAATGTTTCAAAGTATTAGTATTACTTAGTTTTTTGTTTTTAATCAGTCACACAATAAATACAAATTAAAAACAAAATAAGAACTTTTACATTTTGAAGAAAAGACTATTTTAAAATCAATTTTGTAATAATAGAGTTGATTAAAAATTTAAAACTTAGTTTTTTTTTTTAATCATAACTGTGTATAAGTACAATGTACTTATATCATTAATTATACCTATAACTTGTTTAAAATTGTACAGGTTTTTTTTTGTAATTGGAAATTTGTTATTTAAATATGTATGGTGGATAGCACATTAGACTAGTAAATATTTTATTTATTAAAATGCTATAAAATATTCATCTAAATACTCACATTTGTTGATAATTGACTAGTTAATGTATGAACTTTGTCTTGTGCATCACTTAAATCTCTTCTCAACCGTCTGATTTCATGTGCCTGTTTTTCATCTACTCCCATTCCACTGTATAATGATGATGATCCCGTTGATATCAGACTCAAAGCTGACCCATGAGCTAAAAAAAAAAATTAATTGGATTTTCATGATAATACATTTTTTTTATGTTTACCATCATCATCTTTAGTATTAATTTTACTCATAATGGAAGCAGCATATGGAGATGAAATTACTGATCGATGGTTTGGTTGAGGAGATTGATAATTATAACGATTAGTTGGAGTTGGACTAGTTGGTTGTGAAACATGTGGATAGGTGCGGTGTTCAGAACGATTATTAGAGGTGTATGGTATGCTGTAGTATGAATCTGGTTCATCCGATCGTTGCAACATAGATGGATAAAGTTTTTCCGACTTTGTTGACCTAAAAGAATAAATTACACATATTATAATAAACAATTTTTAATTATAATAATGATAATTAATGACAAATTAGTGATTTAAAAAAGCTTAAATAATAATATTCCTCAGTGAAAAGCAAGTCGTGAAAAAGTTGTCAAAATAGAAAGTGCACTTTTTTGGCAATTTGCCTACCTTGGAAATGTCCGATCTCTTAGGTAGCTGCAAATAAATTACAGCATTAAATTTCCCCAAAATTATTTATCAACCAAAATTAATTAATCATTTTTAATAAAAAATTAATTTCATAAGAATAATTATATTACAAACAAAATATTATACAACACAAACCTGATACTGTTACTCCTTGATATTCTATTTGCTTGGCTAGGCGATGGACTAGCGTTTGAGGAAGCGGTGGACATTAATCGTGAATGGGTTAAACTTGCTCTATGATGTAGTTGTGCAGGAAGGGATTCAATACTATCTGCTTCAATCATACCTCCTGTTTGAATCACATGACTTGTATTTTATCTTACATACAAATAGGTAAAGTATCAATATTAATAATTATTATGGTTACCTATAGCACCAGTCCTAGAAGGCAGAGAAGCTGTATAGTGTGGTGGAACAGGACTGTGTCTCATCCATGTTCCGTAAGGACTGCTTATTTTGGCTTCTTGTTCAGACTGATTTGCCATAAGTCTTTCTCTGACATTTTGTGATAGCTGAGTAGCACTTGGGCCACTAACTGAATATGTCTTCATATCAGTTTGAGTGCCACCAGATACTTTTACCTTGAATATAGACTAACTCTTACTATTGTACAAATAAAATGAGAATTTTGTTAAAAAAAATACCTTTGTTCTAGGAACAGCTGACACTTGAGCTGTTCTTGGATCACTTTTACTATTTGAACTAGACGTAGATCGTTTAACATAACCAAAGCTTTGAGGTACACTACCACGAGCTTTGGTTTTGTCACTACGTGATTTCCTTTCAATATAGTCCATGTTATGCAAGTCTTCACGTGATCCATCTAAAATAATAAAATAATATTTTAGTTATTATTGAAAAGTTTACATTTATAATATAAATATGTGTTACCAGTTGATCTTTTTTTATCTGTTCGTCTTGGACTTTGTTTGTCCCGTACTCTTTCAAATTCGTTTGCTCTAATTTGTTCGGCATTTTTACCAGCTTCTATGTATTTCTTCCATTGAGAAGATTGTCTAATGATAAAATTATAAAATGATTATACAATTTATTGTGAACCGTTAAAATAATTAATACATTTTAGTTAAATACCTTAAACTAGAATTATTCAACTCAGTTTGTTGTCCACTATCCAATTTTTTTGTATGGTTACGTGTGACGACTTTATAAACAGGTGCTACAGGCGTAGGTTCTGGAGGGCTAGTAGGAGGACTAACATCAGGGCCAAGACTTGATGAGCCCCCGTCAGGGCCCATATTAAATCGATTCAGCTAATGTCAAAAATAATAAAATACAATTAGATTTATTATTTATTATAGTATAGATAGCTAAATACCTTGACGTTTTGTTTAATCGCCGATTGATTTGGATCATTTGTGTTTGCATCAAGTCTATCAAATGAATCAATTCTATAATTTTGATAAAAAAAAAAAAAAATGCTAATTTAATAAAATTAATATAAAGTTTACATTATACATTTTAATTAAATGAAAATGTTAAACTAAACTAATAGCTCTTTTACTCAACTTAAAATAGAACTGACATAAGAAAAAAAACTAAATGCATTAGTTTGACTTAATTTAATTTTTAAAAAAAGTATAACATTTTTATGCTAAGACATACATGATTAAATAAAATAATTTTAACAATCATCTTATTTTAAAATGACATTCAATTATGTAAAAATAAAAATATTTTACAATATAATTATTATTGTATTAAAAATAAATCAAGAATAAAAGTTTTTAGTGGTGTACTTTATCAGGGTAAAGCATGGTAAATAAAGTGTTTAAAACTAAATATTAAAATATCTTACCTATGTTTTAAATGAATTTGATTGTTTAATGGTACATTGTGTTTGTTATTAATGACTGAATTTTGGTATTTGATAGATCTATAACATAAAATTAAGTAGGTAGGTAAATCAAGCGAATCATTATTTAGTCTTTTATGTCAATTAACTTTTTGTCTAGTAGTTACAAACTAATGGATTTTTGCCATATAATTGTATAATGATAAATAAATAATTAGATTAATAAAATATAAATAGGTACCAAATTTTTATGCAAATTTTATTAATACAATTTTAATATGGCGAAATGTCTACTACTCCAGAACGTTATACAACTACTGCTGTCTACTGCTGTTGTATTTGTGCCTATACGGGGTGTGTTGTTAAAACTCTGGTCTCGGTTGGATGTGGACACCCTCGAAAAGCACAAACTCTATGGCGAATCCACCGAGGCGCTATCTACCGCGCGACTCCTAAAACTAAAACGCGACTGTGCGTCTCTTTTGTTTACACGCGCAATAATATTATATCGCCGGCAAAAAAATTTGCCGACCGAGCGTACAATTTTTTCGAAAACGTATTTTTCCACTTATCCTATGTCGGTTATATATTTTATCGTACAAATGTACGTGTTTGCTATGTCGTAGGTATATTCTTCTAAACCGATAGAACAATATTATCACGCAGGTATTATATTGTATTGTTGTAGCAGTAGCGCAGCAGTTCGACACTGAATTTGTCTGAAAGTGTCGGCGGGGTGGGTACCTATGCGGCCGCCAACGTGGAGAACGGTTGGGTGTTGTTTAAGGTCCGATGGAGGACAAGGGAGTACGTAGTATAATCGATGGAAAGCCTAAAGGGGGATTCATATCGTCCGCGTGATCGCAACAAAAATAATTCAATTAAACGAAAACACGTTTTACGGCTAATTATTAAAACGTCCGGATTAAACGCGCACAACAAACATTTTGAAACCCTCTAGAAGGAAAAAGATAAGTCATCGAAAAAAATAATACCTATGGCCACCCACTGGTGTAGTCATATATAATTCGGCGGGAGGAGACAAATTAAGATTGATGGACCACGTTGGCCATTGTCAGACTGCAGGTAATACGTATATTGCTATTGTTAGCCCCTCGAGCGACCTTATCGTTATAAACAAAACACCACGATAATAAATTATAATAAATACGACCGTAATATTATGGTTACTTATTATTTATCTGTCCAAAATACATAGGCCGGTACATGTATTTTCACGGGCTTATAAAGTAAATTCACTTACGTTTATTATCGATACCCAATAATTTATCGACATTTTTTTTCTCCGAATAATCACGCCGTTGTTACATGCCAAAAATTATAATTTCCGTGTAAACAACACATTGGCGCCAATGGCAAGCGTCCCCGGTGAATTTTCGTCACACAGTAACCGCATAGGTTAGAAATCAATACAAATTAAAAATTGTCTACGATTTCTGTGCGGGGAGAACCCAAGTAGAAATTTCAAAATCGGACTCAGCCAGTTTTCTGCCATTTTAATAAGGAATCGATTACAAAAAAAAAAAAAATGTGATAAAATCAGTTTAATTAAACTTTTACATACATGTAACGTATTGGTAACGAATCGATTAGGTATTTTTAATCACATACGAAAAATCCGTTTTAGTAACAAAACATTTTTAAAAATTTGGAAACATAGATCTGTTACGGAGGGGGGGGGAATTCGTTTAAACAAACACGGTGACAAAGAAATCTAATTTTTTAAAATACATTTAAATAAAACTCCATTAGTGGTACCCAGTATAGAACATAAAAAATTGTTTACAGTCGATTTTATAGTAGTATTTGAAAATACGTGTTTCGAGGCGTATGAAGTCACATACATTATATATTAATAAGTATTATGTTTATGTATAAACTACGACTAAACCACCATACATATATAATTTTGTTACGCATGGCCTGTTCATGAAAGATGACTCATTCAAAAAAGGGAGCTCAATTACACCCTTTTCACAAACACGTCCCCCCGCCCCCGTGTCTTGCCTATTAAAAAAAATTACTAAAGAAAAAAGAAAAAAACGAATATGCATTGAGACAGCATAAAACACAATTTAGAAGTCCATCTATTATTATACAAATAAATACAGATAAATTTACAGAAATAATAAAATAAACATTTACAGTGTTATTATTGAATTTAGATTTTTATAAGTGTAAAAATTGAAAAGGGGAACGACGAACCAATCAAAGTCAATTTCTTTATAAAGGCTATTGATCTAATTTTATTTTTTACGGTCGACTCGACAAGACTAACATGACAAGCGGAAAATATTAATCATTGATATAAGGCGTATTGAAGCATTAAAAATAAACGTGAAAATATTTTTCTATAGGGTTTTTTTTTTGTTGTTGTTATTGTTGGATAGGTACCTATTCTAGTTTTTTTCGTTGTAATTGAAATATGTGTAAAAGGGTGTTATTTTAATTACACCAAAAGGTCAATTTACCCGCTCATTAAGCAATTTGACATACTAAATTATCTACGATTTATCGTGATTAAGTTATGGAAGTGGGCGTAAGTAGGAACATCCTTAAAATTGGTGGGCAGAGCTAGGCCGTGGGCATCACATTTTCTACTTCAAATTGGACATCACGTTCGAAAAAAAAAAATAATACGAATTTTAAACATGAAAATATTAAAAATTTTGGTCTCTCAGATCTTAAGCACTCTATAAGATATTTACAACTTGTTGATATTTTATTCAAAACGAGAAATTTTAATTACAAGATAATACAAATAATTATAGGATTATCTAGTCCAATGCATAAACATCTTTTCTTTGTTTAAGAAATTAGTAAATATGTAAAAATATTTAAGCTCAACAACCAAAACAATAACTTAGAGGTCTGTTATCTAAGAGAAATGATTTGATAGTTAAAAACATGATTATAAAATCTTGATGTACACCAAACTAACAATTAAGTCAATCAAATATCATGAATATTTAAAGAAAAATCAATATTTTACATTCACTGAATATAATTTAATTGATGTATAAATGTTATTTAAATAAAAACCCAAATGTCAAAATAAATACTAATAAATCATATTATTTGATAAACAAAAAAAAAATTAAATAATAATACTATAATATTTTATAAGTTTAGTCTTGAAAGATTTAAATATTGTTGTAAATTTACTTATTTTGTAAACAATAATTAAAAAATATTATTAAACAATATAATATAAAGACAAAATTAAATTGCATATCTTTCATTAAATTCTATATTATCAAAAAATTATAAATTAATATTTTAAAAAAAAATTGAATATCTACCTTAATTTATTGTATTACACAATTTAACTGAAGATTAGGGACATCCGGAGAGGGTAGCAGGTTGTGCATTTGCACTACCTAAGCAAATATATTTAATAATTTTGAATTTTTTTAAAAAATAATAAACTATAAAATAAACAGTGTCACACTGTAGTAGGTACTGACATACTGATGGGCAAAGACAGAATTACAATGAATCTATTAATACATTTATTTTGGCTGCTAATGGTGTTATTATTAATTAACTAATCTGTCTATCCGTTGATCAATGTTTGTGTAAATATAGTGTTAGGAGAGCGTGGGAGGGAAGCAAAGTTACCCATAGCTTATATTGATATCAAAAGTATTTTGCACCAAGTGAGTTGATTTTCTAGGGTTGTCCCTGTTGAGGACTTTATCTGTGGTTCTGAGTACACATATTCATACACTACTAAAAAAATTATAATAACATGACTAATAATTATTTAAATAACTTAAATGCAATCAATAATTGTTAGGTTTAACATTATTGTTTTAGAATAAATTTATTTACTTGAAAACCTATATTTAAATGTAAGACAAAATGATTCCAGAATAAAACCCAATTCTCAATTTGTCTCCCTATTAAAAAACAACAATGTATATTATTTATTATTTAATCACTTTTTTAATTTGATTTAGACAATATTACTTAAGTAAAAAAAAAAAAGTTATTACTGAAATTTGGAACTCAAAATAATCATTTACAAAAAAATATTTATTTAAAGTATTATGTGTATTAAGTATTATTATTATATATATTTTACATAAAAATAAAACAAAAACTACTGTAAAAGACAAAACATTAAATGATTAACATAATTTGAATAGCTTTATACCTAAAATACTAATTCAATTATTCAAAATTATTAATCTTCTCAACTTTGATATGGTATAAGAATTTTCAGATATAACTTTCAAAATAATATACATTATTTAAAATTTGCTCCCTCAGTACTTTAAATATGTTATGATACCTAAGAAGTAATGATGATAGTTAACAATATACTGGAATTTAATAATAGTATACTATGTATATAAATACATCTTTGGTAAAACAGTTGTGAACCTAATCTAACTTAGAGATTAATTTTTTTTTTTAATTTAAAATTAAATACAATGCTTAAAAGTACTTACTGCAGTGAGTAATTAAAAATATGTAGATACTTTAATATTTCAAAACCAGTATAATAGATTGTAGTTTATTGGAAATGATAATTTTATAAATATTTCTGTACTCTTTAACTATAATATATTTTATAATTCAAGGAGCTGTATCATACAACAATAATTTGCTAAGTTAATATTTTAACGACTTAGAATTTCAAATATAATATTGTACAAATTATAAATCTATTACTAATGTTTCCAAGTATTTATAAACACTAGATTATAATTAATTAGGTACATTTTTTATAGTAAATAATAAATGATTTTACTATGAGTTTTGTGTACAGAAAAACAAAATATTTTTTTTACTTGAAAATGGTCTCAAATGTTATAATGTACTCACTTTGAATCATTATATACTGGGCCTTCGGACATGTAACCTGGATCTGTTGCAAGAATTTGTCTTGACTGAATGTCATACTGAAGAACATCACCATCAGATACATAACCTGCAAAGAAAATAGCTAGCTATGTCAATTGTTCAATTTTTCCTTACAGTACTGTATAACAATAGTTATAATAGATGTCCATAAAAAAAATCAATTGTTATTTTACCTGACGATTGTTGTCCATAGTCTGAATCTGCTGATATTCGTTTTTCTTGATAATTGCTATTCATACTGTTATTTTGAGATAATCCTGTGATCAAAAAATATTGAAATTATTAATACAAAATATTATTAAATTTTCGGTGTTTATTAAATATGTGATCTACCAATTTGTAGTGTGTTTGTATACTATTATTATTATATTATATTTTAAAATTATATCAAAGTTCTAGTTAAAAAAAATTAATTGTTGAATCAAAATGTATGGTTAGTGTGAAAAGTTTTGACAAGATACAAAACAATCTTAATTCTATAATAGTATAATTTATTTTAAACAAGAAGTGATCCAAAGTTATTTTAGTAGCAACCTAAATATATTGTTCCCACTGGTTATCACGAGGCAAAGTATTAGACATATATCACTAAATAATTAACATAAGCAAAATAGTAACACGTAATATTATTGTTTATTTAATTTATTTTTATAATATGTTGCTTTAAAGTACATTATATTATATTTTTTGTTAATGCTTAAGTGATAGTTATAAAATCTATGTGCTCTGACTTCTTATAAATCAGACTTGAAGATAGATTTATACATAAAAATGTATCAAATTATACACCTTATTTAATTTTTATAAAAGTCTAGACACCTAGTATAATAACAATAATTTACTTTAGAATATATATCACAATACCTAAATCTGATGGTATAGTACGGTGTTGGGGAACAATAATTGATCTCTTGTAACCTCTCAATAACGGTTCCATTGGTTTCACATTTAAGGCTGGATCGTCTTCTTCAGTAAATGAGTTTTGCTTGTCATGTTTTGATTCATTTGGAACTAACCTAGATGTCTAAAAAGTAAAAATTAATTAAAAGTAACATATTATTAATGACTATTTATTTTTTATCAAAACCTACATTATCAGATTTTTTTGGTTCATTACACATATCAAGGGATTTTACATTGTTTTTTTCTGGAAGATCATCAATTTTTTTAGACTCTGAATTTATTTGTTGCATAGGTGCAACACAATGAGTTGGTTTTGCCATTCCTTTGACAGTAGCTACTGGTTTTGGGATTCCAGTTCCACTAAGCCTCACAGATTGACTTTGTGATAATTCCATTGTAGATGAATTAGTTAAATCGTCTTTATCAGAATTTAATATCTAATAAAAATAACAATAATTAAAATTATACAAAAAATACCAATATGAATATATTTTTAAATTTACTTCAACACTTTTTCTTTGTAGATTTTCACATTTAGGCGGTGTAGTTGATTTAATACTAATTTTTGAAAGACGCGATTCAGCTGGTACTGGTGGTCGGACAATTTTTTTTCTTAATACTGGCTTTGGAACGTCTGTATAATTTTCTTTTTTTTCTTGGCTATTATCAAGCATAAGTTTAAATGATAAAATAAAAATATAACTTTTTAATACTTTAAAATATTTTTACATACTTAGGCACTGCTTTCGGTTCATTTGAAAGACTATTTGATGAATCACTGCGTTCTGAGCGAGCAGAACTGAATCCACTAGAACTGGAAGTTCTTTTTGTATTACTTATAACTAAAACAAAAAAAAAAAAATGTCTAATTACAAAAAATGACACATAAAATACTCAAATATTATTCATTATAAAAACCTTGTTTACTGGATTTTTCTTTTTGATTGGAAGCTTTTAGCTTTTCCAACAAAGCACTGTTTTTTTGTGCAGAACTGTATGGACTGGCAATATTGGTTTTAACAGGCATTCCATTTTTTTGACTGAAATAATTTTGTTTTAGTATCAAAATATTGTCGAGAAAATAATATGCATAAAATAATTGATTTGTTTTGTTGTTTGTTTACTTGGAATTTTTAGGTGAAGCAACTGGTGTTCTAATGATAGTTTTTGGAGATGGTATAAAAGTGTGAGGACTAGTTGATCTGGAACTACTATTTGATGTACATTTGATTCCTGTATATGGACCTAAAATAAACATGAATAAATATGATAAACAATAAACAAACAACATTAAGTTATTTTGTATACAAAATAATTTATTTATTCATAATGTTAATCTATTTGAAAAATAAAAATCAATATTTTAAGTACATTTATTATTGTTTGTATTTTTTTTATAAAAAATACCTAGGTATGTTTCTTCTAAAAACATATAAAAATAAATAATTGGAATTCGAAGTAAAATGACAAAACCTTAGGCAGTCACCTACAACTTTACTGCTTACTGTGTAGTGCCGTATATGTTGAGAGATAAGAACTGGAAAAAAAAATAATAATATGCTACAGAAACATGTGATAAGAAAGCAACAGGCATAAGATATTATATTATTGTGCATGACGTCATCAATAGAAAATGTCGGGAAGGGCGTGAAAGAGCGCGAGTAATAATTGCCATTCAAATATTATAACAATGGAAGAAAGGGTGACTCGAAATGAACTAGAAAATAATGTATCCGTGGGCTGTATAATTGTATTCTGATTATAAGTATCTATTGTGAATTTAAATGATATAGTTTTTGGAATTTTGTTAATAGGTAGGTAGGTACAGAATCAAACATTAATATAAAGATAATAAATAACGTAAGTTTAGGTTACAAATAAGACACTTTTATTAGGTACCTACGGTATAGAGATAATTATTTTAATCGATTGTAACTAATAATTCATGAATTTATTAAATCTATTTCAACACCAACAATTAAAAATGTATTAGATACGTTATGAGGTATTATGGAAATGATATTATTTTGAAATTAAACCCAGTGTATACCTACGGAAAAAATAGAATTATAAAAAGTGTATTTTAAAATTGAAATAAATTGTTGTTCAGCGAGCGGTCATATCTTTTTGAAGGGTATAACTATATAATAGATTTAAAACATTAAGTACTTGAGATAATTTGTTCAAGCCTTCAAGGTTGAATCGGACCAGAGAAACATTGTATTGTTATTTTCTTTATTTTCTCGTCAGATTAGACTTACATACTTACAAATAAACCTAAATAAATAAAAACCTAACGAAGAAGCGTTTACTCGTAAACAACTTAAATACGAAAAAAAACATATTAGAAATATATTATATACTTAATATAATATGTATTATTCAATATTCTTATTTTTTGTGTAGGTATTTAGAGTATTTTTAAAAAAAGAAAATATTATTACCATAAAACGTAAAACAATGAAAATTGTTATTATTTATTTAATAACCATATTCCATTCAACAAGTTAAATTAAATGATGTATACTTGTACTGGTTTTAAAAAATTCTCATTAAATTCTATTCAATTTGTGTTTATCGTCAAAGGTTGAAATTTTAGTTTATTTAAATTTAGTGTTTTAAATTCATATGTTATAATAATGGATAGCTGTCAAAAATTTACGGAGCGAAAAAATATGTTAAACATAATTTATTCAAAAAGTCAAATTTGTAGGTACCTTACGGTATAATAAATGCATTTATTATAATTATTATGGCCATGTGTTTGGTGTAAAATAATTTTGTCGCATATTATTTTTCTCCTTCAATTTTTTTTATCTAAATTACATAAGACGTGTATTCGTCTGTGTAAAAGTACATGTATTTTAAAAATGTAATTTGCTTATATCAAAAACAATACGAAATTGATAAAATTAAATCTTCCTGGAGCCAAAGATGTATAACAAGCGATTAAATATTATGAAATTTAGTAGGTTATACAAAATATTTACTCATTAATATTTTGTATAACTATTATAAATTTAAGGAAACATGTCCACGTCTATTATAATAATATTAAAATATAATTACTATTGTAGTAACTAGGTATACTCACTGTTGGCAGAAGGCGTATTTTGCAATTGATGAAATCTCTGGACGAACGGAGTCGGTATACTTGTGATACTGCCCGAGTGTAGGGTGGGTCCAGGAAGCCTATTTAACAATAAAATACATATTAATTGTTACATAGAAATTAAAAAATTAACAACAATGTGATTTCGTCGGAAAGAGTGATGCAGTGTTCGAATAAAATGGCGTAGGTATATCATATAATTATATTAAAACTCTATGGACTATTGTTCGACCTAGGTATAGGAAATCATAATAAGGTAATAAGACGGTTATTGTTTTTTATACAATATGTGCTTAATATGAACCTTAATCTGACTTCAGGAGACGTTGGGACACTCCTGGACTGATGACGACGCGCACTGTTCGAATTCCCCATTGAAACTGAACACCGTCTGTTCACAGAGCCTTAGAGGGTATATAAAAAGGGATGAAGGGTCCACGCCCTTACTACACAGCCACAATGACGTAATTTATTTTCATTTTTCCCTCCCCACTCTTATAGATATGGTACCACCTAATATAATATGTCTTCTATACTCTATTATTATTATTGTTCCAACCACGCGATTTATCATCACGTTCTCTGTCTCCTCTCGAGTTTCGTTAAACATTACTTTACCTCGATTGCTTCATGTCCGTAGCCGGTATTCTCGACTTGCACGGGCCTTCGGATTTTTGCTGTTGTTTCTGTTTCTGTTTATACTTGGACAGTGCGAAGAACAGGCCCAGTATGGCTTTCAAGTTACCTTCCTTGACGTCATGGGCGGTGATACCGTCCAAAGGAACGCCCAGCGTCTCCAGGAGATCCAGGCAGCTCTTGATATTTCCCAACTGGAATATTTATATAGTATATAAATTACAAATACGATTAATAAAATTCGTTTAATACCTATTTATGTTTAACGAAACCGCATTATAAGTATCTGTGCATAGGTTAACGCTCGGGGATTAACGATTCGAAGACGATATTAAATATATACGCTAATTGTGTACACCTATATTATATGATAAAGTCACTGCCAATTTATATTTAAAAATCTTTAATATTTATTTTTTTTTTTTTTTTTTTTGCAAAATTACAACGATAAATTTAGTTTTTATGAGTTTTTTTTTTTACCTTGAGATAAAAAATATTACATTAATACGGTATTATAATATTTAGAAGGGTAATCACACAAGTAATACTATTGGATAGCTTAAATATTTCAATTAGAATACAATTATTTACAGTACATTATTATAACACTGCGACGGACACGCCAAATAAAATAGAAATCTCTTTAAAAGGTCAATTTCTAGGTTCCTTACATATCTATAATAGCCCGGCATAGACAGATTTAACAGTTACTGGATAATCTGTATACAATATAGGTACCTACAAATTATTTTAATAAACAAAGGCGGTGATTTTTTTAAGGTTATTACTTATTATTAGTTTCAATCACAAATAATAAAATGTGCCATATAAAACTTTTTCGTTTTATTTTAGGGGTTTGGAATTTTCTGATATTTTTTCTGAATTATTTCCAATTTTGTGAAATTTGAATTATATTTTTTACTTTTTAATGGTCATCTTCACGAAAATATTTATTCTAAAAAAACATAGAAAATAAGTATATGAAGTCAAATCATTTTTCAAAACAGAAATTGGGCTACTAGAAGTATGTTATTGATTATTTTAAAACTTATTGGTTCGATAAATGTATATAAAAAAACAAACCACTTTCAACCGCAATAAGTGACAAACAAATTTTGTTGTTCAAATTACAAATCGAATAGGTTCATACGAGTCGAATTTATTATGTATTATATATTTAAGTAGGTATTCATACTTTAATATTACAATGTATTATATCAATTCGTAAGTAATTCACGTTTTATTTATGCATCATAAAAACGTTTACGGGGTAAATATATAATAATATCATACTACATCGTATACAAATGAAAATATAATTCTTTAGAAATACGTATAAATCGCAAATTTAAAAACAAAGTAGGTACCTTATACGAACCGTAGAAAATATTCAAGAATGTTAGTATAATGATACATAAGTAATATAACACTGCTGCGAGGTCTTCTCGGCAATTGAATATAGGTACGTATATTACAAAATTGGCACTTCGAGATAATCATAATAATATAATTATATTCAGTGCACGGAAGTATTATGTTTCAGTATATTACATTGGCTCATGGGGAAAGCGAATTAAAGAAAAAAAAAATATAATATTGTGTATAGAATAATGATCGCGATAAAATACGGTGAAGAATTTTTTATTTTTTTTTTGATGATAGGTACTAAAAAATATGAATACATATATATTATATAGTTATTGTGTATACCTACTTGTTAGAGTATACATTACAATATATTCAGAATAATATAATATTATTATATCCGCGTGTTATCATTCAAATTACACGAGAGAAAAAAAGTATAGTTAGAATTACCGCATCGGATTCGTATTTTTTTCGTTATTCGTTTTTTTCTTTCGTAGATACATTTGTACAAAATTCAAATTTATGCAGTTTTACGTACGACGGGTACTCGGGGATCATATAAGCGCTATGCCTATCGTATTAAAACATAATACGTATGCAATATATACACATATAATATATAGAACGTTAAATTATCATTAAAAAAAGAAAAAAAAAGAAGCTAATATTGCTAATAAGGGAAATTGGAACGGAGGATATATAGAGTAATTTGATTTATATTTGTGTAGGCAACGATAAACTATTGCTAACGGAAAACGATTCCGGGTAGAATATTATTCGTCGTATTAATTCGTATTGTTTTTATTTTTAATTAAGAAATTAAATTGGAATTAAGGAATTTAATTTGTTGGAATTTAATGTTTTAAACCAACAAACATGATACAAAACAATGCCAGATTTCCCATTTATTAAGAAAAAATGAAAAATGACTTCTCTATTGAACCGACTTTATATAGAATAAAAACGTTACAAGAAAGTTTCCATAAAGTTTTTGATTTCTAGTAGAAAAGTATAGTTTACAGCCACAAAACAAAATCATATAGTAAAATCAACATTCCGCTTCGCTCAGTCAAATATATATTTTTTTTTCAGTGAAATCAATTTCAAGTTGCAATATTATAATATGCCCTATGCAGTATCGCAATAGTTTATCAGTTTATACAAACAATTATACTTAATGAAACAAACAATAACGAATTAAAGCGATTTTTTAATAATGTATAAGTAATTATTGTAAATATACCAAAAATTTCTCGGAAGACAATCGAAAATAAAGAACAACGTAATAATCATATACCGATTATATAAAATGACAACGTTTCCTGTTTTTTTTTTTTTTTTTTAGGAACACGTATAATATACGAAGACTGTAAATTATACGAGTATATAATATATAATAGGTAAAAAAATACTTTTTTATTACGGCGAATACAATACAATCAAAACGTATTTATAGGCACTACACGAAAAATTCGAAAACTAAAGACAGGTGATTTTTTTCGTCACTATATCCAGCGATAAATTTGAGTGAATTCGATCTCGGATTTTTTTTGTTTTATCTGTATTTCAACACTATACCATAAATAAGTATTAAATATAGATAATATATTCAAATAGATGTTTTCAAATAGAAATTAAATTCCCCCCCCCCTTTACACACGGATTCGAATAGTTTTTTTTTTTCAAATTTTGTTTTGCATAACACTAATACCTTATACCGGATATACCAACTTTGATGAATTATAGCAGTTTAAGATTTATTTCCAAAGAGTAGAAAACAGGATCATCCACAAAAAAATGAATATAAAGACGTTTTTCAAGTGAAAAGTAAGTTCAAATGTTTAGAAAAAGATTCTCAATTCGAATCTGGGTTTAAAATAAGGAGGTAGGGTTGGAAATCCAAAATGTTATTTAAGTTATTTAAGGGGTAGGGGTAAAAATTTGAATACAATGGTAAAATATTAAGTATAAATGATTCCATGTAACGTCTACGAAAAAAAAAAAAAACAAACCAGAAATCATATTCACTTAAAATACTCCGGGAAAATCGCTGGACCGTGAATCTGTATTCTATATAATATTCTATACTGAATATATTTTATTATACAGTGTGTGTGCTGAAAAGAATATTATTAGCGTTGCTACGAATGGTCTGTGAGAAAATAGGAATCGCGTACCGAGACTGATTACTCCGTGTACCTATTATATGGTACCATGGGCAGCGTATTTACAGACCCTATCCGAGTCCGGCCCAAGCCAAAACGTAACCTGGTTGGTTTTAGAAGTTTTCAAAAGCGACCTATAGGTTATGTTAGATTAGGAGATTGATCCAAGGAAGTTAATTTCTCAAGTATAAAACTGAAACCAACTACCTAGTCAATGAAAAACCAATGCAGGTTTAGATAAATCAAAGGGGAACCAAACAAATTTAATCTACCTGTTAGTCCGAACATGATAATACCACAAAGAAGTTGGTGTACTAAGTATAAACCTAAAACCTAGAATGATGGTCGATGACAAATCACAACGGGTCGTTTATTTACAGACAACTTGAGCCGAACTCGAATAGGGACTGTAAATAAGCATATGGGTAACGGAATCACAGTTTTGCGGACATTTCGCGAGAATCGCGTGGCGGCGACAACCACCCCTGCTCTCGCACGTCGTAATAATATTTTATAGTAAACGTGCGACCGAACGAACGATATCGTATATTATTAGGTATATACCACGGTAACCGCAGTTCCCGAGTCCGCACAAAACCGTCGGACGCGGTCTGTTTCTCCCGTCATCATATTATGGTATTACTATACAATATATTATATTGAATGCATACAATATCGTATCTGCGGTAAAATCGTGACCACATAGCCCCCGGTTACCGGAGGGGACTTGACGAAAAATTAAAAGCCCGAAGTATATTGTTTAGACATTCGAACCAGTTAAACAGCTGTTGGCGGGTCGTTTGAATGGCCTGTTATCGATCCGGTGTGGAGTCTTATATAGTTATGGCTATACAACACGCCTGGTCAAAGGGTTCCGAGTCCGCGGTTTAATGAATTAAGAATTACCCGCAAACGTCCGTAGGTATACGAAAACCGAATCGAATCTGTAAACCGCAGAAAACTTGCGGAGAAAGGATGATATCTTTTTAACTGCGAAGAATATTATTCTGCAGCTGATCTATATAAAATAATAAATATATGTCTGGGTTTTACATGTTTATTATGGCCGCGACTGCGTCTGATGCAGTGATTTTAAAATGGCTGCGCTTGTTTCCCATCCGTGGGTTATTATAGAAAAAAGATTTTCGAGAGACGCTGCAGAGGTTGAAAAAAAAATGTGACACTGTTTACTTGTCTCCTGAATTGATTAATTATTTCAAAAAAAAATAAACATTTTTTCAGAAGTACGATGCCGTCACGGTAACTCTGAAGGGGGGTGTGTTCCTTAGAATAGCCCGTGTAAGTTTTTGAGTGATTATATATGTCCTCGGAATAACTTTTTTTTAAGAGTAGTAAAACTACTCGAAAAGATGGTAAACCGGCATACTCCATTCAAAAAGCTTTAGAAAATAATGGACATATTTTCGACACATTTTAAAATAGTTGAAAACTTAACAAAGTTATAAAAGGAACTACATAGGTTCCTAACTATTCAAGAATGTATTACAATTTTAATTTTGAGCTCTGAATCGTTTTTCGAGTGCGATAATTCGTCGTTACTTATAAGTTATAATACTACTATATTACAGCTATATCTGCTCTATATTAAATTTTACAGTACTCTCATAGCTATATTTTTATTTTAGTTTATGAGACAGCCGAAGGATATATTGGTTTTACAATGTGTACCTATATAACATAATATATATACAAATTATTTCAAGTATAGAAGGAGTGGTCTAAAAACTTTCATGTAGTATGCACTCTGTATAGGGATGGTCGGACATATATGAAATTAAACGCAGATGGCCTGTACAAGAGATCATGTCTGGAATTTTTAATAATATCTGATTACGAAAAACTGTACAGAAGAACTTCAAAAAAGTTTAGTGAAATATATGACGCGAATCTATAAACGAAATTGATTTCGGTATTATTAAGGAATTCATATTTCTAGACTTGGAAGTGGTCACTGATTTTATATGCTCGAAATCATTTTTAGAAAAAAAATGTATGCAAAATTTCAATTTTTTCTGTTTTATTGATGAAATATAATATTTAAGTGATTTCGTCAAAATTTTAATATTTTTAAGTAATTAAGTACACGCGAATTAATTTAGTTAATATAAAATGGCGAGCAATACTATGGGTTTTAAGATATTAAAGATATCAAACTCTATACAAACAAATATTATAATTTTCCGACTGGTTTCGAATTAAATTCGTTTAGCAAAACGCCTATAGTATTATAATATTCGTTCGGTATACGTATATTATTTTATTTTATACACAGAGAATCCATATGTATTTTGTAATGAATAAATTTAAATAGTAAATTCGCGGTACGTATGCGGTAGACTTCTTTTGATTAAATAAAATAATAATAAAAACAAGCGAAACCCGTGTAATGCAACAGCACAAATGAAACAAGTTTTATTCGCATATATGCATGTGCTGCAATTTTTACTCTTGTTTAGCTCTATGTACGGGATGACCATACGAACAAAAGAGAACAAAGCCCAGCATAAGCCAGTAATGACACTTCTCATTCTGTTTTTTTTTTTTTTACGATCGACTAACTCACTATAACTTATATAGCCTATTATATTATAATATATAGGTATACCAAATATTAAACAGTGACTAATTTGATACGAGAAAAAAAACCACCAAATAAAATAAATAATAACAATGGCCTTGATATAAATGATAATGATAGTATATAGCTATCTTGTATTATTTTTCTATTGTTGTGTGATACTCGGGGTTTTTGTAAAAAAAAAAAAAAAAAAAACGATTTTTAAAATACAAGTAATGAGTTATAATATAATATTTTATGGTGGATAGATATTGAATTGCACTACAGTCATCGATTTATACGCAACAGTTTTACTAATGATCTTAAAGAAATGCAAAATATATCGAAATCTATTTTTCGTATTATTGACTATATATATATATATATATATATAAAAAAAAAAAAAAAAAAAAAAAAAAAAAAATGTAAAACACAATAGATATTTTAATAAGACTATATTATTATATTTTAATATTATATTAAATACTATTTAAGAATACATATAAAAAATAAAAAGTTTTAACGAAAAATACTGAAGTTCGTATTCCATTGCAGATATATAATACACAAGTTACAAATTACGATTACGATGATAGAACGAAGAAAAATATCTTATTTTATAGATTGAATGTACACTGTACAGATAATGCTTTATTTATTCATAATTATAATTCAATGAAATAATTATTATAAGGTTGTGGCGGTGGAGGCATAATACTTTGTGAATTAATCAAGCGCCCCTAAATATAAGTATATTTCAGATAGTCACCACTGCAGATAATTATTATATAATAACAGGTCTTGTGTCGGATTCGGTAAAAGAAGCATTTAATCAAATGGTCATATATATTATACAAATTGTATAGATGTTCCGAACTTAGTAGTTAAGTGGGAGTTTATTGGATGAGGCAAGTGATGCCCTGACTCATCTACAATCATCTACAATTTTCTTTACTAAAATAAAATACATATAGGTACGTAGCTTACTACAATTTCCATCTTTAAAATTTGGAAAATTAATTTCGTAGAAAATATCGTAATGTTTAAAAATATTTGTTCAATTTTTAAAATAATTAGACTAAATACTGAAGTCTGAAATCAACAAATAATATACTTAATGATAGCATCATCTCGTGTTATACGTCTAATATAAAACTTCTGATTTATGATCAAATTTCTAACAATACATTTTATTAGTCTTTTCGTGCACATTAGAACCCCCCTACCTATTTAGTTTTCAAAATATTTGCCTGATCTGAGCTTTTAAGGCTCGCGAGTTGCTGCCATTGAAGTTTATTACGTTAACGATTTATTATCGACACGAACGATGGATAAATTACGCGCTGTGATATTCAATTTCTCTCGTTTCAAAAAATTTTACTTTTACGTAGGTATACCATTTAATTCAGTGTATATGTGGCGAACGAATATTCTCTAAACGTTTGTATAACGTTTCGGTTTTCGGCCGCGTAATAAACCGTATAGGCATGCACTTCATAATGTTTTAATTAAAACTGCAAAGAGTATAGTATTCATTTTTAAGCATAATTCAAACAACTAATAGTAGTACATAAAAGTATTGCCGATTGGCGTGAGACGTGTATATATACAGCGTGATTATTTTTTCGTTGGTCACTCATTATTTCGCAAAGTATTTACTTTGATCAATACAAATTTGTTTGAAAATTTAAAAAACAAGCAGCTCTAAAATGTTACATTTCTATTATTTTTGTGAAACAACTATCAACTTTTGATTTTTAAACGGCAACCTACATTAATTGTACCATATATTTGTAAAGTAAAATAAATATTCTGGTGTTGAAATGTTTGATTTCCGTCAACCCATTCACGCGATATTTCAATTTTAAGCTTGATTGGGAGGAAATTAGCGGAGTATTATTTGTGTGGCGATACGGCGCATGGAGTTTGAATAGCATTCCACTACTCTCCTCCCATCTAAACTTAGAAGTAGAATATCTCATAAATGGATTGACGGAAATCAAAAATTTCAACGCATGATTTTATTGAAACTAATAGGTATTTAATCAATTTACGAAACTTTTAATGTAGGTTACCATTAAAAGTAGGTAGTCGTTTGATCCCCGAAAAAAAGTGTGACAAAAAATAGTGAAAGTGTAACATTTTATATCTGCTTGTTTCTTAAATTGCCTAAAACATTGTTTTGAAAAAATCAATATTTTGCGAAATTATACGTGTTCAACGATAAAAGAATCACACTGTGTATATATATACGATGTCCTGATAATATTATATTGAAACTGTCGATTCGTTAAATTTGTATTTATTAATATTTTATTTATAGTTTGCTATTTTGTTAAAATTTAATTGCAAACTGGGTATTATTCGTTCACGAACATACACGTGCTTAGCGATTTTCTACATTTAAGATAGTATAATGTACAAACTTTGCCCTTATAGTTGTTATTATTATTATATTTCTCGGACAAACAAAAGGCACCTAGAAAAGAAAAAAAAACCCCGTAAAATAGAAGAAAAAAAATGTATTGTATAATACTATTATGCTTTGGCAGCAACGACCTCTTATGCACGACCAGCGGGAAAGATTTTAAGGTTATAGGTCACTGGACCGCCGTAAAACAATCGCTTGTCCATCTATATATTGTGGTGTATTATATTATTCTGCTCATTTTACCCTAGGAATCGTTTACGTATTTTCTATATTTTACATTTGAATATGTATATATCGTTATTCATTATGCTTCATTTAATAGTTAGGTACATTACCTATACTTACGCGACTTATACGTATCGAGTCTTGAACGCGTTAAGCAACATGCATTATACGTTCATAATAATATGGTGTAATTTTTACGAAGTTGTTTTTTTTTTTTTTTGAAACTATTGCAAATATTATTATAGGTATTTTCATTAGGTATATATAGGTTTAGGTATTGCTCAAGCACTACTGTATTGTACTTCTTTTGTTCGGAGTAAAAGTGAAATTCAGTTTTGAGCTACGCATATGAACTATATATCGCATTATTTTATATTATGTAGAAAGAAAAATCGGATTTGGTAAAGCGATACAAATCTTAAACGGTATACATGACATAAATAAATTGAATATAAAACGATAAGTACGTAAATTAATCTTTACAAAAATATTATGAATAACACGAAAATAAAATTAATGAATAACGCGGAATATTATAATATAACGGGGTGATAATAATAATAAAAACAAATTTTGGAAAACGTTATTTAACTACTTCCACGGAGTGGCATTTTGTTAACCGTCGAGTTTAATTAACAGAATGGTAAACTTTCTTATCTACTATTAAATTTATTATAGTAACAATATGTTTTTTATCAACTTGACTTTAAACCGTTACGTACCTATATAAACAGTAGGTGGTCTTTAGATAGGTACACCTAAACCGCATGCTATTTATTTAAATTATTAACGCGCACGACAATGTTAGAAGTCTATTTTCTATTATATAGGTGTAGTTTTTCAACTAGAAAATAAAAATACAACGTATGTATCAGTTTACTGATTTAAAAACGACCGTTAACGTTTTAAACCAAATAGTTTAATCCATTTTATTATGATTATGATTATTATGTTGCAAAAATTCGATACCTACTCGATAAATTTTATTATCGACTTCCTACATTCGTTATGTTGGCGAAATTTTGGAAACATAAATAAACTCAATAATAAACTTACACAATTATAGTGTTTAAAAAAAAATGAAACGTGTATAATAATGTAGGTGGCCATTTTTATTTACTCGAACAAATATTTAAAATATTTTTTGTACAAAATACATTGATGCTATGTATCATATATACTATTTTATAGGATTAGTTGTATATTATTGATTTTTAAATATTATTTTTATTTTAATCTCGAATTATCCATCCGACAAAATATTTATGGTGTTTTGCATTTTGCGTATGGGATTTATAAGTGTTTAAACAAAAAAAAAAACAAAATACATTTCCATATGATTATAATATAATAATTTTGTACGATAATTCGTTTTAAGCATTAGATTTTTGTTTGCACAGCGGCGAGGGGGGGGGGAATGTCAGGGAAGTCACAAAAAATATCTATCACATTCGACCTTTGTGTTTTTAAAATTAAAATACAAATTAAAGGTTAGTTAAAGGGTTTTTTCGGAGGGGTTTTTAGCCCCAAAACTCCTTCATTTGTTCACCACTGTTGCGCAGTATTGAATATGACACATATCACCATCGTAACTAGTTTAACTTTTTTGCGATTCAACAATTTATCATATTAGATTAATTATATTTGAAACATTCACATTTTTTAATAACTTTATAAGGGGGAGTTTATTCTTGCTAAAAAATTCCTATTTGAAATAAAATACCTATAATAGTGCGACTGTTGCCTGTTGATAATATAATTTGAGTTTTCAATAAGTAAGTTTGAGTTATCAGTCACTTATCTACTTATCGTCATTTATATTGAACACAATGTTTTTACGAAATTCCATATTAACATTATAAGAGGACGCTACACAATACATGTATTCGTTGCCTTAGTCGTACAAACGCATCGCAGCGTAGCATTTAGCAAAAATATAATTTTAATATTTAAGTGAATTGGGTTACTATCAAAATTAAAGGTAAGAATATTATTATCTGTGTTTATATTTTGTTTAATTTTTGTCGACGTTTTAATTTTTAAGAGGAGTGTCGATAAGATATAATACATATAGACATACCTATATATAAGACTTTTTAAATTTTGATATTTCGCATACTCGTGTCTCGCTTAAAAATTAAAATAACGAAAAAAAAAACGAACTTACAAACACAGATAATATACTCCTCTTTAATTCGATAATATTTCAATTTGTAATAATAATAAACTAACAGCCCAAAATTAGTTATGCTGAATATTTTGCTATTGTGTACGTTTGTAAGACTCATTTGACAAAAAATGTGAAAAAAAAAATAAAACATATATAGCGTTCTCTTAAGGGCCAGTCTTACACATTTTTTCTAATTTTGGAAAATTATAAAATTATTAATATAATTTTAGTGACCACCTCAAGTATAAGACTTGCCAATTAATCTACTACCCAATACCTATTTAGGGGGAGGGGCAAGGTCGTTTTTACGGAAGGAAATTATTTTGCCGGAATAGGGAACATGTACTAATTGTCATCATAATACTTCCTATCAATATTTTTTTTAAATTGATAAACACCAAAATTTTACAAACTACATTGAAGTCCGATTTTTCATTCGATTTAAAATAATGGTATTAAAAAAAGGTTAACAATTTATATTTTTAAGACGTATTATAAAAATGTATATAATATATTATAAATACTAAAAAATGGAGTTCAACACGATCTTTATTATTAAGTCTCTCTTTTTCAACCAAAAATAATCATCGAAATCGAACTACTCTACGAGAGTTTTTTCCGTAACGCATGTTTTTGAGCAGACACTAGGCCAGTTTCATAATAAAAAAATGTATATTATAGATAAAAAAAAAGAAAAAATATAGTATAGTCGATTATTACGCATACAGCAATATAGATACTGTATACTACAATATTTTCGGTGTTTTTTTTTTTTTTTAATTTTTTGTAAATTTTACTCCTGCGTGGCTGTTTTTTAAATTATATAATATACGCCGGTATATATAACGGATAAATATTATGTACCGTTACCGATGTAATATTTTGAAACGTTTTGTGCATGATGATTTTTACATTAACTATATAGTGCTTAATATTGTTTTCGCATTTTTAAGACTCGAAATAAATAAAAAAAAGATCTTTTTTCCTTCTTCTTCTTTTCCCGAGATGAGAACCAGACTACAATGATGTGGACCGCATAAAAATAAATACCAAGGTTATCCGTGACAAAATTGACAATTATATATCGTTCTCTCTCTCTTTTTCCGTTAATGGCCGAGAGTCACAGGTTTTCATTCCGTTTGAGATACGTGACGATTCGTATTTATTCGGTAACTAAAAAAACCGTTGTTTAGATACATTATTTAATATAAGTTTAAAGAATCCCGTCTAATAAAAAAATAATAATAAAAAAAAAGTTAAGAGTACATAGTTTTGCGCTGCGCTGGCCTTCGCGAGTGCAAATTTTTATTAAACATTGCGGAGCAGCCACAACGGAATATCGTGTTTAAGTTGACATAAAAAGCACGGTCGAAAAAACAAAATGTAAATAATATATACGCGCTTATTTATATAATTTAATTTGTATACGCACGTAATTAAAAAACGTCTGGACAATGTAGTGACGGTGTCGTTCTATGTTATGAGTAAATGATCTATTTAATATTGTATTTCTTTTTTTTATAAAAAAAAAAAAAAAAAACAGTCCGGTATCTTAATTATTTGCGCATAAAATAGAAGTAAATGAATTAAATTTGAATAGATAATAAACAGAAAATGTTATAAATGTTCTAACTAAGATGCACATAGTTTTTGTCTTCAAACACTTTTACAACGATAATGCACAATTTTAATATTATACCTACTGCACATATGGTAACAGATTACTGGTCAAATTAAAAACTAATTCAATATCGAAATAGCTACTAGTTTTTAAACAATAATAAACAAAATAATATATTACTTATGCAAACAGTTTAAAAAATATAGGAAATATTAAAAAAAAAAAATTCCAGTTTTAACTCAATAAATAATATCAAATTATTAATCTCGTTATCACTTAATTTTAAAATAATTTATATCTTTGGTCCCAGAGAAGAAATACATTTTTGGCATTTTTGATTTATCATTTTGTCTTATGTAATTTGTTTCCCATTACTTAAATTATATAAGTGGTTGTATATTTTTATACGAGTTACACTGAAAATTAGAATGTCCTAAGTAACTATGTGAGTACTTTTTGTTTGGAAAAAAGGCAAAAATCATATAATAGCCATTTAGAGTGGCCATACGTAGGCCATTTAACATAGCAATTTAGCCCTATATCAATTATGTCATTTTGTCATTTAGCAATTCTTAAAATTTAATTTTCATTTATTAAAATGCATTCACGTTTCACGTATACACAATTGACTCGAGTTCTTCTTCGGGGCCAAAGATATTATTCTGTAAAACGTAAGTAACGTAATCGAACGTTAATTGTGCTTTTATAAATTCTTAAACAATATTCGATAAATGAAGTAGATATAATATATAATAATATAACAAACATCTATATTACATAAAGGAAAACCAATATTTCAATATAAAAATGTAAATATTATTAATATTAATTTTTTTAACGACGACAGAATAATCGCACACACGCTGTTTATTACACTCGTTATACTCTAATCGGTTTTTTTTTTTTAATGTCATCCTTCAATATTCTTATATTATATAGATACGCATTACTATTCTTTCATAGTTTCATTGATACACTTTTTTAAACCGTAAAATTTCTACTATAATAATTATTAATACTAGTGGTATATTATTTATGTTTTTTTTTCTACGTTAAAAGGTATTTAAACGATTATTTATTTATTTAGTAGTAAGTTTTATTGTGTAATATTGCATACAAAATAAATGATAGTTTTTTTTTTTTTTTATAAATCTAAAATCAAGGTAAAAGTTATTAAGAGTAAAGTAAGTTAAATGGATTATAAAAAAAAAAAAAAATAGTTTAATAGTAAATAGTATTAGTATAATATAAGTAATAAGACGTATAAGTATAGTTAATTTATGAATATAAAACCATTTGTAATATAAACGAATCCGGAATATAATATGCACAATACTCGTGTATAATATATGATGATCCCAAAAAAGAAGGGCTTGAGACAATTTTGTATAGTTTTCAGTAAGTACAATCAAATTCAATTTCGATAGAAACTGAATACACTTATGCAATTTGAACTAAAAAATAAAAAGGCAAAAATTGGATCAAACTATTAATTTTTTCCTAGTACCAAAAATACGTGTATATATGTAGTCAAATAGTAAAACTTTAGACACACGTAAATGGTTTTGAAATACTTAATAAATTAAAATATTTCCGTACAATTATCTCGAATCCAAAGAATTAAAATATAATAATATCGTAAGAATATAATTAAATTGTTTAATTCAACCGAGAAAATATTGCTAATCGTTCTTTAAAATCGATTTTTTCGCAGATTATAAAAAAATAATACATTAGGCATTTAATTTTCGTACATTTAAATTATATTAGGCGTTTTCCTTTTTTGAATACACTTTATTATACAGGTTATATTATAACTAACTAACTAACTATTGTTATAACTACCTACCTACCGAATTATTTCGATGACATTTTTTTTTTTGTAATGCGCGTTGAACAGATTGAATATACCTGCCTGTGCAGGTTCTAATAGTAAAATTTGAAAAAATAAATATTATAACGATAAGAAAAAAAAATATTCCGTTAACTCATAATATAATACGTATGCATATATAAATACAAAACTGTATTTACAATAGGATTTATATCTTTCGTCCCGGAGAAAAAGGGTTTGTCGTTTTTGTTTATAGCTTTCATTACAATCAAATTACATTTTGAAACTACATTTTCACTTGCACATAAAACAATACATTAATGTACACTAAGTTTGAAAATATACCCATTTATGCGATTCAAACCGAAAAATAAATCGGACAGAAAAAAAAAAAAAACCGAAATTAAAAAACACAAACAAGAAAAAATGCCAAAAATTAACAGGAACACTTCTTCGCCGGGACCGAAAATTGCGCGGGGAGTTAAAAACGCTACGAACTACGATTATTTGTTATTGACACTTACGGTACTCCGGACTGTGGGCGAGCTGATCGTTTTTCGTAGCACACTAAACGCCGTTCATATCACTATTGTTATTTAATCCGGAATTAAACGCGGTATTTTTCAACGAATATCGTTTGCGGAACGTCCGGCGTAATATTGTCGACGGAAAATGTTTTTTTAAAAAAAAAATATTTGGAAATAAAATTTACGGACGGCGCGCGATTTTACGATAATTTCCCGTGTTCAACACCGAAACGAGAACCGGTCTGTCCGCTGGTACAGTTCACGGCACACTGTTTCTCCACGCTGCGCTCGTGGTGCGTGTAGACCGCGACACCGACACCGACAACATAATCGTACGGCAGCACCCACTATTATTATTATTATTGTTTTTTGTTTTTTATTTTTTTTTTTTCGTTCCTTTTCTGTTATAACCGTTTCGCGTGGCCACTTATAAGGGATAATAACGTCATTTATCGATTGACCGTTACGAACTTTTGTTTTAATTTTTTTTTTTTTTTTTTTTTTTTTTTATTACCATACATCGCGGACATATTAAAATAGGTACGTGTCTCTATCGATTTTTCGAAACCGATAGAGACGTTTTCCAACGACGTCGACAGCGCATAATACCCACGCAGCCTACCTGATGTACGCCCAATAATTGTACCGATCATATTGAGCATATTTGAGTTTCGTACATTTAACAATGCGATACGCTCTCGTACGAACGGATATCGGTGTATCGGCCGCCGGTTAATCGCAGTGCAGATGGACGCGATCGAACAGTGGCCGCGTCGAACCGCCCGGCGGGTCGTAAACTATATTCGAACACGGTATGGAATTCGATCGCGGAAAAAAAAAAAAAATGTTCGATGCTCCGTCTAAACTGTCGAAAACTACCGACGGCTGCACGAAACTATCCGGAAGTGCGGGCCACTGTATACACGCAGGTAATTAATATGATCAATTTGTATGCGCGCGCTTGAATTATAAATTGCATTTCATACACGTGCAAATCGAACGTCCAAAGAAGATGATTTATTTACATTCGACCGTTTCGTTGCGGCCTAGGTCAGTGTTATAATACCGTATCGCCTGTAGTCCATACGGTTTTACGCATCGAAAACGTATAACTGTATAATCTTATACGGTTAGAATTAGATAGTTCGTATGTGTGACACATAGATCTTCCCTAAAAAAAAAAAAAAAAAAAAAAAAAAAAAAATAAAAAAATAAAAATATCGGGTTCCTTTAATACTATTCATTTTATTTTTTTTTATCTCGTCGGTAAAGAACGGAAAATTCGATTTTATGTTGTACATAATCGGGGATATTCGATTACACCTACATGTCTATAATCATTAGGTTTTTCATCCGTTGATATCGTTTGTTTGCAAATGGGGGAGGGTGGATGCAGTGGTAGCAATGAAATAGTGACCAACAACATAGTTCACCGATGTTTATCCTCCTTCCCCCTCCCGCCAACCGCTCAAACCAAATCAGTGGCGTAACTTTAATCCCGGGAGACGAATGTTATACCGGGACCTTAGAAGACCGAAAAATCCGATTACCGAGCAAAATAAAAGAGGTCATCATGTTATTGTCATCGAATGTGGCCCTCGATGAAAAGTCGAAAAAAAAAAAAACCGCGATTGTCGACCACACACATTTTTACGGGCCCCTGGTAGTGCGGTCCAACTACCCCGTTTGTCAACGTCTCCGCGGCGCCCCGAATGAAATCCTAAACGTGCCGCCGCGACGAATGTCACCGGCGCGTCGTCGGGTAGCACGCGGGGCGCACACCCTGTCGATGTTGTATTCGATTACGGTGAATCACGAACGAGTAGTCCGGCGACGACGACGAGAACTCGCGAATTTCCCGCCTGATATTAATTTACTAATAACAACAATCGTGTGTACAAACACAATTCGGTAGGCGCAATACTTGCGCAGCAGACTCGCGGAAAATATAATTCGGTTATTATTATAATTATTACGATTACGGATGTACAACACGAGCGCAGCCGTGGCGGTCGCGTAGCGGCGTGTCACGAACCCGACGTATTATTGGGACAGGTCTTGCGACTTCCGTTATCGGGACAGCCGCGGGCCGTTTCGGCCGATGTTCACACGAAGCGGTGACGTCGCGCGGGCAGCGTTACGGCACCGGCGGCGGCGGCACCCGGTCAGCAGCTTTCTTTACGGACCGAATACATCGGATACTCGTGCGTATCGTTTACCGCCGCCGGCGGATCGGCGTATAGGAGGTCAGACGGATCGCGGGGACCGCCGTAAACCGATATTACAATAACTACAATGCAGTGCGTACAAACTTCTCCGCTCGTTTAACCTTCAAAAACGGCACCCAGAAGTGTTATTATAAATGTACCACGCCGTGTTATTATCATAAAATATATAGGTATATAGGTGGACGACTCTCGGCGACTCCGTTCTGCGCGCCTATTCGTCCGTATCCTGTATGCGTACGCGCGCGCGTGTTTATCGCTGTGCCGCGCGCGCGTATAAACAAAACGCTCGCGCGCGCGCGCGCCGAAGATTTTTGTAGGTCAGATCGAGAAGCGGGCCCGGAACTGGTTTTCGGGAAGCGCGGGACTTGTGTTATTTTTATCGTCAGCTGATCGCCGCGTACGTGCGTATACAGGGCGATTGCAATTATTATGACCCGCAGCGGTTTTCGACGATAATACTATTGTAACGCACGCCGGTGTATTTGCGTGCGCGATCGTCATAATATTCGGCACAGTAGATAGGTAATAATATGCGATTTCGGTTTTTCGGTGGCGGATCCAGGGGTGAGCAGAGGGGCACGCGCCCCCCTGCCAACGGACTACAGTTTTGATTTACATATTTCATATTGGTTTGATATATTATTCATAGTTAATTTACTGAAAATATAAATAATGTGCCCCACCCCCTTTAAAAAAAATGTCTGGATCGCCGCTGATTTAATAGTGGCGCTGTGCATGGCCGCACATCTGCACGAGAAATTTCATCTGTACACCGTTGCCATTAAACATCGGTGTCGCGACATCTACACCGATATTATCGTATCTAACGTAATCGCATGATAAATAATTGCGAAACACCCGATTATTGAAAGTCACAGTGGCGTGCAGAAATCGTCTGGAATTTATGAGTTTCGATATTAGATTGATCATATTTTGTTGTATGCCAATGGGGGGGGGTATAACCCCTAACCTCTCCCCCCCTGGGCACGCCGTTAAGTCACACACACACATACACAGTAAATCTATTCAGAAATGATTTTATAGTTTGATTTTTATGGCCGACGCTCGGCGTATAGGTACTAGATTATCGGTATTATACGTATCGGATTATGGGTACTGTATTATCAGAACATAGTCGTGTGAGTCGCTTGTTCAGTTATCGTAGTGGTTAGTTTTTTAAAAAAAAAATTAATACTGTTCGGCGATTTATCTATAGACGTTGGTGTGTTTTTAAAACCAAAGTGATGGCGTGATACCATGTACAGCGAAAGTATTGCCGAAAAAAATGAATTCTAGTAGTGAAGTATTTCGGACATGCGGTTATGTAAACCGTAGATAACAAACAACTTTGAACAATCTTTTGATAAAAATGTTAACGGATTTAAAACGATAGGCATGGTTTTTCACGTAGACAGGGCACGGTAACTGGAAAGTTTGCTTAGATAGCACACAGCACAGCCTACCGTCGTTTGTACATTATTATAGGATCTAAACTTACGATATTTTCAATATTTCACCAATCCTTTTCGCATGTTCAATTAACCCCGATATTCGCGCGTTTTTTTTTCAACTACGATGTATAATATAATAATATAAAATTTAATTATTAAAGAAGCGTTTTATATTCATGCAAATCGAATATGCACGTATACACATTTCTTTTTAATTACGATTATCATCTCGAATCGGCGTTTAAAAATGCATGATATTTGAAAACTGGCAACAATTGCGATATCTATTATAGGAGTTTTTGCCAGTAGCGGATCCAGGCAAATATTATTTTATAAGTATTTGCGAAAAATGTTCATACAAAGTCGGCGGCCAACTTTTTTTTTTGAAAAAAAACGTCGAAAACCGCCAAAATCTGAACCGTTCCGGTTTGTTGGACATTATTGGAAAAGTCCTGCCATTTGTTGGATTTCGGTTTATTTTATTTACGAACGGGAGTTACGGTTCGTAACTAACTGTGTCACGTCGAGAAACGGACTAGGTTCAAATTCAATTAGTAGCGGCAACTGCAGTAAGCCCCGTATGGAAATCAAACGAGTGGTCAGTGAAGAAAACGAAATACGTTGAAATTAATTCAGACGTGTACTTGCGTCTCCGCGGAGCACGATTCGAGAACCGCTACAAGATGTGTCTGAAAATCAAACGGAAATCAAATCTCCGTACGTATACGACAGATAAAATAATCACCCTGTATACATTGTCTCGATAAGTGTGTTACGCCGTTTAACTCGAGTCGGCAGCGTGCGTAATTTGTATAATAACAATAATAATATACTATACTCTAGTCGTTATTGAAACGTACATTATTTTTTCTCAATACCGAGTTTACGACTGCGCGGTCGATAAGAGACGCAAAAGCAATCTGCATTATTTTTATTTTTTTTACATTTTTTTTAATTTACCATAATCATTAACGATTTTTTTACCATACACATCCCCGCGTTACCGCGTACAGTATACACGTATATTTGTTACTATGTGATATAAACTAGAAGGTATTAACCGTAATATAGTACTCACCATCTGTAAATGGGTTCTCGGTTTTCTGTTCACGTCTGGCAACCGATGATTGCCTGAAAAACACGTAAAAAACCGAAACGATATATTATAAGTTTTTTTTTTTTTCTTATATGGTTTTTCGGGATTTCCGCGCAGTCCTGCGGCGACGGCGTGTCGTAAAACCGAACGCGAGAAACCTGTCACGGTGCCAACGTACGTAGCTGCACTCGAGTCAAAATTGTTGATCACTGTATACATTTTGTATATTATTATTGTACATAAATATAAGGCGTAATAATAAAAAAAAAAATGTATGCACTACCAGATCGAATTTATATTGCATTTGAGTTCCTCGACCCCCGCGGTATATACGGTTTTATTTTTTTTTTTCAAATTAATAAGATACCCGGCGGTTCGGCTGGGGCTCTTAGTTTTCGCCGGAAAAGCAATAAAATATATATATAAAAAAAAAAAAAAAAAAAACGAAGGAAATTTAAATTTTTATTATCTGCGTCAAGACGCCGATAACAAGCGCGTTATTGTAATTATAATTTGACGGGTACGTCGTCATCATCGCCACGTGTGTGCGACAAAACGAATCGGCTATAGAATATTCCCCGTGAAACATTGAACGAGAAAACGGGGTTTCGTACGCCCAATACATATTACGCATTTATGTGTTGATACATTTATTTACGTTTATTGTTATTTATATTCTATTATTCGCAACATAACGGATTCATTCGAATCGGTCCGAAGCAATAATGATAACACCTAACGGTTTCGTTACATTCAATTATGTTTGTTTTTTTTTTTCCGGTTGAAATCCGGTTAAGAATCATCGAAGGGACCTGCAATTTCACCCGAGTATTTATTTTAGCCTTTTCAGAGCATTCTGGCGATTTTCGAGTTATTTAATAATGCCATTTGCTATTTTCGCGGTTTTACGAGTTTTATTCGGTTTTACGCGAACACAATATTGTTTTGTCTGATTATTTTGCACGATAAAGAAAAAGAAAAAAAAAAATGTTGAGCGCAACGTAGGTAGTAGTTTTTTGTATACGCTTTCTAAAGCTAAAATTTCGACCAAAATCGTAATCATCACGGCGTTTAAAAATATGTTTTAACAAAACTTCGATGGTATATCGTCGCGTACGGAGATAAATTAAATAACTCCATGTATTTACTGTTTTACCTTCCCAACTTCTCACCTACAATAGTGGCACAGTCATCGACAGAATCTGTTTTTTTCTTAATTTTTTTTTTTAAATTATATTTGTGTCGAACTGGAATGGGTTTCGTACGAATACGTATGTATTTTATACTTATTACGTACGGTGTGTATTATATTTTCGACTTTATTTTCTTCGTGATTTTTTAAGCTTATGTATAGGTAACCCGTAAACTCGCTATTGTGTATAAATACATATAATATATATAAATATAAGATATAAAAAACTAAACCGTGATGATTATTTTTATGATATTTTAATAATACTACCTAATACCTACGTAACGTTTAGATATTTTTTTTTTTTTATAATTTTTGGTATGCAATGTAATATTATAAGCAAATCGTATAAATGCGTATTATAACTTAATATTATAACAAACTACAATATTTTATAACATAATATTGTAGTATAAAGCTTATCGGTATTGAACATGTATGTACATATATATATAGATATAATATGTGTTTATTTTTTTTTTTATCTGTTTCATATTTTATAGTACCTGTTTACCTATAGTAAATACATGTTTACAGGTACACTTGTCTTACATAATAATATTATGATAATTCATATAGTAACTTCATAAACCTAAACGCAAATTCGAATAGAAACTGTACAATAATTAGATAGGATTAATTAAAATAAATTTTAATGAACACCTAATCGCCATCAGTTATTACGAGTGTACAATATGTATTTTATTTTATCGATATCGAATTCACTCACAGATTGTCTCCACAAGATCCGACAGCAGTACACCGTCAGCCAAGTCCGATTGCAAATCTTTAATGTTCTTCTTTGATTTGGCTTTATCTAAGTAATGATTCGCCCAGTCCGTGTACACCTGAAATATATACAAAATTATTTAACATTAATTATTAATCAACGATTAAACATACACGGTATAAAACGATGGACTTTAGTGCACAGTATAGCGTGAACAAACTTCGTTTGTGTTAATTTTAAACCAACAAAACGATATTACGCATAATTTGTCTAACTTATAAACACATTTAAATTAAGTATAATAATAAAATTAATTTTGTTTGTGTAAAAATGATATTATTGTTATTATTATTATAATATTACGTGAACGTGCATCAGGTGTCCGTTGCAATAGAAGATTTATTATACAATTATTTTTATCGCACCTACGCATAAGGGATATCAGACAATTTTAATTGGGTGAAAAGGATACTTACTGCTATAATACATTTCAGCAAAAGCCTTAATTATGAAGACCGTTTTTGGTATTTTGGGCCATAAATAATGTAAGTTTTCGCTGTAATTAATGTCTAAACGAGGCCGTTAATCGCTAAAACCCGGGAAACGCCGCTGTGTTTTTAGACACTATATATACTATACTTTACTTCCCGTAAATTCCGCCTGACTAAAAGTTTCAAAAGTAACGAGCGGCGTGTATAATTAAAAGAAAATTATAGCAATAATAACAATAATGATAAAATTAAAGAAAAAAAAAAATACACGAACAAAATATAAGAACTACGCTCGGTATCGATTATTTTCATCGCGTACAATTTAAATTATAAATTATTGGTTAGTATAAATAACACGAAGCGATTCCGAGTTTCAAAAAACCGTATACCTATAAAACAATAACGTCGTAAACGAAACGGCGGCGTTTAAAATGTTATAAAGTTTTGAACATCGCGTTTAAAATACCTAACAAGTAATGTTTTGTTAGGTCGACTACAATGCATCCGGTGAGTTATTTTAGTGGTCTACCCTCGACCGCTCCGGGCGTCCGTTATTTATTTATTTAATCGCAAAATAATGTGACGTGAATTACACGCCTTATTATACTTTTGTGTTATTTTTGTAGGTACCTGCATAATAATATTGTTATTATACGAGTATAATAATTATAAATAATTAATAATTTACGACAAAAGCCATACACTAAATTTAAATAAATTAGTAACGCCTAAATGTTTACATATTATATTTTAATTATAAAAAGCTATCGCAATATAAAATTAAATATTATGTAACTGTAGCGAGTATCTTAGTATAAATAACATTTTTAAAATGTTTCATATTTTTCAACAGTTACTAATACCATGTTGTTCTGAACAAAACCAATTATTTTACAGCACAGAATATAGTAAATAGGTACTATCGTTTCAAAAACACTAATTATTCAATTACCCGTATATCAAACAAAATCACTTTTTTTTCCTGCTTAATTCTCCACACGAAATAAGTACATAATTCATATTTTATGGACGGACTGTACTTACTTAAAATTTATGTCTGGGAGGCATTTAAATATTTTCTAAGGGGTGGAATATTTGATAAACGGATAACGGATTCAAATACTTTAAACTTGGTGGTTTTCGTGAAGTAATAAAAACAAAAAAGATAATTCATATCACTGACGCAATTTTAGATTCTGAGTGGAGCAAGGAATGTATTGGTTTTTCAATGATGTTTTTTCTTTTTCTGTGGATAACTTTTTTACCAGCAATTTTGCTCCGATTTTCAAAGGTTATTTTTGATTTTCCTGAGAGTTTTTCCAATAAATGGAAAAAACGGGAAAATGTACGAAATTCATTATTATCAAATCGTAAATATTACGGCTTTTTAAAAAAGTATAACCGAACTCCGCTCAGAATAGTTTTTCGTTAGCAATGATTAATCTTTGTGTACAGATATACATTAAAATCCCCTCTATATCCTACCTTCCCAACTTCTCACGAACAACAGTATATATTTACACAAAAAACATTTTTCACTTGTTCCTTAATTACTTGGACGGTAATTTTTGTTCCTTAAATCGCGATTTAGGAATCAGCTGATAATTAACCATTTTGACGATTAGATTGACAGAGTGTCCATTTGTCCAACGGAGTAGCTTTTTCACCAGATGGAACGTTGTTAATGGACAGGCATTATTATACGCATTTAAATAACCATCCGATTAGTAAATAATACGAATATTAGATAATAAAAACAGTGATAAAAAATACAATAATATAGTACCTATAAAGCTCTGATTTTGCTGTTTAACAACAACTCATTCAATTATCTGTCCTCGAAGACATTTGATTAGCTATCAGATTAATAATTAAGGAACAGACGGCATAATACGGATTTGTTTTCATAGCATTATTTCATTTGAAAATAATTATTTTTCAACTAAATATAACTATAATTTAGTTTATGTTCACTGATTTTGCAAATTAGGTGTACGATTTGATTAAATAATTTTCTCTTTTACCTATATTATACGTATAATAATCCTATCAACTTCAGACCCGTATCTAATATTAATTATGTAGGATGAATCCCGTTATTAACAATAATGACTAAATAATAATTTTGTGAAAATTATTATCCGCAATGGGGATTATTATAATTATTTTTTTTAATTAATAAAACTTGCGTACCTTAATTATTTGCGCGTATTGTTGTTGATGGGTCTGCACACCGTTGCTCTCGGTTCGGACTCCCGTCCGGGATACCCTGATACATCCAGACATTGATTCTATTAATTTTCTTTGACGAGCTCATTCAACTAAAAATGCATAAAAAGTAATATAGGTAATAAATTATAGCATATAAAAGATTCAGTCAGAGAAAATTGGAAGAAAATAACTGATATTGCTGTTAGATATGCCATTATTTTAGGAAGGAAGTGATAAGGGAGAATATATATAAAGCAATTTAGTTTATATTTGTTGGGAACGAAAAACTATTTTTAATGAAAAACGATTCTGAATATAGTCATATTATTAGTCGTATTTCCCCTCCCTCTTATATTCAAGATAACCCAGAAATTAATAAAAATTAATCATACAAATTACCAGTTATTCCCATTTATTAAGAAAACTACAAGAAGAATCAAAAAATAATCTCCTTAACTTAACAAATAGATCAAAAATTCTACAATGTAAATAATATAAAATCATTGAGCATCTTCTAAAGCAGAGACTTGGCTAAATATTTATTTTGAAAATTATTTGCACATACATTTTTTAAAATCATAACATGAGTTGTTTTTTTTATAAAAAATTGCTTTTTTAATATTCGACTAGTGGTTTTTTTTAGTTAAGGAGGTAATTTTTAAAAAATCCAATGTTGTGAGTTATATAGTGATATAATTTGTTCATCTTCGATGTTATGTTTTGTCATGATAGACGATCAACATTTAAGAAAACTATAAAATAAGTATTTTATTTACTCTTTCGATTTTAGAATACCTATACAATTTAGTTTTAGTACGAACTACACAAAACTTTTTAATGGGCCACGTAATGGGTACCGTTGGTTCTAAACTTAATTTAAATGGGATTTGCAAACAAAATAATTCAAATCGAATAAATAACTTTCAATAATTTAAAACATTATGTTAACATTTACTTTACATATTCACACGTTACCCTACAGTATGACGTAACTGTACAGTTAAATATTAAAATAAGTAGATAAATGATAATCGGGTAAATATTTATGGAAATTAACAATTTTATTTACAAATAAATTGATAGACATATTGGATAAACACAATAGTTTTAAAGCTCGCGATGGCCTTGAAAGTGCGTAAAACAAAACGCCGTTGCAGGGTGATTCGGAACAAATAGAATAGGCGATGTGTCCAATCGATATAAAATTAGTAATTATAGCGCAGGAATGCGTGCGAAAGAGTTACTATGGTAACGTGTTTTGATCAACCTCAAACCATATTTTATGTCTAAAAAAAATAAACCTCATATAAATGTGTCATGCCATTATTCAATCGATCGGAGTATAATTTATTATTTCCATATTATATACATTGTAATCAAATTATAACATTTACGGTCACAAAATTATTTGCCTCCGTACTGAAATAACTAAGCGTCAATTCGATTACAAACCCTCGACGGATAATTTGTTTATCCTGCAATACTCCAATATTCACTTGTATTACGTTTGATCATCGTCCGATGTAAAAAAAAAAATAAATAAATTATAAATCATTTTATATTTTCAAAGTTGAAATATTCATATTTTGTAATACTTGAATAATATATTGTTTCGCATTTTTACATACCTTAACATTGTTTCAAATTGAAAGTTAAATATTTACAGAAAATTCTGCCAATAAATATTAAATTATGCATCTTACGATTTTCTTTGTTCTTTTATACAGAGATATTAATAATTAATAAAATAAATTAAATCAAGGAAGAGATAGGTAATTTTAATTTTTAATTTCTTACAATATAAAAAGTAAAACCACGAGACAACTACGTTATCATTAAATTGTTACGCGTCACGGTTTAATAAAGTATTGAAAGTAAATATACATAACTTCAACATTTACTCATAAGAATAGTATAACGTATGCACGTTAAATAAATGGGTAACTTCCTACCACAAACAAGTTTTATCAATCATTGAACCATCTATATCTAAGGTAGATAATATAATTTATCTAAATGATTATATGGTTGTATACTTGTACAGTACGACCCAGTCGTGTGTTACTGTTTAAAAATATATCAGAACTATATAATACCAGCATGTGTGCAGTCTATAAGCCTTACCGAAAAGTTATGTTTTTTTTTCTTTATTTTAGTTTGCTTTTCATGGACCGAGTCCAAATAATCTCTATTAGGTTACAGTTGGCCATTTATTAGGTGACTGGACTGAGAGTATATTCCTGAAACAAAACAAACAAACGTAAAATAAGTCATATGTTTCTGATTTAATATAGTGATTTAAAATGTAATGTATATAAATACTAAATAGGTAGGTAATATAAATAAACGACAAAATAATATTTCTTTACTAAACATACAATTTCGTGAGTATTTATATTAATGTATGTGCCTATAATAAAGGTAATAGTATTCGCGATCTCTAAAGTATCAACATTTTCAATATTTTTGGTATACAAAAAAAAATTGAACAATTTTTAGACAAAAACAAACATTTTGGGGTACTAGACAATACAGTAGTGATGTGCGGTTTCGCCGGCTCCGGAAGTATCGAGACTATGATTCTCCCATCTCTTTTAATCGCGACATGAATAGAACTGATTGAGACAACCAATATACGTACTTAATACGAATAATAACAAAAACAAGTACAAATTTCATCCTTGATTGACCCATTTATATATTATGACTTCAGAATAATAGACTGTAACTTATTATAATATAATAGAACATCCTTATGCTGCATACATTTATTTGAAATATAACGTATTATAATAACGAAAGAATTATTTTAAACTATATTTCTGTAAAATAAATATAAGATCAATAAATACAAATTAAAATGAACAATTATTTAGAAAAAAAAAACCACGAAAATCCCTTTGGCCTGTGAAATATTTTCCTCTTTAAATTTGTCTATTTCAACCTAAACGCCACAATTTTTGTTGCTCCTGGGTTGGACTAAAACAGTAAATGCGGGTATTATAGCTTCCTCTTAAATGCATTTGGAATCGAATTTTGCTGTCGATTTATTATACTTACCTAGGGATTTCGTATGTAAAAAATAAATGTACACAGTTGACTGAACTTTAGAACTTTTGTACCATTATCCATAATATTATGTAAGTTTATACTGCAGATAGTTTTATAATATCTACTACCTATTGTTTATTTTTAAAGCCTGATATACTTATAAAGTTTTCACTGTTCTGCCGAAACTTAAATGCGAAATTCACATAGTCGTTAAATATAAAACTTTTAATACTGCCCTGCAAATCTAAACACTTTTAATTAATATAGTTAAGTATATAGGCGTCTACTTAAATAATATACGCTTAATGTTACAGTTACAGAGGATATTTTGTTAAAATTATTTGGTTTTAATATAGACAGCTCAGTTATTTTTATTTTTTTTTTTTTAGTTGAATTTTAACTAAAAACTATTTAAACTATTTTGTTTTTTTTTAATTTGGATCTAAAAAATACAATTAAAATAATCTAAACATATTTTTATATTTTAAATTTTATGTGTAGTGGAATTATATTGTATTAAAATTATTCTTTCCAGAGTATGTACGCCTAGACTGGCTGCACTGTTTCTTTCAAATTCATATTCTGTAGCTACCCTATTTGTAACCTAGAATTTTATATAGTAAACTTAATAATTCCTCCCCTTACGCATATACACACGAGACCCTTTTTGTTGACAGAAAAGTGAAGGCAACGTGAAAAAGTACACCTTTCCGAGATGCCAAGAAAAGTTTACTCTCATTCGTAATATTTCTGAAACCAAGGGAGTACTATAATCTGGGTCCCCGAAACGAGCAGCGGGGAAGAGTAGAAAGAGAATTACGTTACAAATCGACTGAGCCGTTTCTCATGCAGTGTGTAAGGTTTTAAGAAACGCCGGGGGTCTTGTCAGTAAAGCCAAGAAACTTTTTATTTTTCACGTTCAAAGGTCGCTTTTATGACCTTAGCAAAAGCACTGGATTTTCTTATTAGTTTTTTTCCTTCGGTCTAATCTAACGCACTCGGTTCTACGCTTTTAATCAATTTGGACAAGTTTTATTTTTATTTTTCATAGAACCCATAGGCCTAAGGGACGGGGGAGCGAGGCGCCAAAATGTAACAACAACGAATTATATAGTTTTACAACAAATAATATTTCACGGTTATTTTCTTCACGTCCCGGCGATTTGCATTTTCCCTGTTTTTACTCGCTCTCCGAAACCATAAAGAAAAGAACATTATACGAAAAGATCCATGAAAAATAAATTACAAGGGAATAATGGCACCGTAAAGAGCCTACGGTTGTGGCATTTATAAAAAGGCCGCACAAACTCAGTATCTCCTTTTACCCTGTATATAGTGAGCTATACTACTATATTCCGAATAAAATATAGCACTTCCCTAATCTTATATTGCTGCAAACACTAAGGTAAAGTGAAAATATCATCAACGCAGATATAGTTGAACACTGTAGGTACGAGTGTTATTTTTTGGATTTTAATGTTTTTTTTTGTTTCTAACAAATAAACAATTTCCATTTAAATATACTACCTTTGATATTTTATTTATAATTTATTCGTTATTTATTTTCATTTTTACATATTATTTTTCACTCGCTAATTCAATATTTGCGTGATGAATTTACGCACCGACTTGTTTGACGTACCTATCCACCCATGTTGACACGCGATCAGTTAAACAAAACCTAAATAAACACACGCAGTTCACTGCAGTTATCTAAACTTTATCCAAAACAAGCTAAACATTCAAGTGTATATTATAAACATAGGTTTTAATAATACTATCGTTTTTAATTTCTCCGTGTAATGTAAAATTAATGAAAACGAAAACTATAATATTTAACAAATCATTTCACTATCAAAAGAAAAAAAAAATCATATTTATTCAATCCTAACCAATTTAGTTGCACTATAACAAATGTTTTGTAATACAATAAAGTACTATTGTGTATTTATTTACACATACATTTATAAAATAAAATATAATAATAAATACTATATGAAATAATTTTGTCAAAAAATGCAATAAAAATATGTTTTATATTTCCCAAATATATTAAAAATTCAGTTACGTATTTCACACCATGGGTAGGCGCTACTGTTATAGGTGGATCGTTTGGTAAGTATAGGATTTAAGGTAATTAATTTGTTTTACTGAAAACAACGAATGACCATTAGAAATACGAAATTATAAAATTATAAATCATTAGAATATTAAAAAAAAATATTTTGAGCGGAGTTTGGTAAACTACATGCATGTAAGATTTCAGAAAAAACGACCAATACGTATGTATCGTCATTGAAACTGTTAAGAATGTAGAAAAAAAAAACCAAACAATGTACATATTTTTGAGATACTGAACCTGACGTACAAAAAGTCTAGGCATTTACTCGCCAATAAAAAAAAAAATTATAGCAAAATTAATAGCTTCTTTGCTACACTCAATCTAGAATAGGTATTATTTTCGATATGATAATTCGATTTTTCTAAAACATTCCGTGTGCGAAAATAATTTAGATAGTACCTTTACTGTTCTGCAATGAAGTGAGATGAAATTTATACAATAAATCTATTGCGGTTTATTTATATTGTATGTAAAAAAGTGAGAAAAATTAGAAATTCCTACAATATTGAAATAAACTAAATATATATATATATGTGATGTGTATGTATAAAAAAAAAAATTGATACTGGTCACCAGTAGGCCACTGTTGTTCGAAAGGTATCTACGAGGTAATTTAGTTTATTTAATTTATCAAACGGTAAATCATTGCAAACAATAAACGTTTCTGAACGAAGTAGTTGGTCGTGTTTTTTCCAAGGACACCGAGAAATCAACAAAATTAAAAATAAATAATACAGGGTACGAACTGCTGAACAATTCGATAAATGATTTAAATAATGTGTACCGACGGGAAGAAATTCCACGTATTTTGAGTACCTAAATTACGTAAACAAATTTGAGAATTTGCTAACCAAAAACAAAAACAATGATACTTTGAAAAAATTCGAAGTAAAACCGAAAACGAAAAAACGTTTTCCGAAAGAAAAAAAAAACACATCTTAGTAAAACTAGTAATAATAGCTTGTTCGCTACGCTCGGAATAAAAAAAAAAAATTTAATTGAACAATTGCAGCAGTTTGTTTATTTACATTTTCGTTTTCGTCAATCCACTTTCTTGGATATTAATATTATTGTGTGTTCAAAATGATATTATACATACGTGTACATGCATAATAGGTGTAGGTATACGTTTTATTGATCATGCATATTACAATAATGCTCGTAAATTATACCGCCGGCGTACATAATATAGGAGGACGCGTATTATTTATTTATTGATCCAAAACAGGGACACGTGTTGCGAATAAAACATACACACGTGAGACTTTACTCGCCGTACACTGTACACAGCCGCACTGTGTATATAATACATACGGGAAATATCGAGAAACATAAACTTAAAAGTTTATTCGATGAATATGTGTTAGCGACTTAAAACTTTGCGCGCAACTTATTTACAGTGCCCGCGGAGTTTAAGCAGACGTCGGTCGGCCGGGTCGTTAATAAGAATTAATCGCCGCTAACGGTCGAAAAACACGAGATTGGTTTTATACCGGAAGAGCTTTTCGAGATTTTAACGCGCAGAGGTACCCTGTTACGTGCGTATACCTATATCGCGTGTTATAGGTACACGTATATTGTATACGTACGTATGTATACATGTATATATATATATATATTATTTTCTCTCGAACCGGGAAGTATAAATTTCGGCCGGGCGTTTTCGCACATACGCAGGTGGAGACGACCGCCGGGTATACCTGTATGGGCGCGGGAAATCGAGTTTGCTAGGGCCGAAAACGTTGCGAACACGCTCCTCGTAGTTTATTTATCGGACGGTCGAGTTTCTCCCGGGGGAATTAAGTTTTACCCGCAGGTCGGCCCGAGGCTGATTTAAAAGCACCTGGATGGAAGTCCTTTGCGTGTACACGCCGCACAGCAACACTTGCTCACTGCTTGCCGCAGTAGGTAAAACGCACGCGTCTCCGTGCCAGCTCACCGCGCGGCAGCGTCGGGGCTCGAGCTAAACCGACCGGTAACAAGGTTCCCGGAGCATATCCAATTATAACTCGTTGGTATGAACTATAACCCACCCATCCCTCTTCCCCATCGCCCACGACTGCCCGTACC